CACGTGTGAGCACGTCGGCGAGCGTTTTCACTGACTGCAGTCTCATCTCATTGTTTCCCTTTTGAAATAAAGAAAAGTTGATTTCCGTTTGTCTTCATGGTCTTTAATGTCATTTTGCGAGATGGTGCAAACGTTTTAATGGATGAACAGCAAACATTTGTTGGCCCCTCCAGGTTCCCACATTCAGTGCTGCTTCACGCTTCATGCAAGAATCTGGCCCTGGGATTTGAACATGAACCCAGACAGCAAACACTGAGCGCTGAACCCGGAGGCGCCGCCAGGCTTTGGGAGGATGCCGCTCGCTTTTTGTGTCTGCAGCCAACGGGAGCTGCAAGGTGGTGGTACTGATGACATTGCCCTTGGAGAGAAACTGATCATCTTTCCACGTAGGTAAATAAAAAAGAAAAAGGGGTTCATTAATACCCGGCGTTTGGAGGAAATATCAGAGGGCTGGACTCTCCCAGCCGCTGCTGTATCAGATTATGTGTCGGCCACAGAAGAACAGATCATTCATCCGCCGGCTCTCTTAATCTGAACAAATGTAAGCCGGTAGAGCTTCGCCACAAATCCCTCTTTTAAGAGATAAAGAGGGAATTGATGCTGGTTGCTTTTCCTCTTCATTTGTAACGCAAAGAGGCGCCACACATCAGCACGAGTCCTTGTTTGTGACGGCGTGCCTCAGCTGAGATGTTAGGACTGGCTTGGTCTTATTTTGGATTTAGACTAACAAAGAAGCAATCAAGACTTTTGATTTTAAGTTCTTGCTTCCAGCGCTTTGATGTCTGGCATCCTCGGGCCGGATGTTTCAAAATCTTTATCAAAATAGCTCTGCCTTGTTGTTTCGTTTCTACCTCAGAAGCACCTTTTGCCTGAAGTAGACGTGGCAGACGATTTTCCTCAGTCTGCGGCGGTCGCCTCTCCGTAATGTTCGCCAGCCGTGGCGCCAGTGGAGGAGGAAAGGGTGGGAAATACTCGGTGGAGGACCTCTATGGCATCAGTAAGAAGCCCAAGGCGTCGTCCTCCTCGGGGAGCATTGTGGCCAAATCTGGAGCCCGGAGCAGCAAGACCCCGGACCACAAGACCGAGTCGGCGGCCCTGGCCTCTCAGATCCTGGAGGCGGCCCACAGGCTGGTGGAGCGCCGCCGCCTGGAGCTCTACCTGAGAGAATGCGGCCTCTCGCTGGCCGAGTGCGAGGCCGGGCGCTCCGCGATGACATACAAGTAAGAGGTGGCGGAGGAGGAGGGGGGAGAGCGGAGCAACCGGCGTGAGATTTGAATGCGGAGAATGAAAGATGTCGGATGAACGCCTGAGGATTGAACCTTTTTCTGTTGCGTCGATGAATAGTGATTATTATGATGATTGACAACCGGAAATGGTGATTATTATGATGAGCAACAACTGGAAGTGGTTGTGATACCACCGGAGTGACCGTCACGAGCCCTCTGCCATCTTTAGAGGAACCATTTCACAACTTGTTTCTCATTTATTACGACTGCACGAGTGTTTTCAGAGCCGTCACTTGAAGGCAGCGAGTGAAGACATCATTCATGGGTGAAAAAAAAGGAAATACATTTGCATTTGTTTATTCATTTTTTTTTTCACCAGTGAACCTAAAAAAAAGGAATATCACACGTTTGATGAGATTTCAAAGCCCAGCGGCGCCGGATAAATGTGGCCGGACCGCGGGAACATCTGGTTGTTCGGAGACCACTAGTGTTGATGTGCCGGATGCGTCAGCCATTGTCTGAGTCTCCCTCCGAGCAGCTTGACAGGGTCAACAGCACGGGGGGCATAAGTTCCGGGTTAATGATGCGTGATTTGACAGCAGTGAGGGAGGGAGGGGGGGGGGGGGGGGCGCTGTTTGTCGCTGCGCTGTTTGATTCTCTTTGTTTCAACTGCTCAGGTGAGCTATTTTTGGATGAGGAGGTTGTTGTGATCTATTGTTTGCTAAAATGATGAAACTATGCAGAGCATGAACATGAGGACGAAAAGCACACTGCTTTTTTAGATGTTGTAGTTTTTTGTTGTAGTATCAGTGGTTTGCTTTGTGAATGCCATTGAGTTTACTTGCTACTGACAAATTGTAGTTTATCAACCTAATTACTTGGAGACAACGTTGCTGTGACACAATATGACATTTTATTTGATGCTCTGATGTCCCCAACAGACTCACGCGACCATAATGAGTCCAGTGAAGTCGCCTCTAGGGGGCAGCGTCACTCCGGTCAGAAGACAAATTAGCCCCGTGGCTCCATGACTCAAAACCAGTGAAGAAACAAAATCCATAGTTTGAGTGGCATCCTGGGTTTGATGCAGGGACCCTGCACACGTGGTCTCAGACCTCTCAGCAAGGCCTTGTAGCTAAGGGAACATTACGTTACAGGACATTTAGCTGACGCTTTTATCTAAAGCGACTTACAATAAGAAAACTTCCACCTCCGTCAGTGTCGGTTCCATCTCTCAAAATGTGAATTTCCTCTGACATGGCAGCAGTCTGTGTGTGTGCGTGTGTGATATGTTTGGTTAATTTGTGTAATGATGCATCCCACGTGACTGATACTCATTATTTGCAAGCAATCTCCTGCGTTTTTATGTCTAATTTTTATGTCTAATTTGCTGGAAAGCAACATTTTTTTCAGAGTGCAGAACAAATTTGGGAATAGCGAGACAGATACTTTTGATTTTTTAGACAAACACATTATGGGGGATTAAAACATAATCTTGTCTTTCACCAGAGAAAAGCTTGACGGTTTGAAAAATGTCAACAAATTGCAGGATGGATTCACAGTGTTGACTGATTTAAATAAAAACAATCCTACTAACAATATTTAGTACCAGTCCTCTGTCCTCTTCAGGGCAATCCTAATGCCAAGCCGATTGTTTTAACCAAATGGACCAAAACAAGAGAATCAAGCGAGAGCAAGTGTTACTTTATCTCATTTTCCAGCTTGGCAACATCTGTGCTTCTAAAGAGTAACCACATTCTACTCATTATAAAATGTTATTTTTACCATGAATGGCCTGTAGATTAGGCCAATGGCACGCACCCTTCTGATCATGATATTATAGTTATTTAACACCAAAACTAAATTAATGGGCACATTTAATTGCAGAATACGGCCATCAAATCAGAGCTTTACGGCACAAGACACGTCATTGTGTAAATAATCTCCGAGCAAGGACGGAAACAGAGGATCAGGGTCGGAGGAGAGGAGGGCTGATGATAGTGGTTGTACAGAGAATCTCCCCCTTGATGGACTTTCTCATCATACAACCAGTTTAAAACGGCTCTCTTTCAAAGAAAATCCAGAAGTGAATAAATGTCTGTTGTCCACCGATGCAGACCTCGCAGGAGGAGCAGCTGCTGCTCCGTGTCAGTGAGGTGAGGCACTACGGTGTGTGTGTGAACTGTGGCGCAGGATGCGTCAACGTCAAAGGGAAGACGGGCCTCGTTTGAGGGGCGGGGGGGGGTGAAAGTTAAAACCTGCAGGTGTGGATGAAGATTATTCGTGTCTGGACGTTGTGCTTCTTGGGAAACGCGTGGCCCGCCTGCATCTGGGCATCTGACAGGACGGGAGATCAGAGAACGTCCCGGTGCATTCGCATTCCCAGCCCACCCATTCGGATGGAAACTTCCCCGAATACACCGTTGGTCCCTAAATCTACCAAACAGCTCTGTTGAAAAACAGAAGAGTCCCAGTCACAGTCTGCTGGCCTGCTGACAAGGATCATCCCGGGACTGCAGAATGCTCTGATGCGAGACTCTGGTAAAACAAGTCCACAGAAATGATGGATGTTTCTCTGCACAAAGGTACTTTGCAGGGAGAGAAAACACGGGCTGAAACTTTTGGGGATTGACGATTACGTGCAAAGTTGTGGCAGCAGAGTTTAGACTCATCATTGCCTGGTCACCAAATGACACATCCGTTTGATCCCAACGTGACGTGATGCAATGTGATGTGATACACTATCCGAAGTTGTCACGTGACCAGCGGTGACTTACAAGCCATGTATCTGCTCTTTGTTGTGAGAGGATGATGATGATGGTGCAGTAGGATTTTTACTGTTTGGTATTCAATCAAAAAATACTATTCTAGTAAAACATGGGTGTGGTACAAAGAGAGATGATACCAATGGGATTTCACATATGAAGAAATTACACTATGTATGTGTATGTATGTATACACCCAGAGCGAGAGAGAGAGAGAGAGAGAGAGAGTGGGGGGTGGGGGGGAGAGAGAGAGCGCGCAAACCTCCACATTGCTGTGTCGTGAACATTTTGGAGACCGTGTGGAAAAAGGGAAAGAACAAATAAATAAAAAGTCGGCTTGATGCCGAGGAGCGTTAGAAATGACTTCGGGGGCCAGTGAGCCGGCGTTTCGTTGCAATCCGCGCACCGGGAGGTGCAGTCGGATGACGGGAGACCTGCACAGCTGCTGCCGGCGTGTGAGCGACTTGACACGCTGAAGGTAATAAGAAGAAGCCGGCTCGGCGTTCGTTCCCCTTCTATTTTCCTCCCGTTCTCCCTCTTTCTGTTGCATCAGTCGGATGCTGCGCGAGGCGGCCGGGCGGTGATGCATCGCCGGAGTCTGACTCTCTGAATGTGCATCGCATCAGGTCCATCCACCCTGCACGGACCGTTCACCTCGGCGATGTAAATCTCAGCAATTAAGTCGGTTTCTTTTTTTTTTTCTTTTTGTTTTTGCTGACAATAAGTCTTGCGACAAAAAAAAAAAAACTCAAAGAAAAAGCAAGACAATTTCGACGCGAGGTGCGAGGATGCCTGTGGCTGTGATTGTGTCTTTGCTGCAGAACCCTCCGGAGCTGCTCGGCTCAACACAACCAACCTCAGCTGAAGAGAAGACGGCGAGCTATCAAGTGCTTTACCACCCCACGTAAGCCACACCGGCGTGTGCGTGTGCGTGTGAGGGCCCTACCTCTGTTGCACTGTTGAGTTTTTTTGGGGTGGGGGTGGGGGGTGGGATTAGGGGAGGGGGGTTGGCTGGGAGGGGAGGCTTGCCAAAAAAACAACTGCCACATCCCCAAAAAAATTCTGCCTGGGTACCGAGTGAGCGAGTAGCAGCTCCCCGATGGCTCCTGGAGGAGGACAGTGCATCTCCTGAGTGGGGAAAACTCCCTTGGAGCCTTTTCTGCCAGGTTTGCATCACCAGACGGGAGAGCGAGCAGACGGTGACTCTGCGCTGTGTCATGTCAGAGGCTGGACCCTCGGCCACCCCCCCCCCCCCCCGCACCCCCTCGCTCTCAGCCCAAATCTCTGACCTGCCCCCTCTGAGCCCCCTCTCGTTTTTTGCATGAGCGTCGCTGCTTCGCCACAGCAGCAACAGCACCAAGCGGTGTCGGGCAGCACCAACAGTTTGCAGACGTTGTCGGTCGACTAGTCCGAGGCCCTCCACCCCAACAACCCCCCCCCCCCCCGCACTCTTGTCAAGACAAAAAGACACCAGGGAACCAGGGTCAGGATGCAGGTGTCTTTCGCCTGCACGGAGCACAACCTCAAGAGCCGCAGTGAGGACCGGCTTTGTGGCCTTCGCACCGCCCCGCCCCCCGGGGGCAGCAGTGGGGGCGGAGGAGGGGGAGGCGGTGGAGGAGGCGGCGGCAGTGGAGGAGGAGGAGGCGGCGGCGGCGGTGGCAGTGGAGGAGGAGGAGGAGGAGGTGGCGGCGGACAAGGCAGCAATGGCAACTACACGTCCCATGGCTCGGTCAAGACCAGGGAGGGGTCCGGGCCCCGCCAGACCCCGCATGGCCATGCCCACATGAAGGAGGCCATCGGGCGCCACAGCAGTATGAAGTACAGGTGAGTGTGGAGGTTAGGAGCTCCACATCAGAGGGATTCTGGGCTGGTTTTCATTTCACTTTGATTACCTCGGCCTCTTGACTCCCAAACGACCCCACAGGTACGAGATTATCATGAAGAGCATCGGTGGCTCCGCCGGATGACCAGGCGGCAGGTTCCTCTCCTACCTGCCAGGCTTTCTGTTTCCATGTCCGCCGTCAGTGTCTTTGTCGGGGACATTAGGCGAAGTTAAAGTTAGCTGGAATTGTCCCCAACGTGCATCCCGTAATAACACATTGTGCAGTTCTGCCTGCATGTCCGTCCACTCAGTGAGTGCACATACAGCAGTCATTTCACTGACATCATAAAAGAAACGCTTGCACCGATGGATGCACGCTTACGTAATCCAGAGCAAACAGCCATAATGTTATCGCAGTGGAGCAGACAGTATGCGTATAGGAGCATCTGCCATAGGATTAGGTGTGTCATGCAGATTTTTCCAAGGCCTCCTGCTCTCCACCTTGTATTAATAAAAAGCATGCCTCCGATAACAGCTTTCCTAAAAGCACCTCTGGTTTTCTCTGAGGTTTTCAAAAGCATTTCGTTTTTATAGACTGGAAAAAAGATTGCAGCCGGATATGTTATTTGCGCAGTAGAAAACGTTGTTGCACACTACAGGTCTGAGTCATAATGTAGATGGAAAAAAAACAGAGTAGATAAACAGCTAGAAAGCTGTTTTTGTTTTCCTCTTTTAGTTTTCCTCTTATTCAGCTCACCTTGATGGTTCGGAGCTCCAGCGTAATAGGGCGTTTAAAAAAGGGAATGAGGCACAAGATGAATCCGGGATAATTCACAGTTTCATCTCGCTTGAGAATTGCATACATTCTTTTGATTGTGTTTTTTTTTCTGGTTGCTCTGCTCTCTCTCTCTCTCTTTGTAAAAGTGTCGGCAACAGGGAGTGCAGCGGCACAATAAGTCTATACAGCATATGGCCGGCTCCGGTTGCCAGTGGCAACACCCCAGGCTTTGCTTTTAGTTTTTGTCTGTCCTATTTCCTAATCAGTCGGCGCTGCCGTCGCCGATCAGTCCCTTCTGCAACGGAGTCCTCTCAAAGCCCCTTCTGCGGCAACACAGTGGTCGCACAAATCTCCATTTTACGCTGCTGTCACAACCACAGTGAGGTCAGGAAGAGGCAGAGATCCACATGAAACATGGCTGCATGCTGTATGAATGAGTCTGTGTATAGTACATGTTGGAGGCTTCTCGGCGTGTGGTGGATCGAGGCTAAATGAAAACCAGTTGTGGGTAAATTTTATGTACAGATGACGCACATCATTTCCACTATGTGCTCGTTTTCTAATCTCCCCTGCTTTGTCGTTAACGGGAGTATTCATCCCTCACCGGCAGGTCGCAGATGATGGCACCTGATGCCAGTTATCACTGAGCCCATGAGCCCCTGCTGCCACCCCCCCCATCCCCCCTCACCAACTCTTCCCTTTGAATCTCTCTGCATCTCCTTTCTTTGATCAAAACGTCTCAATTCTCAACTAATTATCTTTTTAATAGTTATGGGAACACGGTTGCAGTCCACTGCAGCGTTCTGTCTTTGTTTGTCTCTGTTTATAAGATAGGTATAAAGGTGATGAAAAGGCGACCAATGCAAACAGAGAAATTCTGCTGCTGATGTCTTTAATGTGTTAATGAATCAATATTTAAAGGCACAGTGAGTAGGATTTGTCAGTTGTGGCTGGTTAACAAAACATTCAAAGTTGGCCCCTCCTACTGGATTTAATGAGCGTTGGGATGCTCGCGGTCAGTGGAAGAAAGCCAACCCGAGAACTCTGCTTCATCAGCCCGGCGCTTCGTCTCGCTTCAATTGCGTACAAAGCAAAATGAAAAGAGAAGAGAAATTAGTGGCTGAGGGCAGACGTGCCTGGACCACCAACTTTCCCAAGAAAGCCACAGTCTGAAAAGATGTGTTCACATCAGCACATTTCAAATCCTAGAGAGTCAATTACATTTTTAAAGTCCATATTGTTGTAGCTTACAAAATAAATGTTCCTTTAATTTTTAGGACCTGTGGAGGTGAGGTTATTCTCAAAGTCTCTTCGGCAAAGTCCAGTCAAATTAGCTGTTTCAACGGTAACCAGGTCCTCTCTTTTTTTCCAACAGCAACGTGGTAAGCAGGTCAGGTACATTTCCAAGATGGATTTATCTTCCACTTTTGGACATTTCACATGGATTTTAGTGAGGGCTGCAGGGCACATTGTGGCAGCTGGGTGCAGAGATCATAATGCATGAGTGAGTTAGGAAGCTTAAAATAAGTCAAACATTGTTAAAGAAGATTGTGGTTGCAGACTTTAATAACAGATGTTTCTGCATCCTCCTGTTTTTTTTCTCAGGCAGTACTGAACATATTGCAAAGTGTTGGTTTTTTACAGTCAATTTAGCTCACAATTTGTCAAAGGAATACTTTTAGAAATAAACTCATTGGGTCTCTTGCAGAGAGTGAGATGAAAAGAATTACCACTACTTATCTGGAGGATGGTACCCATCCCCCTGTGAAACGTCAAACTTCTACTTTTACAGTTTAATGGCCTCAGGTAAACATGCAGGTCTCTTGCAATCTTGTATCATAAGTAATTTTAGATCCGTTCCTATCAAGCTTTCATAATTGTGTTTTTAATTACCTCTGTGTAGTAATGCCAGAACCTAGTGGTAGTTTTGGATGCTAAAGCGGCGCACGGCGTACCCTTACCTCGCATTTGGGGAAGCTCTTTTGTCGGCAGGTGTGCTTAAAATGAGATTTTGAGAGAACCCATGACGGTCTTCAATCTTCAAGCATGACTGGGATATTTCAAACTGGTTGATTAAATCATTAAATTATAAATTCATCCTTGGCCGTTTCGTAAAGGGCCCTTTATTTTGGGAAATGTTGGTTTGGTGGTTGATAAATGTTAGCTAGTGCAGGTCGAAACATATTTGGACAATGTTACTGATCGTCTTTAGCTGTTTGTCTAACATTCAGTGTCTATTTGCACCTGAGTGGTCTCAAGGCGACTATTAAACCTTGCTAACGTTTCTCAATTGAGCTTTAGTTACCTAGCTGAGTATAGCAATAATTAGCTTGCTAAACTTAGCAATTTATTGGTTACAGACACCTGGCTGTTTGTCTCTGCCATGTTACAGACACCTGGCTGTTTGTCTCTGCCATGTCACGGACACCTGGCTGTTTGTCTCTGCCATGTTACAGACACCTGGCTGTTTGTCTCTGCCATGTTACAGACACCTGGCTGTTTGTCTCTGCCATGTTACAGACACCTGTCTGTTTGTCTCTGCCATGTTACAGACACCTGGCTGTTTGTCCCTGCCATGTTACAGACACCTGTCTGTTTGTCTCTGCCATGTTACAGACACCTGTCTGTTTGTCCCTACCATGTCACAGACACCTGGCTGTTTGTCCCTGCCATGTTACAGACACCTGGCTGTTTGTCCCTACCATGTTACAGACACCTGTCTGTTTGTCCCTGCCATGTTACAGACACCTGTCTGTTTGTCCCTGCCATGTTACAGACACCTGGCTGTTTGTCCCTGCCAGGTCCTGGACACCTGGCTGTTTGTCCCTGCCATGTTACAGACACCTGGCTGTTTGTCCCTGCCATGTCACAGACACCTGGTTGTTTGTCCCTGCCATGTCCTGGACACCTGGCTGTTTGTCCCTGCCATGTCCTGGACACCTGGCTGTTTGTCCCTGCCATGTCCTGGACACCTGGCTGTTTGTCCCTGCCATGCTACAGACAAATAAATGCTTTTGTTTGTATCTGAAATCCAGATGCAAATAGAAACCGCCTCTTTTGTCACATTTGAATGATCTTAACTCAAGTAGCTTGACCCACATCTGATGGTATTCATCTGCACATATGCAGTTACATATGGAAACTACTATTTTTATGGTATATATTTCTATACATTTAGAACTTGCTGCTCCTTATGATCTTCTAGCACTTTGATGGCAAGTAGCTGAAAAAAAGGAGAGGTCACATTTTCACAAACTAGATAATTAAAGCAGATAGCAAATGGCCTTGAAGTACAGTAAAATACCAAAATAATGATAATACCAAATACTTGGTTCCATTTTTAGCTGGGGATCGAGGCTTTGCATTTGTGTAGAGGTTTAAGCGTCCTGACATTCAACCATGCAGAGAGGGGCTGTTCTCTAGCAGAGTACTCTTCAACAGTGCGTTTTGAAAGCCTGGACTCTCAGTAGCTGATGAAGTAATGATTGCGTTTTACTGATGAACAACCTTGTCAAGTTGTACTGAGACATTGTGGTCCTTTGGTGCCATGACGAGGATGCTGGTGACTCAGCCGCAGTCTTATCACAGTCAGTTACCCTTTTATACTCGCTGAGGACACGATGCCATCACAGCTTCGGCTTGTTAATTTGATCCCAGACTATTTACTTTTAATGGTTTTTTTTTTCTTTTTTTCTCATACAAACAAAATGGAAGCAACAGACTATTCCCACATTAAAACCCTATGTACATAATGGATACCAAACAGTGATACAATATTAATAATAATAATGGAGTAATAATTAAGTGCTTTGGCCTCACATTATTTTTAATATTATTTTTGGAAACAAATGGGGTGTGAACAGATTTGTGACATTATTTGGATGTACTGCAATACGTTTTATCCAAAGTAAACAAATTTACTTGCTTGATTTCATCCTGGCCACTAATTCAAATATGTCCAAACAATGATCTGTTTTGGGTTGTTAAACTGCAAAAATCCAGCTGCTTAATTCATCTCCCACCTACTAATTTATATTAACGGGTTACTGAATATTATAATTATAAACCATTGAACCATGCAATACTTTAAATTGCTATTTGCATACAGCTGCAGGGTTGGAGACCTTAAAGGGGTGTTTCAGACTTATAACGTAATCTTTTTTAAATGCGAAGTGACTGCTGGGCCAGTGCTGTTTGTTGAGCTTTCCATTTGTCAATATTTGCCCTGTGGGTGGACGTGATAACAGCAGCACTCAGCGAGGGCAGTGATCAGGGCCTGGAAAATCCACGTCACGTCCTCTGAAAAGGCCGGCTAGTCAAAGTCGGATTTTGTCTTTCAGCAGAGACAATGTCGTTATAGCAAGACATTGTGTAAGAGCAGCAGCACAGCCAAACAAAACACAAGACCTGTGACTCAAAGTATTTAAATAAAACATCTTCGCTCTCTTTGTAAAAAGCTCTTTGGAGTCTTAGTTACATGCATTCTTAATTTTACCCATATTCAGCTGAAACATGGACATTCACTGCAAATTCAGTGAATTTTTTGTTTCCCCCCCCCACTGGCTTCACTGCGTTTATTCACTGTGGCAAAGTAGCACAGATTTAAATTGCGGAACAACAAGATAAACTAGGGACACTGAAGGACAGCATGATACTCAAAAACATCAGCATTTAATCATTTTAAATCCGCTGAGCTGTCCGAGTCTATATTCATGAAGCAGCGGACCGGACACATCTTTACAATATTCGGCATCCTCCCTCGCAACAGACATAATGCAGGTTGGCAGGTAATGGTGCAGTGGCCCTTTCAAGCAATATACAAAACTACTGTACACTGTATTCAGGAAGCCTCTCCTTCCTTTAACTGGGATGCATGTCTATGTTCTTTCATGTGTTGTAAAATCGATTTTATTTTTTACCTCTGCTGTTCTCCGTGTATTCAATTATGACAGATTTACTTTACTAATTGTTTTAGTATATTTTAATACAACTAAATTGAATTGAAAAGAATGACAGAAGCAAAAATTAGAGCGCTGTCAGAGCTTCACTGGGGTCCACAAATGCGAATCCGTTCACACAATATATATTTCCTCACTCATAGTGGTATCTAGTATTGCAGAATTTATTTTTGTGTATCCAGGTTATGAGATTTTCGCTCTCAGAAATGACTGCCGCTACCTGAGACGTTTTTCTGTGGTACACAAAGCAGAAACGACGTCCTTTGTTGTGCTTTTCAGAAATAGTCCCTGGGGATTTTATCTACAGTAACAACGGGCCTGATTGAAGGAAAGAGTCAAAAATAAAAAAGAAATACTACTTGAAAGAAAGAATCTCTGCATAGGTTTGAAAAATGTGTTTCTTTGTAATTCGGCTGAAATTACCCTGAAACATGTGCACAGCATTATTAAGAGAATGAAATGTTAACAATCTTTCCACACCTATTTCTCAGAAGGTGCATGTATATGCAAACACACACACATACTGGTGTTAGTGTAATTAATATCAAGGCGTGCTTCCCTCCGGAGGGGAGCCTGCTCAGCATGCGTGCGTGTGGCATTTCATGACAACTGCAGGGGAATAAAACTCCTCTATCATCTGCACCTTACCGTCTGAAAAGTGTCTTCCTCCCGTCTCAGGTGAGACCTAAATATAAATGTCGGCGCAGGTTAAAATGCTGACTACACCGTGACACAGCAACCGTCTGCCTCCGTCCTAGCCTCCATTAGAGATGCATGGAACAACCAAGTCCCTCTAATCTCCTTGTTTAGAGGGAGAAGAGAAAATAGGGAATAGACGAGTAAACAGACAGTCCTACTTATAAAAGCCACAGCGAAAGCATCTGTGTTTCTTTGTGCGCCCTGGTCACAAATGCATTCATGCGTGTCTGTATGTAGATCTGTGCCTGTGTTGCAGTGTAATTCCCATCAAGCGTGAACATTCACATGAAAGCCACGACCAGCCCCACTTACCACTGCACAATATAGATCTCGTTGTTTCTGCAAAACGCCCATTCAGAATGCACGTCAAATGAGATATAGGCCGAGTGTCTGCACGCACACGCACACGCACACACGTGAGTGGGAGAGAGAAAATGTCATGTGAGATAGTGAAAGGAAAGTGTCTCTCCAGACTCATTGATAGTAATTCAGCAGACTGCAGCACTGCAGAGAGCGGGGAGGGGGCGGCCAGTTGTCATAGAGAAAAACAATGACATCCCTGCGTAGCCCAGAAAGAAAAATAATTGCGTTTCATGTGGCACGGCAATCACGAATTCACCCACTAATGCGTGCGGCTTTCTCTTTTGCTCCTGTAATGAGGCGCACATATTTTCTTTCTAATCCATAATGAATTCATGCTCAATGAAAGTGAAAAGGCATGCGCTTGTGTAACAGTTGTGGATGCTACCGGATGCTCGGCGTCCTCTGTAATGCTGACTCATGTTCAGTTCTGTTTGTCACACATTCAATTTGCAATATAACACATAGCATTCTGTTTTTCCATCATGGTGCTCTTGTGCGATTAAGGTGGTTAACAGCTTTATAGACGCTATGAACATTTACTACCAGTACAATATAGCCTCGTGCTAATAAGAATAATGATAAGGGGTGCATTTATATTCATTAATATATCTACATAAAATCTGTATACTCGCTAAGCAGATGACAGAATTGTGAGCGGATGTTTTTTCAAGCTTTTTTGTTTAGAAGCTGAATGAAACTATTTTAACCAGAGAAGATTTTCCGTGCTGATTTCATTGGTTTCACCTTGTCAAATGTTGTTTCACCAAAAAATTTCCTTTGAACCGCCCCCCTGACGTTGAGACAATGAGCCACAATTTGACGGGTGTCGCACGACAACACCAGCGCGGCTCAACCAAAACAACAAAACACAAACGATTTGAATATTAGATTTGAAAAGGTCTCTGAAGTGTGTTTTCTCCCACGTGCCTCATTTATATTTGCGCCCCCCCCCCGGCGTTTAAAGTGACTGTCAGGGTGCGAGAGCACACGCAGAGCCGTCATTGGTTGACAAGCGGCAGCCAGATCACCACACAAGGCATCGTCAACATCAAACTAACAGTTCTCCCTCTGCACAACATTCCCGGCCTTCCACCTGTCTGCTATTTCCACCCGTTTAAAGGAATGACACATACAATATGCGTTTCACACCCAAACCCTCACGCCCGCGCTAAATCAAAGGCTCACACACACGCACGCTTGCATATGCAGGAATCTAAAAATAGCTTAAGGTCAAGCATTAAAAATAGACCAGAGAAAATAAAGGCGAGACTCGTTCGACTGAGTCTAAACGCTCTGACAGTCTGTCTTCCTGCATTTGGCTATTTGTGGCGGACGCAGGCAGAGAAGGGGGAGAGGCGCTGGAGACGAAGAGACGCCGAGCAGCGAGTTGCACTGCAGTTCTGCTGCCTCTCCAGCTGGCTCCGTGGCTAATTAGAATGGGGGAGAGCGAGCATGAAGGAGGAGGAGGAGGAGGAGGAGGAGAGCAAGCGTGAAGCCCACATCATTTTCAGCTGTGCACGCGAGATGCAGCTCTCTTCTTCTTCTTCTTCTTCTTCTTCTTCTTCTTCGTGCTCGCCCTTCAAAACTCAGCTGTCTGAAAAATCGGATGTGGCGTGTCAGGGTAATGGACTCCTCTTGAGCGTGTGGGACATTTTGGGCCGTTCATCTGAGCTGAGCCCTTTTCCCTGCAGCTGTTTTCACTGACCCAGTGTTTCACCCCGAACTGTTAACATACGATGGATGAAAGGTCAATTGTTCAGAAATAAATAGACGGACTGTAATTAGACCAAGACGAGAAAGACTTTCGATCAGCAGCAGTGGAGGAGGAATACTGTGGAAATAAGGGATTTTATCTGGTTTTACCAGATTTGTGTTACATATTTATATGATTTCTTTGTCTTTGTATATGTTCGTGCCTCATGTCATCTTTTGCAAATACAATCTTAATCGTCAAACTAAGTAGCAACCACACTGGTAATGTAAATGTAGTGGAGTAGAACTACACAATAGCACAATAGGGAAACAGTATTGTACAGTGCAACGTCTGTGATTGTTTGTGCAAATCTATCCTAAAAGCCCACCCATCACACCTTCTGTATTCTCTCTCTGAGCGTCACAGATTTGTTGTTTTTTCATTCTTTCTTCACAGGAACCTCGGGAAGTCGGGCCTTCGGGTTTCCTGCCTGGGGTTAGGTGAGTTGGTTTTGAAGGAGAACAATGAAATGCGTCTCTGTCTGAACCCCTCAAACCACCGCTTCTGTCTCCTTCAGGCACCTGGGTGACATTTGGATCGCAGATCTCGGATGAGGTGAGAGCGCATGTGTGGCTCCTTGAAGGAGAAGGTGATTCCCGGACGCCCCTTCGCTGGTGTTGCTTTTTACGGAAAAAAACACACGAGTACGATCCGTGTTTTCAATTATAGAAAGGTTTGAAAATCCCACAGACGCCTGATGGCTGGAAACCAGAGTAGTTTGGTGCCACATTACACATTATCTCCGCCGTATAAGCCCCTTGCATTGTGCCCTTCACGGATGGCCGCTGTGTGATTGAAACGTGTCCACCGTCTCCTTCTCTCAGTCTCAATGTTCCTGTTCCCCCAGATGGCGGAGAACCTGTTGACCATAGCCTACGAGAACGGAGTGAACCTGTTCGACACAGCCGAGGTGTACGCGTCTGGAAGGTCGGGCTTCGCTTATTCCTCCTAGCGTAGAGAAAAGCGTTTGCGTCTGTTTTTCTGCTTGCAGTGAATGCGGCCTACTGTATCTCTCCATAACATAACATAACAGAACACGACATGTCTGCAGCATGATTCAACGTTGTTGTCCAGCGATGGGAACTTGGCCTCAACCTATCAGAGTAAATGATGTGTTTCTCCACAGAGCGGAAATCACTCTAGGGAACATCATCAAGAAGAAAGGATGGAGGTGATATTACTCATTTCTACAAACTGACTCACTTGCATTTTAAAAGCTTTCCAACTCTGTAAAATCGTTTTTAGATTTTTTCATCACTTTGTCACTTGTCACTTTGTCTCTTGTCTGTTACTTGTTTGGCAGCCAAACGTGTCTGGGAAATCCTTGAGATATTCTTATTCTGAGAAAAAAACGTAGCCACATTTTTATTTTGTGTACCAAGGATGCAGGAAAAAAAACTGTTATACTTCATACTGGAATTATACGATTGAAGATTTTAGACCAATATACTTATATAACTATTTTCCATGATAACTCTGCTCCTAATACTCGTGTCTTTGCCAGGCGTTCAAGTTTTGTCATCACTACAAAGATCTATTGGGGAGGCCAGTACGTATAACACTAAAATACTAGATGTTTAAAAGGTCAAATTATTGTTTCCTTTCAATAGAACATCAATACTTTGCTTTCATCACTCCACAGAGCGGAGACGGAGAGAGGACTCTCCAGAAAGCACATTATTGAAGGTAGTGTATTTTATTATTTGTGTTATTGTATTCTACTTTGATAAAAATGTTTCCCAGAATGCATTGGTTTGGGTTTGAGATGTGAGGAGTGATTTCAGGTCCTTTTTTTATTTGCTCAGTTAAAGCTTCTCCATGTCTCGTGTCACGGTGAATGTGAAGAAGATAACGTTTCAATGCCAATAACACCTCGGGATCACCAGGGACATCTTTGCACACCCTGAATCAGTCCCCCCTCCCCCCAAAAATAACCCTATAGAAATCCTTTAGAGAGGCTCTTGGCCTCACATAGGAATATCTTGGATGTATGTTTCGTAAGAAGAGTGGCCTCGAGGCGACCATTTATGGAGGAGCTGAATGGTCGCTTTGACCCTCATTGTCGGGAGGCTTTTGATTTGAGTCCATTGCTCGTATTTGGAGTTCGCATTTCACTTAATTTGTGGCTTCAGCGACTCCGTCGGACCGCTGACGCACACTGTGGGGGAACGTTAGCACACGGGAGATGAAAGTGGTGCAACGGATCATAACACTCCGGGTTTGAATTGGATCACGGATCAGAGTCACGGATTGGATCAGAACTAAAGGGGGAGAAAAAGAGCAAATGCAACGTATATAAAACTGTTTTTTATGCCAATACTGATTTCCCATCTTTACATTTTTCTTGTCCCAAAAAATAATTTCAACCACTCTGAAGCCTGTGAAACATAACATATTCTAAATGTTACCCTTCTAATTTACTTATGGGGTTTTCTTTCCCTCGTAGAAACACACAATTCAAAGAATATGAAAATAAATTCAAATCAAACCTTTCTCATAACTCATTATTAGTTTTAGATGTATTAAATGCTGCTTAGAGAGACTGTAAACCGGTCATAATTCATCTCTCAGTTCATTCAGTTTGCATTTTTGGAAACTTCATGTGAACACATCATGATGACGATATATTTCTTGTGGCCCAAATCTGATCACATATGCGACTGAATATTGTGGGAAACACGATTTCACACTGCGGTTAAACTGTCTAATTTATCCATGGTTCACATGTGTACCGAAACAGCTCATTCGACTCCCCTGTCACCCTGAAATCTAACTTAACACTAAATAATTACAACAACATAACAAATGATTACAAATGTTGTTCATGGCGTGTAATATCTATGACCATTGTTTATAACAGGTTTACGAGGATCCTTATCGAGGCTCCAGCTAGAATATGTGGACATTGTTTTTGCCAACAGAAACGACGTCAACAGTCCGATGGAAGGTCAGTTTCAGATGTTTGGAATTATTTCTGTTCGCTTCAATCAATTGCCTTAAATTATCCCGCAATGTAACGTGAATACTATTCATCCCGTGATCCACAGAGATCGTGCGGGCCATGACGTTCGTAATAAACCAGGGTATGGCGATGTACTGGGGAACATCACGCTGGAGCGCCATGGAAATCATGGTGAATGCTGATCTCACGCCCAGAGAAGCTCACTCTCTCTCTTTTTTTGTTTTGTTGCATAAACGCTGATCGGTAACCATTTTGTCTCCAGGAGGCGTATTCGGTGGCTCGCCAGTTCAACCTGATACCACCTGTGTGCGAGCAGGCGGAGTACCACTATTTCCAGCGGGACAAAGTGGAGGTGCAGCTCCCCGAGCTCTACCACAAGATCGGTCAGCCATCCACGGCTCTTGCAGACCTATTTGTATCTTTAGTCTTTTAATTGAAGGTTCTTTCTTCATCATTTGAAAAGCTGCTCTGGTTCCACCCCTGCAGGTGTCGGAGCAATGACCTGGTCGCCACTTGCTTGTGGATTAATCACAGGGAAGTACAGTGACGGTGTGCCAGAGTGCTCCAGGGCAGCAATGAAGGTCAGTGTGATTTCACAGGCCCTCCTGTGGGATTTCTCACGCCGAAAAAACGAGCCTGGGCGTAATTCTCTCGCTGGTCGGCGGAGCACGGCAGAAGGAAATCAGCACTGTATTGAAGCTTTTCTCCGTTTTGGCTCCCGCTGAAGGGGTACCAGTGGCTGAAGGAGCGGGTGAACAGCGAGGAGGGCCGCAGGCAGCTGGCTAAAATCAAGGAGCTCCATCTGCTGGCGGACAGGATGGGCTGCACTGCTGCACAGTTGGCCATCGGTACGAACCCGGGAGAATAACACGGCCGAGCAGCGGAGACGCAGAGACACTTTGTCTACTTCGTTTTTGTTTATATTGTTTTGGTTTAATTGGCTTTTTTTTTCTCGAAAAAAACATTTCTTCAAAATGTTTGTAGACATATTTTGTACGCAGGTTTGGCCAAAAAGGAAGTGAAGCAGCAGATGTGGTGCTCTGCTCCTGATTGATGACCCCATCTTTTTTTTTAATCAAAACTGTCGAATGCATGGTTTGACTCCCGTCAAATATTTACATTTTTTAAATTTGGATTCATAGATCAGAATTCCTACTCAAATAATTTTGCTAGATACTTTTTAATTAAGTACTTAGATCAACATTTCACAGGTCGTCCCCAGTAACACTCACTTACTTGGTTTTCTCCTCTCTTTTTAATTGTATTGTTTCTTCCCAGCCTGGTGTCTGCGCAGTGAGGGAGTCAGCTCTGTACTTCTGGGTGTTTCTAATACAGACCAGCTCCTTGAGAACCTGGGTGCCCTGAGGGTAAAATGTAGCATTTCCTTAAAGATTTAGCCTGACCGACTGACCCATTGTTGTAAGAACCAACAGATATTTGTGAGCAATTTAAGAGAGAGAAAAAACAACTAAATGCCTTTCTTTCCTTTCCTTTTCTTTTTTACAGATTCTAACCCAAATGACGCCTCAAGCTATTATTGAGATTGACGCCCTTTTGGGAAACAAGCCACACTCGAAGAAAGAGTTGCGTGCTTGAAGAAGCAAATCTGAGAGACAGATGATGTTTTGACATGATGACGAAGAAGACAAATGACATTGGGAAACATTGTTTTATGCTCCGCTGTATACTCGAAAAACGTGCATGTCCTCTGCAACATTATGCTTCTAGTATGTGCGCATAACCATTTTGCGCGATACGTTGAATCATGTATGGAAAAAAAAAAGATCTCTCGATTGGGGAAAAAACAGGTCATACTTTGCTCACTGCCGATTGTTCACGGCTTAATTATTTCCATGGAGGAGAGTCTCTGTCGGAGGCCAGGAGAGGTTGAAAGACGTTCAAACTGAATGCAGATTCGACTCTTGTAAATCAAATGTTTGAAAATGAAGAAGAAGAAAAAAAAAAACACCCCTGTGCTAAAATGCAACTTTAAAGTCTGAATGGTGCTTTCATTGGAAACGAGTCGCCTCCCCTCGCAGCTGCCTGTTATTCCGTATGACGTTTAGCACCCAGCAGCCAAAGGTCGGCACTCGTGTCACGGGCCAAACATCTCCCATAGTGTGCATGTGCCTGCCACGCTCAATGCTTTACAGGGTTGGGAACAAGGGATCACTCATAAAGCTCTTGTACTATAACTCCTTTTAAAACAATCACATGTTTGAACATTGATTTATTGGGTAGAAAGTAGCAAAAATATTGTGAGCGTTGTTACACATACTGAATTAATGATTACTTGGTCTGAATTACTGTAACCGAGTGGAAGTGGAAATCAGAGGTGGGTCCGATTTTGAAGATAACTTTTCCCAACCCTGCTGCTCTCTCTCTCTCCGCAGTCTCCTCATCTGTTTGTAAACTGTGCGCATGTCCCTTTAAGAGAGAACAGCCCCAACAGGGTGTAAATGTGGCATGGCTTTTAATGGCTTATGTAGATTCGCGGTGCCCTTGTTTTTTTTCTTACTCTAAATGGTCTGGCAGTTTGATGCAGGATCTGTGCCGGCGGGCCACTTGTGCTTCTCAAGAACCTTGCGGTCTGCAGACGGTGGCTGTGTGCGTCCATCGGACCTTGTACTGTCCTGAACTGTATCAAAAGATGTTGACCGATCATCACTCCACAATGCCATTCTCCTGAAGAGCATCACTGTTCCTAAATCCGGACGTTTGAGACATTTGTACCGTGTTAGAGGGTCACTGAGCAACCGACGCACAGATTTGGACACACTGTGGGGAACTAGTAGTTTTCAAATGATAGAAAATAAAGGACGTGACAGAGTTTATCTGATGTGATGTTGGGGAATGACTTAGCAAATGTACATTTCTTTTTCTTGTGGAAGCCCAAAAAAATATAGCTTCTCTGCTCATTTCTCTGGGAGTTCTTTCTGTGTGTATCGTTTAGTCCCCGTTTAGACAACTCATGCTATACTGTGCATTGTTGTATCTTTCCCTTCGTTTCAACTCTTTGTCATTGTATTGGGGGGGGATTTATTCATTTTGTGTGTTTTTTTTCTCTCCATGAAGACGTTACTAATCCTTAGAGCGGATGATTGCATACACGAAGTTGTTTTATTTGGTTACTGCTGTAAATAGGCGTTTATGTTTGGTAGTGAGTGAACAAGATAAAGGTTAAATACAAGGATGCTGAACGAATACCCGGAGCAGCTGAAACGTTTGACTCTGATGATGTAACTTAAGAGTTACTGTCTTGCAACCAGGAGAAACCAAACAAGAGAAGAAACAGCTGATGCTTAATGTATCGTGTCTGTCTCCAACCTAATTGAACAAAGCACATAACTAATAGTTTCTCTTGGAAATTGATGCAAATATTTACATTGGAATCAGACAGGAATTTCCTGTACACTCATAACTTTCAGAATGTTTATGGAAAGTCTGATAAGATTTTTTCATTTACACAATTCATTCCTGAACCTGAAGGCTAAACCATAGCTGTGCTGTTAAAGTTCGCTAACCCACCGTTTTGACATTTGGAATCAACCTTTTGTTTGTATGTATGTACAGGGATATTAATTTAGGATTTTCATACAAACAACCTGTCGCCCCAAGAGACACTAAATGGCGTGTTGGCTGTTACCCACAATATTGTTTATTCTAGGATTACAATCAACCTCCAGTGTTAACATACCATGTGCTCCCATAATGTTTTTTAGCTTTTTTCTGTACACTTGACATAAATACTGTTGATGGATGACTCACTAATTAATGACAGTATTTGCACAAATCTGTAACCCCTCAGACTCAACATGTACGTGCTGACAAAGTAAAGAAAAGCAGCAGCGGCTACTTGAACTTATGCTTCTTCCTCATTGTCACAGATAGTCTTCCCTCATAGAATGAAGCCAGTAAACCAAGACAGCAGCAGATAACATCCACCGAGCACATTGAACTCTGGACAGCTTGGGTTGCACCATTTGTACACACAACACATGTACCTTTGTGTGCACTTCCCGGTGTGGTAGTGTGTGACACCAACGTGAGTCCTTTTGCAAGTTAGTGATTGCGCAGATAAGTCAGACAAGCTGCTACTTTTATTCCCGAGTGTTTCTCACTCTGCAAAGAAATTATTTTAGCTTAACAATGTGACTCGAAAAGCTTTGTTTTGCACTCAAGCGTTTAACAAAGAGACAAATGACTAAATATCTGTGGTGGCATTAGGCAATTTAGGTTTGAAAATATTAACCAAGGATGTACACGGATATACAATTGCAAATGAATATAGTGGCAATTTGCATGTGTTATAGTTATAGTAACTGTCCTCGGAGATACTTAATAGCAATGATTATTGTAAATAACGGGATGAAAAACGTAGTTTTATCATGCAGGTAGCTCTTTGAAGCCACATTTCTTTAGAGACACCAAGCCATGCAGTATTTCCACAACATGAACTAAACTAAGTGGGGTCTTGTTAATCTCTCCCGAACGAGTGGCAGCTTCACCTGCATGTGGGATCCCGGCTCAGTCAATTGGACGTTACAGGAACACTGCGGTAGCTGTGTGTCCTGCCGGGACTCCACACACACACACACACACACAGCACATCTGCAAAGCCGACACTGCAGCTCGCCTCGTGTGTGTGTGTGTGTGTGTTACACAAAGCCACCCACTGACGAAGACGATCATGTGAGGTAAAAAAAAAAAAAAAACGTAGCATGTGACACTGGCAACGCCGCCAAAGGAAAACCAGGTCTCATGGCATGATTCATTGATCTGGTAAAGAAGCTGACTGGAAAAACGGAGAGCGATGCAGTCAGTGGAGCACATTTTGAGATTGACAAAGCCCCACGTTTAATACATTACACCTGATACCCTGCCTGCTTGTCACTTCATGACCAGTTCAGTAAATATATAAATGGTGAAGCACATCACTGTGGTACCAAGTACCCCGCAGCTGCGGCTGCGGGGTACCAAAGGTTACAGATGTCAATTGAGATTCCTTTAAAACTATTTAATAGTACAAGACAATGTTTGCTGACATGGGTTCAGTTGTTGTACCGTTTGACCTTTGTAGGCACGAGCCAACACATTGGGCGACTATACTGCTAAACTAAATGCACAGCAGCACATTATATATCCGTTCTAATAACTATACCCACATACTAATAAGAATGCCAGAAATTATTATATTATTTAGTATGTCCTAATATATATAAAGGGGGTCATCCAGTCGCACAAAGGTGTGTAATCTGGAACGCAGTATTTTGTCTCTCAAACAAGTTTCCAATGCATGAGCTATTGTCTCTCTAAGCAGCATTTAACACACCATTGTAGTGGCTTTGCTGCCAGTTACATTTGTGAAATTGTATTAGCGAATTATTAATCATATTGTGGCATTTTTTTCAATTGATCAGATACAGAAAAATCACAAAACATTTAGTCTTTATTTAATTGTAGTTCATACAAAACCACATCAGTTGATGCAACAGAATATCTGCATTCTAGCCTTCCTGTCCTTACTTCCTCCCAGCTGTCTGCACATCTGCTGATTCAAATTCAACTCCCCACAGGTTGCTCCAGAACAAAAGTCCTTCACATCATTTCAACAGGCCCTGAGCCCCTTTTAGCTGCTGGGGGAATTAAATCCTCCCAGCAGCCAATAAAGTGTTTCTCACAGCAGCTTTTAAAAAACACTCCCATGCGCTGTTCATGTTTTCTATCCAACGAACCCAATTTGACCGATAATTATTGTTAAACCTGTTTTATCTGTGAAAATGTAAAAGCATGAAACGGTCAGTTGCCACAACTATAATCCCCACATAACAACAAAACAAAAACACACAAAAAAGGAACAAAAGATGAGTCGTGTGATAACAGGTTACTTTTATTTTCTACTAAAATACACGTTTCATGCAGGATTTCTCACTTTCCACAACAGTCAACAAAAACACCATGAAACTAGTGTGGAACCACCTGGCGGCATTTTGCCTCACAACGTTAGCCAAAGATGTTATGTGGCTCAGTAGCACATTGTGTGTGTGTGTATAAATAGTGAGTCTTCTTCTGCTGTTACATGCCGTTACATGCGTTAACTTGATAACCAACAGCCAATCATACCTGGTCATGACGTCGCTTAGAAAATCATGCTAAGTGCATCGAAAAATGGAAAATAAAAAGATATGACAAACAGAACTTGGTGAAAGTGAAATATTGCTTTTGAAAATGAACGTAATAACATTCAGTGTTAGTCCACCAACTGCTCGCCTCCATCGATGTGGTACAGTTTGGTTGGTCTCCTGGTTGATTTGCTGGATGTGGCAAGTAAAGAGTCAATGTTTTATCATTTCGGGTTCAGTTCCGTTGGCAACTTTGAGGCGCCGACTTTGACCAAGAGGAAAGGTTGTGCACTGGCAGACTAGAAGGCATAAGTGAATCAGAGTTAAATATAAAGGAGCGACTGCGCAGGGAGGAAACTCTACTTTACAAGGCCTGCTATGATCTTCATATGAAAATAAAAAGAGGTAGGCTAATTCGCTCCACTCCTCAGAATATACTGAGTTGAATAAGATGCAGAGATGAGCACAAAGTACTATTTGTCAAACATGCAACACACAAAGCCTGTTTTGAAGATGACAGCATGCTTTAAAAATCAGCCATCAGACCGATTAATCGTTGTTTCCTTCCTTACGCAACAGCTTGCATATTAATACTATTAACACTTGAATTACTTTTTCATGTAAACAAGGAGACAACAAAACACCCGACTCATGCATAAATTATCATCTTCACGTAAGCACAGACAGATGTCACACCACAGCAAATCTAGTGGCTTTTGCTTGCTGATTTGTTCTCTTTTGTTTTTTAGGTTGCGGGACAATGTTGAACGAGCTTTGTTAATACAGAAATGAAGCGCGGCGCGACTCAGCGCATCTTCTTGTCCTTCCTGCTGCCCGCCTGCATGACGTCGTTGAGGTTGAACGACATGAAAGCGATCTGCTCGAATTCGCTCTCTTTGCCGCACTCCATCAGGCATGAGAACTGATCCTTATCCCCGTTGTACGCCACGTCTGAGTAGCCGCTGGGCCCGCGGTGGATGATCATGGGCCGGTCCCACCCCGACGAGTGCAGCGGGGACCGGTTGAGGTACGCGCCCATGTCCCTCCTGCTGGACTTGTTGCTCGGGTGCACGAAGAGGAGCCACGTCTGCGAGTCCGGGGACAAGAGCGACGTGCCGCACGCTTTGCTCTCGGCGTCGTCGTTGGGCACAAACTCGGGAGCGGGAAAGCCAACCACGCTGCCCTGGCAGCCCCTGGGCGGCTCGACCAGCTCCGGGGCCACGTGGGGCTTGTCGAAACACACGCCGCTATTTTCGCTCAGGGCCTCGCACCTGGGGCCCCCGGCGTTGCGGGCGTTGCAGTAGAGGTGACTCCGGCCCTCGTGGTCTATGATCTCCGCCATCTCGCACTCGCACGACGTCTTCCGAAGCATCTCGCCCACGCGCCACGTCTGGCCGAAGTCCTCGCTGTAGAGCGACAGAGCGCGCGGGCGGACCGTGAAAGGGACGGGGAAGGAGCAGCACCTGTGGGGGACGTGATAGGCGTACGCCGGGACGATCAGCCTGCCGTTCTCCAGCTGCACGCCGTGGCCCGGGCCCACGGCGAACGTGGCCCACCTGTGGACGGCCTCACCGATCGCGCTTTCCGTCAAGTCTCTCGCTTGACTCCAGGTCTGCCCGTCGTCGCCGCTGCTGACGCAGCAAAGGCGGGCCCTGTTCTTGCCCGTGATGATCTGCCTGCGCTCCGTGGTGTTGCCCCAGACGCAGATGAAAAATAGAAACAGCGTTTTGCTGTTTTTTTCAAACACCGGGCAGGGATTCATCGTGCGGTGGGATTTTAGACATGCTGTTGACAGCTCCTGGCTGGACGACCACTGAGAGGGGGGGGTGGGGGGGGGGGGACATGACCAAAATCCACCGTTAAAACATGGGTAATAATCATCACAGCTGTTAGTATTCACTCAGAGGTTAATAAGAGTATTATTGCATGTTAATAACAACCTGAACGGATCCATCATCTTTCAGCGTTCCTCTTCTCATAACAAGAATTTTGGCATCACAATCCGCGGAAGAAGATCTTTTCTCTGCAAAGGCGAGGAAGGTGTGACTGTGCCTCAGATAGATGAGAGCAGGGATTCTATATGTTGTACCACTCATTTCCCTCTGAAACAAAGTTGTTTTGACCGGTTCCTCTGCGCCGCCACTCTTTGATGGCGTGTTCCCCATGGTGGATCCCTGCGAGTAGAGAATGTTGTAGATGTGTGACAAGTCTTGGCTTGTGTGTGTGTGTGTGTGTTTTTTAAACCATTTTTATAACAATCTTAATTCAGAAAGAGTTCACACTCCAACAGCTCTTCGTCGACACATATCATTGGATTGCTACAAATAACGTGTTCCGTACAATACAACTCTTACCTTCACTGGTCACTCTCCGCATTTGTCCCGCTTGATCTTTGCGTGAACGGCATTGCACTATTTAATCTCACGCCACGCAGAAATACCTCTGATGTTCACGACACTGTTGTTATGGGTTCATCGGAAAAGAAGACGGCGCCGAAGAGAGAGCAATCCTCGAAAATACTTCCGTGTTCACATAGACGCGTCCTGAATAAACTAGACGCCAAATAAACAGCTGACGTTATCTAAATATCCAAAAATAGCTGCTCGGTCAAGCCTTCTTCGTTTTATCACCATAACACAATATCTGAAGGACAAACAAGGGAACTACAAACTGAAATCGGACGGAACCAGTCAGAAAAAACACTGTGACTTTCGTGGGCAGTCGTGCGCATGCGCAGTTCTGTGCCGATTAGACGCTAACTAGCTAAACCTTTTCAAAGAACACGGTTCAAACGGGTCGAAGGTAAACTCGGCTTGGTGAGTAATTGGATCCCGTGTGTCCTAACGCCAAAAACCGTGGCATTATCGTCACAATATATATTTAATGTATCAAATACTTCACGGTGGTTAAGCGGATTTTTATCTTCTCATTGAATTAAATCTTTGACCAGGTCTCGCCTGTACGCCGCAGCGCCTCCACCGGACTGGAGGAGTAGTTCTCGTTTTACGTGCTGTTGCTAGGATACCGAGCACCACAGTGTAGCCCGAAGCAATATGATGTAAATGGTCGCGTCCAGCTCTTCTCGGGGGGAAATTGTTTGCGATGAGTCTCACCAGCAAACGAGATGGCTGCATTCGATGATGGACAGGGCGAACCCTACCAAACGGTTCCCACCTTGGACATTACACCAACGAAGAAAAGAAAGTCAGTTAGGTAAAAGTCAAAATATATTGAAAAAATATTTAACATGCATGTAAAACCCATTCACAGGTATTCTACGTGATGATAAGTACATAATCATTTTGTATACTTCAGAACAATACACTATGAATATATTTATATTGTATTGTATTGTGGTCTTTGGTTTGTGGCAGAGGAGCAGCAATACAAGAATATGCAAAGAAGAATAAAAGACACCAATAAATACTATGACAACAAAAATGGGGCATTTTCTCCGCATGGTAACACATTGGATAGACATTTCCTGGTAAGTTACTGATGTCTATTGATCTGCTTATTTGACTAAAAGTATCACGGATCAGGTGTCCATTAGTGACGCCAAATAATGACGTTCTTTTTGCAGCTCAAATTACACTGCGCTGATAAACCGTGTGAGCTCTTCTCTGTTGACATCAGTGAGCGGAATCTGAATTCTGTGAGTATCACTTCCCCCATCGTTTAAAACAAAATGTTGGTGGCCTGTGATTCAATCGTGTGTGTCTCCTCTCTGTGCACAGGTCAAACCAGGAGACCTCGAGGCCTTTGACAATGTAGCTTACATAGACGCATCTGTTAACTCCCTCTCTTTAGGTGATTGCTCTTAAACATCATGCATATTTGCTACGAAGAAGATCTGGTCGCTTGCAAAAAATCTCTGACTTTTAGGAAACTTTTTCTTCAGGGTCTTTTAGCAGCTTTATGTCTTTGAGAGAACTCAATCTGTCACTAAATGGGATTTGCAACATGACGTTCCATGCAGCTCACTTCCCTAATCTCCAGGTAAGAAGGCTGACTCGGATATACTTAATAAAGGCACTGGTTGTTTCTATAGTTTGTCTTCATAATGTAATTATCTATAAATTGTCTCTGTATTTACTCACAGGTTTTGGATTTGTCCTTCAACAATTTGTCAGCTGATGATATTGTTTCCATCGATTGTCTTCCACGTCTAAAAGTTCTTCATCTGACCGGAAATAAGCTTCATCAACTTCCTCCTAATCTGGGTTCAGTCAACCATGACCCCACGCAACAGTTAGTTCCTTTTATTTTCACAAAAAAGGCAATATACTCGTCCAAATAGTACATTTTAGTTCAGGTTCAGGTTCATGTTGACCAAGAGGTGGCGCACAAATGCTCAAAATTCACACTGCGGATTCTGGTGAAGCAAATGTAATTACGTTCTGTACACCTTCACTACGGCAAGGTGTGCATATATATTTACATGTTTTTGTTTGTGTGCAGACCAGATGGGGAAGACGACACCACGTTTAAAGCTCTTGAAGTCCTGATGCTTGACGATAACAAGCTGTCCTCCGGAGTCTTCGTTAGTCTTGCAAACCTTAAGAGGTAATGATGGGGTTTGACATTTCCTTTGTAAAGTAAATTGAACATGGCCCCTTTGTGCATCACATTGAACAACAAATTATGTGGAAAGATTCATTAAGCATTTATAATTGTCAATCACAGGCTGAAGTGTTTAAACCTAAAGGGGAACCTCATTTCTGAAATACCATATTTGCAACAGACGCCGTGTTCAAAACTTTGGCGGACGTCTGTTGAAGAGCCAGCCGAAGAAGAAGGACTTGGTGAGTAACTTAACAATGGATCTGCTCGATGAGTTTCCTCTCCATCCTCAGGGAAAATACAAACATTTAGTCATTTTTACCCCTTTAGCGCTCAATCCAGAGACGAGTTCTTCCACCGTCCTCAGGAGGATCTCACAGGTGACTGATTATACATTTGATCTTTGAGATGTCTCATCATCTGGTTTCCCTTATTTTAAATCTCTGCTGCCGCCCCAAGGAAAACTTGGAGGAGCGCCTCAAAAAATCCAGTTTCCCGCTACCTGAGCTTCAGTTCCTCAATTTAGCCGATAACAAGGTGCGTCGGACGATTTGATGCCCCCCCCCCCCACTACAGAATGAGCTAACGCGTCTCTGTTTTCATCAGATTGCCGAAGAGGAAGCCCTGATGGCTGCTGCTCTTTTCCCAATGCTTCGAGAACTGGACATTCATTCCAACCCTCTGACCACGCTGAGAAGTGGTAACCCTTCCCTCCTTCTACAAGAGACCCTTTTTTTAAAGATCACTTCTGCAATGCCGATGCTTTTATGTCTCTGATTGGACACAGGAGACCCTCCCTTACTGACGTATTACCTCCACGAGAGACTGGGGATTACGATAAAGCGTAAGAAGGCACAGAAGAAGGTGTTGAAGCTTCCACTGAAGCTGTGTGATGATCCCAGCTGGAAGGTTGGTGTTCTGCTCCGGCGTCTGGTCGTGACCCTCCAGATTTTGGGATATTATTAACGATTCATCTGCTTTCTTTCTTTTTTCTTTTCAACACAGGTGGAGGAAAGGATCCCAAAGTTCTCAAAGAAGCTGTCGCTGATGGACGTACCTGGTTCTTCCCAGAGTCAGAAGAAGAAAGCGTCAGAATCTGAAGGCAGGCAAAGCAGAAACGACACCCTCATCTTTGTTACTCAGGTATGTATTTTTAGGTTTATTTTAATTCCCCCTCTCTTTTAGACTAATCGTTTTCTCCACTTTGCTGGATGTTACTCCATTTCCAGGCAACAGATGTTCCCGAATATGAGTGCGACCTCCCAGCTGTCAACAAAGAAACTGCAGGGAACGAGGAAAGATTGATGGACTCGAAGGGAAAACCAAGTCCTGATGTGGTGGAGCCCATCGGTGAGGACCGCAGCTTCACCCGCAGATATGCAGTTTTGGACATTTTCCTCAAGCCTTAAAAACCGTTTTGTGTTTCAACAGGAATTCAAACTGCTGTTCGGATGCTGGAAAACACACTGAGGCGTCTTGATGTTCGCAGAGACTCAAATCAAAAACTTGATTGCGTCCAGATTCCATACAGAAGGAGAGAGAGAATGGTTTTAACAATTTGTATTCACACTTAACGTCATAACGATCCAGTCGAGACCGTAGTGACCAAGGACGACATCTAAAGAGACATTTTCTGCACACAGATTGAGGAACTTCCCCCCGTGAAGCCAATCGAGCCGCCGACCGAAAGGGTCAATGAAATGTTCGCGCAAATCAAGGAGAGTACAACCGTCACAAAAGTCCCCTTAGGTACGCACATTTCTGGCACAACGAACGTCAGCTGACTTTTCCCCTTCGGCGACCTTCGCCCACGTAACGCTGTGTTGTCGGCGCAGGCGCCGCCGTACGAGGGACGGGCGTCAACAGGCGGGAGCAGAAGGAAGCTCTGTCGCTGCTGGGAGACATACAGAGGAAGCACAAGATGGTCCATAAGAAAACGATGGAGCAAGCAGCCGGCATTCAGTCCGACCGAAACACCGACCGGCCGCCCAGATGCTCTCCAGTGCTCAGCTGAACTGGGATTTTCTTTCCGGCGGGACTGAGACCTCGTTGCTGTCGGCATAGAATTGGTACGAGTGCAGTGGATGACAAAGCCAACCATGTATAAAAACTAAAATAGGTGGTCGTGCAACTTATTGGACGACTTAGATACGCAAACGTTATTTTGAACAAGAGACCTGTAGCCTGTAGCACACGGCGGGCAGCGGATCAATAAGCAAATAGAAAGCTGCGGCCCGTATAATATGATCTTTAATGCATTTCAGAGGGATGGTTTAAAGCAGCTGCTATCAGCAGACTCACTCCAGCTTGCATGCATAGTACACTACAGCATCCCATGTGTCAGCTCAGCTTCTTGGGCAAAAGACCAAAGAATACGTTCCAGTGTTTTCACCGGCCCACATGTTTTATTCCATGAGCATTCCCTTGGAGGCTGCAGTTCTCGGCCTTCATCCTACTGAAGCGTGCTAGAGAATTAAATTAAGATTGCTTTATAGAATGCTTGGCCTTCCAATAAATGAGCCCAGCTGCAACTGGACTAAATAGAAGTGATCTTTTCAACCAATGAATACTAACGCTGAGGATGTGTGACATGTTGAATGTGTAACACCTTAAAATCAGCTGGAGAGCATTTGTACTGCAAATACTTACACTGTGCTACTTTATGTGTTATATTAAGTGGAACAGTAATTTATTATAACTTAAAGCAGATGTCTGCACATCAATAACAGTTTTCTATTACATGTCACGGAGGCTTCGTTTTGTTCCTTCTTCTTCTTTTCTAGCCGTGTTCTGCTTTTTGTTGTTCATTCTCTCTTTGATTTCGTACTTCAGTTCTCCTTTTCCAGAGCCGCGTGCACGTGTGGAATGCAGGCTCAGCCCAGGTGGAATAAATCAATGGCCACTCTAAAAAAAGGTTTCACGGGATTCTACATTTTTACATTCACATGTGAGTTTTCCTCTGTGTGCAAAATGACACGTAGTATTACGCGCAGTAAGCCGGGAGCTTTGTGCTGCTTGTGTGTTGTCATTCTGTGGCACACGTTTAACATTTTCATTTTCAAACTTAATTTAAAGTTATTATCCATGTATATTTTTTTGCTGTAAGAATGCCACGTGGTGTTCATACACAAAAATTAATTTTAAAGTTTGATCTCCCCGATCGATGCGATGCGCCAACCACCAGGCCTTCCGTCTTTTCATCTTCAGCGTGTTAGTTGGTAATAGGGACACGGTGCCAAATGGCAGCGCTTTGACACGCTGCAGAAATACCGTTTTCCAGTCCGCTGGAGCTCAGCAGAGCTCGTCTGTGTTACAAAAGTACTCCACAGCTGCTGAAGATATCCAATCCTCAACGTGCTATATTTCTCTACCGCTCTCTTATGGTTTTTTCCCCGTTAATGCTTTTACTGCTCGATCCAGCTTTGAGGGCAACTTGACAAACGTCTTCTGGGGAGTTGTTGCTGCTTTCAGTAACCCGATGAAGTTTGCACTTTGGCCGGCGAGTCCTGGCCCGAATTTATTTCCGCTGCCCGGAATGCTGTTTCCAAGTCATTTTTTTAAGTGATCATTTTTGGAACTTTGGCCATCTACGGTTGAACGAGTGCAGTGTTTTCATGCTGGAATTCTAGGCAGAGAATTGACTATTGTGCAAGAGGTTTACACTTCCGTCTACAGTTTGGGGAAATGAACAGTCAAAGGTTATATTCCAAGGAAGTCAGTAATCACTCACTGAATTCATCACAGAGTCAGAAAACCTTGGACAATTTGTTGACAAGGAGAAGATGAAGATGTTTTGCGCTCTGTGTTCGTCCCGGCTCTAACTACCTACTAAAAAAACTGCCAAACTGATGATGTGTGGAGCCCGCTGACACGGCCCAGTGGAGACAGGTCTCAAACACAGAAACTGTTACTGGGACCCTCCCAGTATCCTATCGTTGGCTGACTCACAGGAGATGCACGACGAGGAAGTGAAACCAAAATTGAAGCAGCGGAGATGACCAAATGTTTTTGTCCCATGTAGGTCAAGCTCTAAGAATCCTTCAATTCCCATAATGCAACTTGATGGCATATTTCATTGAAACCCCCATGTTCTACTGATGACATCACTATTCCCCCGAAAGCAAAATAGTGACATATTCTTTTTGGAAGTTTTAGTTAATGTTTCTTTGCTTAGCATTTGTCTGTTCTGGAGGCATCATGGAGTCATGCATGCTGAAGAAGTAACAATGGTCTTCTAATCAAGGCTGGAGACAGTCACACAACCCACACACGCCTGTGTTGTTACTCTAAAGGGTTTCCTTGGGATAAGCACCACGTTGGCGGCAGAGTGAAGCCATTAGAATCGCGTGTCTCTTTTTATTTTTATTGGACTCTTGCTCACATTAACGTCAACACAGAATAAACACGCAGACCCAAAAAAAGGCCCGGCTGCCCTTTTGTTGTTAACATTAAAAAAAAAAGGCGATGAGGTGAGTTATTAACTGAAAACACATTACCATCCGTTCGGCTGGGTAATACAACACACAGTCGAGAAGTAGAAATAACAAAAGACGTGGTGGAGAAAGGCGGGACGGATCTTTCTTTATACATCTATAAGTTTGTGTTTATTTTCCTCTGTATATTTCAGCGCTGCACATTCTCACATCTGGAGCGGCCGTCGCTGCGAAACCTTGACAAATGTTTGGGTTGGATTTGTTTGGGCTCTCAAGTTGAAGGCCAACAGTTAAGCTTGGAGAACAACCCTGTGGAGAATCAGACGCCGGATTTGGCTCGAGAAGAACGAGTCCGAATACCTCATCAACACTCCTCATTACTCCGGTGCCAAATGAGTTCACTGCGGACCGGACCTATTCATCATTTATTGTGATGGGACAATTGAACTGTGACACGCTTATCATGTAATCCCCGGAAAAGGCTTCGGAGGCTCTTTGGCCAAGCGTCTGAAAAGAGGTCGTTATTAGTGAAAGATCGCGACCGCAAAGCTGTCGGGTCTCCTGCGTCCTGTGAAACATCTCGCTGTGCTCTGCTTTTAATGGTCTGCAGGTCTGCGAACAACACGTGTTTAAATGCATGACCCTTAGACTGAGCTGCTCGGGGGGGGAAGAGATAAGGAACAAAGAGTTCACTGCATGTCTCACCGTATTGTTCATGTTCTCTTGGCCAGACGCCAATCCTCCACTAAAATGATCAGGCCAAACTTGATTAACGAGGGGATAAGGGCGTAAAAAAACAGAGCCCTTGATAGACTTCAGAAGTATTTTGATGAAGTGTAAACTCAGGGCTTCTGCTGAGCACCGTGCTCAAAAGCAAACACGTCTATCAGACTCAATTAACACAATTTGGCTCCCTTTGAATCAAAAGACTGCCCGATTTGCGACGCTTGAGTTCCTCATAAAACGGGCGTAGATGCGAGGAACTACCTGCTGCAGCACACGAGGGCATGTGATCTTTTGAAACGAGTTAAAACCCGGTTGCTTTCCCGTGGAAGACAGCTCGGTTACTGCAGAGGACTCTGCAGAGAAACCCTTCAACGGGAAGTGTGTAAAAAAACTTCATGCACGAATGGATGTTCTCTGAGATGCGTCAACGTTACCGCGATGCCTCAGAAGTTTTTCCCACTCCGGGCCAAGTCGTGACCCCGAGTCACACGTTTTTTTTTTTATTTCGCTTCTCACTGAATCTGGGCCTCTTGGGCAGCAGGGGCCGAAGCACACGTACACAGAGAGCCGACCGACTGCATGATTTATACCCCGCTGACTGCCCCCGGCTGCTACAATCGCCACAACTAAGCATGCAGAGCAGAATCGGCCCGGGAGACAAACTCAAGCATCCTCTAAATAAGGAGTGATTTGCATCAAAAACAGTAGGCAAAGACATCGAAACATGCCGTGCAGATGCGACACGTTTGTTTGAAAGTCAATCATAATCCCCATTGAATGACGTGCGTTGGAAGACGGAGACGTGGAAATGTTGAATACTCATTTTAAGTTTGCAGCAATGAGGCCAACTACACAAAAACACGCCCGGCTTTTTGTGAGTGTAATGAAGGCGCACAAGGGGAGTGCGTCCGTTTCAAAATATTGTTTCATGGGAGACAGAGTTGTGTGGCTCGGAGCGTAAAAGAAACACAATGAGTGATTGTGGGAGGGAGGGGACAGAGAGAGCTCGCTGGGAGTTCACAGAGAAGGGGAGCAATATTATTATAGAGCGCCCACTCAGTCTACCAAACCTGCAGTTGCACACTGGCTGAGTCATTGCAACCGCGGTGATAATTGGACAGCTGGTGATCAAACGGGCCTGCGGAGAGACTGCACACGGCGCTGCAAAGCAAAAAGACAGAGCGTGCGTGCTTTCTTATTATTTTCATGAAATTGTGTTAATTCAGTACTTGAATTGGAAGCACTACTTATTTTACTGTGGTTTGGAAATACTTCAATACTTTTTTTTAAACCCTTTTTTTTAGTTGATATGATATATATATTTTTTTTTACTTTTCCATTACTTTATTCAACTTGATATTTTTTTTCAAGACATTAATTTACTTTTTTCCATGACATTTTTTGACATAATATTTGGGGATTCTTTTACTTCATGTTTAGAAAATACTAACCCATTTTTTGGCTTATACTTGCATCAATCAGCTAAATCTCCCCCACCACGTTTACAATGACCCATCTGATGACCAAGAAAAAAATTGATGAAATAGATTTTATACCCAATTGAAAGTGTACATTTAATTCTGTGCTGCATAAAAATGATTTTGATAACAAACAGGATTAAGAAAATTGTTTTTTACACGCAATTACAAAGGCGTGTAATCAAACCTCGATGCAATGCCCTCTTTCTACTTAATGCAAAAACAATTCAGACAGTCAAATATATATACAGAGAAATCATTCAAAAGTAACACTTTCTAAAGGGGACAACCCCTCAGTTTGAATTTCCAATAAATATGTTGATTATATATATATATATATATATATATATATATAACATCTTTTAAAAAACCTTTACATTCTCAACCAACGATGGCCCTTTGTTCAACAGATAATAAAATACAGATCACTTTCCTAAAAAGCAAAGGATCTGTTTGAGAAATACTGATTGCAAAATGTCCTCAATCATTCAATATCATCAGTAAGTTAACAACATGTCGGATTCCACTTGTATTGCAGGAATGATGCACAACATGAATAAAGTATTTACTGCATGATAACCATGTACATATCGGGAACATTGATATAAAAAGTGTCAAAGGAGGGGAAACAATCAGGGGGAACACACGTCTAGTATCTGCTTGGGATTTAGGAAAGTCACCATCTCTCGAAGGCCGTCTACACAAATTGTGGTCCTAGGAGCAGCGCTCAGTCTTTCTGCCTCATCTTTAAATATTTTCCACGTCTCTAAAAAAAAAATTAAAAATCAGTCATCAAAACCCAAAAGGTCAGGTGGATTTCACCAAATTCAAGTATTTGCAGAATAAAAGATGAATACCTTCATCAAGTTTTGTTATTAATGTGAAATTTTCGGGGTGATCCACAATATCTTTTCTTAGAACGTCACCAATTTCCATTAATTGTAAAACACCTGTATAAATAAAGAATGCAGATAAGAGTCACATATGTGTGCAGCGATGGTGTGCATTCCTCTTAATGTTTGTAAGTATGGCATGAACCTAAGACACACGTGTGCATGTTTACTTAAATGCTGCCAAGAGAAGCAGATTTAGTAGACTGATACCGCTCTGTCTCTGTCCATACCATAGGGTACAGTCAGCAGCTGATAGCTTAGCTTAGCATTAAGCCTGCTGACAAGATCATTTAAGCAGCACATCAAAAACCCACAGAACTTCCCATATTTACTCTTTTTCAATCCGTAACAAAAAATAAGTCTTACATTTCTGTTTTTAAGGCGGGTTATGTGCTAAACTACGTCTCGATTCACTGTTTAGATCTCTAGAGGTGTATGAACTACTCCTTCCTTATAGTTCCCACCAGCGGCTACCGTACCTTCCACGGTCTTCCAAACTTGCACTTCAACCTCAGCAGGACTTTGTCTTTCAACGGCAATGATCCGAACTGCGTTGGTCGGATCAACTTTCAAAGATGAGTCTACTTTATACACCGAGAGGCGCTTCTTATGTCCGAGGAAGCACCGGGTCTGGTTACTTCCAGCTTCGTTCTCTGAAGACACAAAACAGACGCCAGAAATGTGGATAGTGTTTACAGACAATCAACACGATGTCAGTATAAACAGCTCCTCGTGTTAGTGTTTATATTTGATCACCTGGACAAGTCTTGCAGCACTTTCCAGCTGATTTCACAGGATGTTGGCACGGGTACCGTCTGGGACACGTGATGCGTTTGCAGTCCTGGAGGCCGTCGGTACAAGTGCACAAGATGCATTCCAGGACCTTCCCCAAAACTGGGTGCCACATGTCTCCATGCGAGTACGTCTTGCCGTTGTACAAACAAGCTGAGGGGAAATCAAAAACATGTGAGTGTTGTGCTACACGTGGAAGTGGTTGTGAAGTTGCGAGGCAAGTCGAATACTCACCTCTCTGGTGCCTCCTCTGCATCAGGATCTTCACGGTGGTCTCGGAAGCCCCCCCGAGGTTAAGTCTACTGAGGCTCAGGCCTCGTGGAGAAGTCCTGACCTTGAAAGGAGTGGCGCGGTCAAACCGTGTCCTGCTCTGCTCCCCGGAGCACTGGTCGACCGAATGCCTCTTTTGTAAACAGAGAGATATAAACAGTTGTCCGTCATCCATTCAGCTCTTGGCTTTAATATCTTTATCTCGTCTCATCTTATCAGACCAAGAGGTCCGAGGATCTCGAGAAATTCGGACTGCTTTGTCTTTAAGGATCGCTGAAAAATGATTGTTTTAGAAATAATGTGAATGACGTGAAGTGGAAACAATGAATTTGCACAGTAAGGTCAAAGGTCAGCGTGGTACGCACCACGCCTCTGTTTAGTTGCTGGTTTCCATCCTCAGTCGACGATGAACCGCTGGCGCCGTGATCTAAAGACCAGAGAGGGGAAATAAAGGTGAGGACAGTGTGTGTTCTCTGGAGGACACTTCAGAATGCATTACAGATTCACTGCATTCAACATCAGTTTCTTCTCCCAATTGTATTTTTCCATCTACTTTTCATTTTGTTACGCACATAAATGTGAGAAGAACGTTTTTTATGAACAAGCCATGTGTTCAGACCCAATACTCAACATATTATTGCAGGTTGAAAACAGAGCGAGGTCGTTTTTCTCAGCTCGGAGGGGTTTGATTACCTTTACACACCAAACAGCAGGTATCCTGGACGGAGACCGGAGCGGAGCAGGTGATCGGCTGGCATGTTTTCAGACCGCAGAAGATGTTTCCATTCTGAGAAAAGAAGTTCATGCTGACTGAGAGATCCATGGAGGGAAATATATTATTAGTATTAGGATAGATGACATTTGTACTGCTCTTATATTTTCACTATGAATCTGTTTGTTTATTTTGTAATGTGTTGTCTCCATGGAAACCTCTGTCAACAAACACCACTTGTAAACTCTAAGAAAATTAACTCCTCACATCGTGCAGCCTTTAAAAAAAGACAACTCCAGGGTGATGTCAAGTTTTGGCCTGACTTCTGCTTTCCTCTCCGATGTCTGCTTTTGGTTTTATAAATGATTGCCAACGTCAATTTTTATTTTCCTCACCCCAACTGAGCCCAAATCAAAGCACCAGCTGCAGGGATTAAATGGAACTTAACAGTACATTTCTATTTTTCCTTCATAGCATTAGCAGCACTAAGCTATACATCAACACCACCTGAGATAAATCAAAGAAATTGGAAATTCCACAACCTTTCATTGCCTTAAATATGAGACATTTTAGCACACGAGCAGCTGCTTTTCATATGGTACAAATAAAGTCTCATTAAACGTAATTTAAAAAATGCTCTGCTGAGCATTAACTCTGATTTTTTTTATTGTTAGGGCGACATTGTGTTGAGTTAAGTGTTTTATGTGGGCTTAAATCTGGTAATTAAAGCTTCATTTTATTGATCAGAGATGTTTGGAGAAAAACAACTCACAGTCAAGAGTGGTTTGTGGTAAACTCTAGGAGTTATTGTCCTATTTCTTTGAACATAGATAAAGATACATCGGAAAATACTGTACATTTCTGTTTTTTATTGTCTACAGAGCAAATGACAACTTTTCTCTTTAAAGCTTTCTTCAGCTTCACATGTCTCACACACTGCGTGCGTTCGAGATATTCTTTTCACCGCATCAATAAAAGTACACAATTAGATGCATACTCACGGAGCAAGTGCACATGACGCACTGATTGCTTTGCCTGGATGGGAAGAGGTCGAGCTTAGTGAAGGTTTCCCCCGGCTGATAAATACTTCCATTATGCCTGCAGGACTTCACCGAGGCTCTCAGCCCTGCAGGGACCCGGGGCTCATCTGAAGAGGGCACATCGCACCGGACAGGAGCGTGTTTAAAGTCACACAAACGACAAACCCCGCAGGCCCTGATGGGTGGTTTGGGACCGTCTTACCTGTGCATCTGGGACAACACTGCTGAGGCTCAGCTACTTGGTTTTCACACGGCAGAGTTGGACACTTGATTGTGCTACATTTCACATGACCTGCCTAAGAGAGAGAGAGTGAGAGAGAGAGACTGTACAGGACTTCCCAAACATCCTTGACTCCCCCAGCCACAGAGTCTCTCAGACGCTCGAGCGACTTTAGTGCAATAGTCCTTTACATTTGTTTTTATAAAAAAGGTACCTCTGAACAGACACAGCGCATGCAGAACATGAATCCCAGGGGCTCCAGATAGGGATGCCAGCTGTCTCCTGGACTGTAGGTCTTGTCTTTAAAGGTGCATAACACTGCGGGCCCTGATTGTCAAACAGGAGGAGGAGGTGAGTGTGGTGCAGAACGACCCAACGGCAAAGCGTAACCCTAAGCCACAAACATTATTCAATGCCAATCCGCTTTGAGTCATTCTACCATTAAGAAACAAACGTTTTATCGTAATATGGCTTCTGGTAGAAAGATGTAAATACGCTTTAGCACAAAACCCCAATGTGGAGAGGCATTCGGGGTGTTTATCTTATGATATTAGTTCAGCTTCATTGCTAAATTCCTCCCAACTTTCCCCATCAGACTCACATTGCCATGCACTAACCACTTTCGATCAGGACTAAATAAGCATCAGCAGGGTCTTACCTTTGCGGGGCTTCAGCTCTGTTTCTGTAAACCAAATGATGAAAAAGAAGAATAATGTGGGCTTCATTTTTTTTGTACATGTGCGTGACTGAGTCTTCAGCGCACAATGCGTGTTTTTCTGCAGGATCGAAACTGAACGGCAGCTAAAAAAAATAATTAAAAAAATAGAAAGGAGATCCGACCCCTTTGGCTGGTTGATCTCTGGCGCCCCCCGCAGGACACCGCGGTCAAGTCCGCCTTCGCTTCGTGTAACACGCGCGCGCACGGTGTTCCGCAGTGCGCGCGCGTGTGTGGAGTCCGAGGCGCGCTCCCGCTAACACCGCGAGGGTTCGGTTCTGAAGCGTTTGAGGGCTCGCGGGCACACACGTCACACATGTCGAGCCCTTTACGAACACCGTGCTGAACACGTGTGGACAAAAGTACACATGAAATCAGACGAGATTTATTCATGAAAAATATGCTGTCATCAAACCAATTTCGACAACAAAAAAACAAACACTATTTAAAACGACCCTCAATTAGAAGTCCGAATTTACGTTGTTGTCCCATTCATAGACACAATTTAAAGCCCTCAGACTTGGGGGTTCAGGATGAGGGGCCAGACTGGGATTGGGCCCAAGTTTAAAAGGAAATTGTCTATAGTGAAATAATTCATTATAGAGAAACGATGTTCGCAGATTGAAAGCCCTTGGAAAACTTTAAAATTACATTCTCAGGCCAATCTCTCGATTTTCAAATTAGATAAAAGGAAATGGTCTGTAGTTTAACACAGGCTAACAACAGAATCAAGACATTCTGATGTAGGTTTTCAAAATGTATATAGACAAGACATTGATATTCCAACATAATGTTATGGATAATTATATTGAGGTTGGATAACAATACAAATTTGAGGCTGTATTTTCCTGATGTGTTGGATAAAAAATGGCTTCTTAAGTAACAATGAAATGGACAACATACAGAAAAAGAATATTGTTCTCCATTTATTAACACACATGGGGAAATTTAACAGTGCAACCACGTTAAAATGACATTAAGATCCCTCCAAATTTACTTGAAGATCCAACAAAAATAAAAGATGTGACAAATATTCCCACAATGAGAAGAGTACTTCTGCTCCATACATATTTCCAGCCAACAACCGGCTTAATAATAAAACATTCCGTTTGAAAAAAAAAAGGTTAATTCAGATCTTTAGAAACAAAAGATCCCAGACTCAATTTAAGATTTCTAAAACCAATAAAACGGCATATTCTAAAATAAGATTTCTCTTGAAAAGGAGGAAATGGCATGCGTCCAACAATATAAAGATCCTAAAAAGGTTGAGACGAAGATAAAATCCCCCAAAATTGAACCAAAGGCTGGTCGTTAAACAGCGTTCCCGTTTCCCTTTAAAAACCGCACCGGATAGCTCACTTTTCATCATCAAATCATCATTTCATCAAAATTGTGAATACTTTCAGAATAGTAATGTCACTTAAATATAAATGCTCGTCCGTATGAAACATGATGACAAAAATATCCTTTTAAAAGTTTTGTTTGAAGATGCCAGGGTGTTTTTAGCAGCCAGTCACGTCGTCCTGGACTAAAAACAGATTTCTCATAAAGTAAAAGGGTCAAACACTGGAAGATCTATAATTAACGAGACGAGCACATATTTAACCCTTTGGAAACTGACTCAATCAGACGCGACTAAACAGGACATTATGATTTCAACGCAGTCCAAGACTGACAGTGGTATACACACTGGATTCAACACCTCTTGTTTAAGTTGTACTTAAATGTCTGAAGTAACAGATATTGCATTATAGGATGAATTACACCGTGCAGACAAACCCACAAACGCAGAGACGCACACACACACACACACACATACAAACCCAAACACCTCCATACAGCGGATGGCAACAATATTGAAGACTCAAGAGCTGCTGCTGGGTGCCCCTGACTCGCCCTCTTGCTTTTGCCGCTTCTTTGCCCTGATTTCATTCATGGCTTCCTCTATGGAGCGAGTGTCCCGCTTATTCGCCACCGGCACTAAAAGAGAAAAGGAATCCCTTCAGTAAATACAGGAGAACTGCGCTTTGAGTTGAAGTGAAGCAAAGCAAAGCGGCAGTGAAGAATGCGACGACGTGTACTCACCGCAGCCGTAAGCGCTGTTAGCCTCGAGTGTATGTGCCGCATCTTTCGCAGCCGAGGTGCCGATGAGGTGACTGTACTTGTCTCTGTAGTTGGAGTTGGGACACGCTTCTGCCTTTTTTGTCTGACTGGAGGCTGTTTCTTCCAATGCAGCCTGCTCCTGCAAGGGAAAGGAAACCAAAAAAAAAAAAAAGGATGAATTTAACCGTTATTAAATTAATTGATTTATCCTTTATGGTCAATTAATGTGACGCTACTTGAAACATTGGGGTGGATCCAGTCTTACTTTCAGTCTTCGCCGTTGCTCTGCCAGCTTGGGATCCCACTCCTCTCCATTGCGATAAGCTTCCAGCTCCTCGTCTGACGGAGCGAACTCCTGCCAGGGCACAACGTGGAAACCGGTCACATTTTCCCCAAACATTATTACCCCAAAAATGGATGAAAAGCAAAGTTTCCTCACTTTTTTGAAAATCATGACATAACGGCTCTCCTCTTCCTCCCCAAAAGAAAAAGAAGTCAGACCAGCCACCTCCGCCACATCATGCCTACATGAGATGTGAAACAACGTGAGCATTTGACGCAACATGACATGACTTTCTGCATTGAAAGGAGGCCCATCGTATTCATCTAAAAAACTTACAATATACTTCTTTCAATCTTCCCCATTGGATTGTATTTCCGTTTCGGTTGTGTGCTGTCTTGAATGAAATCAGACACTTCTTTCTCAATCTAAACACACAGAGAGAAACAGCCTGTGTCATTTTGCATGTGATTAATACCAACATGGGGTTAGGATTAACCCTAACCAAAGACATATTGCACATAGCATGTAGACAAAGTGTAATAGATTAAACTCATGGAGCGCTCACTTTTTTCCTGAACTCGGCTTTCTTTCTTTTCTCATTTTCCTCCATCTTCTTGAGTCTCGCTGCTTGTTCTTGAAAAAAGGAGGACAGGAATTTCACTTGTTTGCACCCGATGAAAGTTGACGCTTTTAAACAGAGATCACATAGCAGATGCAAACGGCCGGCCTTCATTCTTAAAGCGTCAGGTAACAAAGAGTAACTCCTCTACTTCAGGGCTGGGAAATGCGATTTTCTGTTGCATGTTACTAAAGTCAAACAGCTCATAACGGTTAATGAAATAGGTTTGGTCATTTTTGTATTCCAATCACCGGCATCTTGACGCGGTGTCTTCACAACTGAAAAGATGACGTTCTTTTATTTGTTGCACTCCACTCAAATACATACAATAACGGATAGAAAATGTGCGTCGTCTAGTACCATTGGATGTATTGCATGTATAAAGGCTAGCTAAACGGATCATGAATGTAAAGAATACAATAGATGTTTATATAAAAAGGGACAACTTTTGAATGTTGGTGTTTTCTGTTGTCGATGTCAACATCCGGGACACTACAGCAGATCCCACAGCGTTGGATGTTTGAATGATATTTATTCGATTCAAGGAATTGGCCCGCAAGTATCGCCACTTTTGACCGCATCAACTGCTCCGACACAAAAAACACTGCTCCATTGTGATTCAGAGGGCTCGGCCCCCCGCATCACTGGTCTCGGACTGCGGGACACGCGAGGGCTCCGTGGGGGCGGTGACACGCCAGCTCCACGGTGCTAAACGGAAGGCTCGACTGGCCAATGGCAACAGCAGAAACGCTCCCTTCGCCTGCCCTTGTGCTACTTTACACACTACTGACTCCCTTGTAATGGCCGTTTCAACGACGTCAAACTGAGTTGTTATTTAGTCCGAACACAATGTACCTCGAGCCTTTCGTCGGCTTTCCTGGTCGCCGACAGTTGGAGGCTTTTCCATCGAGTTTAAGATTGAGCCTAGGAGGTCCGCCATCTTGGAATGAGGGGGAACGCCGTGGGGTTGTTGATCACGGCAGCGGTAGAGGGCTGCGCATGCGCAGAAGCTCAGAGTTGTTCTTCATCCCGGTTAAATAAGCGGCGTTTTAGGCAAGTGTCGCCACCGTGTGGACCAGGAGATTATGTCAACCAGCGGTGGGATTTAAATGTCGACTTCTCCTTCTGCTTGACCAGCATTATTTCTGTTATATTACTTTATATCAATAATTTATGTAATTTCATAAAATGTGCATGCATTCAGTTGTTGAAATCAGTAATAATGTCACCCTGACCACATTTGAATGCTACTGTGATGCTAATCAATTAACAAAAGTCTATGATAATTACCATACCAATAGACCATAATACGTACATGTACGATTTTTAATGCAAGATGTTTTGTACCAGAGTATTTTTACCTTGTGCAATAGTAGCAGATTAGTCCATTGAAAGTGATTTCCCTTTAGGTGTGAGTGCACATAAGCTCTAGAGGGCAAAGGACACAAGTACACGTCTGTGTATCTATGCACAGTGTTGTTAGTGTTTTGTTAAAAACAATCCTCCCTTGTGTCTGTGGAGCAGAGTGTTTTGTGCTGTTTGATTGTAGTTCTACAGCATCAGCAATAACACATGAACTACTGCCATATTCAAATGTGGGCAGAGCAATGGTTGAACAGAGGGAAGCCCTGAAAGCACAGACAGCATTGTGCGGCTCGCTGTGTCTAAAAAAACAGATTCACTCGTATTTCACCGGCACTAGTAACCTTTGGAGGGCTTTTTCTTTTGAAGTAAGTACAATTAAAACAAAGAAGAATAATTTACAGTATCTCTAAATCACAGAGCAGCCTGAATAATGAATGATTATTAGGGAAACTGAGCACACAAAATGGCTGTACAGCTCTTCGTTAAAATTTAAACAGCCATCTTAAACCCATAAGAAGCTGCTGCTGTTGAGCGGGCTGAGTAAGCTGATAGTCCCGACCTACAGGCCTCAGACTGCCGTCATCCTGCGCTACTTTGTTATTGTGATCCGGGCAGAGCGCGGCGGACTCCTCCCCCGGGGGGGTTGAAATGCTGTATAAATGCAGCATCAGCCTGTCAACAACATGTGTGAAAGCTTATTGGTACCCAAACATGAAGGGACTGAGCTTGGTTCTCCTTGTGCTTCTCCTGATGCTCGCAGTCGGGGAGGGTAAGCAATGTGGACACAACCATTTTCTTACTGCGTGAGATCAAATCCAGCAAATCACGATGTGGCAAATGCTCAGACTAGACCAGGCTTTTAAAAATGTTTTCAAGATGAATGGATTTGTTGTGATTGTGGTTTAAGTCTCTTTTCATCAGACATGTGGGAAGATATTTTTAATCCTTCTACAACGCTTGATTGACAGGGCATGATCCAGAGATGCAGTACTGGACATGTGGGTACAGAGGACTCTGCAGACGGTTCTGCTATGCTCAGGAGTACATTGTTGGTCATCACGGTTGCCCTCGACGATACAGGTAAGGCCGCTAAGATTGGAACTGTGCAATAGGTGCTAGTATTTAAGCTTGTATTGCAGTAGACACAACTTTAGAGAGGATGTTTGACTGTGGAACCTTAATTGGCACCGTGGACGTCATGCATGTGGTTTTCAGGTGCTGTGCCGTGCGCTCTTATCACCAGCATGGGCCCGACGTCTTCAGCGCAGCCTGAAATCCTGGTAATTCTTCTGGAAAAAACACTTTACTCTGAATGAACCCTCTTGGACTCCAGAACGTGCAGTGGAATCTGACAATGAGTGCTTTTGGGTGCTCTTTATTTAGCCGGATGTCGTTAGATTAGCTTCACAGCTCTGTTATGTGGCTAACTGACTAAACCTGTATGCCACATTTAATGACACCAATACTTTGTGAACAGTGAGTTCCACTCTCTGAAATGCAGTGTTGCCAATAAACGCATGAAAATAAATCAACGTTTTGGTCTGTTGTTGTTAAGTTAAGATAGTAATCACTATCAGATTCAATTATACCGTCCACAATATAATTCAAAGTAATTCTTTCAATTGACACGTTCAACGAACTCAAATACAGCGTCGACACTAACTTTGAAGCCCCGTTCGCCTCTTGGCGCGACCTTAGGGAGAGAACGGCAGAAAAGGCGGTCCGGCATGCTTTTGCTCACCGCTGCACAGACGCGACACAATAACGGTCATGTGACCGACCCAAATAGCTGTGATGGAATAGAGCTTTTGTGAATGAAGGGTCCGGCCTCTTGATCCCTGTTAATGTCATCGCCCCACCCTCTCTGTCTGGACAACACGCCGTCTGGACCGTCCTATTCATTACGGTCCGACTGGAAGGTCAAAGGTCCTTGTTGGTGAACTTTGGCTTTATTTCATGAAGTGACAGCTGAAAAAAGAAAAACATTCTCACCTTAATGTGAGGCACAACAATGCAGGTCACGTTAAATACTGACATCTAGCAACCGCGCGAGTAAATCCCTCTTCACACACTTTATTATTATCAGCTTGCTGTGTTGGCAGAGGCCGGATCTGAAGATGGTCGACGGCTGGCCCGGACCGGTAGGTGTTAAAGGCCCGGACGCTATTTGTAAACAGGAGCCGCCGCATTGTGCCCCGCATTGTCACCCGAGTGGAATCTTTGTGCTATTCAGACAGCGCGGCGTGGCCGCACTACAAAGGCGTAGCCCGCCACGAACCCGATCGCATGAGGCTGTCTGTCTGTCTTCACAAAGCCCACAGCTCAAATGAGAAGTTACCACATGGGGGGGGGGGGGAGGGAGGTGGGGGGGTATTTTTAAACAGTATCAGTGTCTACTGTACCTGCTTTACAGGCTTTTGAACTTGAGAAGTCACATCGAAGTATTCTAAGACTGCAAAATACCTAATTTGGGCTTTAATTTGGGTTAACTTTAATGGCCTTGCTTGTGTTTTCTTACCACCGGCTGCATCTCTGCATGCAATGAGCTGTACAAATGAAGTTATTGTCATTGTGTTTTTTTGCAAATGTTTATCCCATAAAAACACGAAGCGATGTGATCAGAAATGATAAAGAGACACGACATCATCAGAAAAACAGAAATCCCGTAGGAGTTCTTCAAGGGTACGTTTTGACTCGGAGCTCAAATAAAATATAGTGAGTCCAAAATGCCAAATTCAGAGGAACATATTTTCAAACAGGACCTTTGACCTCTGTGTTGATTAGTGTCCCAGCAAGCTCTGGGTAGAATGTTGTGAGTCTGGTACTTTCAAAACCAGAGAGGCCTGATTGATGCAGCGCTTTTAATTTACGGTTTCACTAGTAAAGCATGACGCTCTGATGGAGTTCACCTTCAGGTCTTGTTTCTGCACAGCAATGGTCTGAGCTCGTTTCTATTAGACTTCGTTTTATATGTTTTTTCTCTGGAATTTGGATATATTATGATGGAAAGCATCAAAGCATACGGCCTCAATTCATGAACAAAACATTCATGGCAAATAAGCACTCGGCTAGTTGAATTCCCTTGAGACATGGCGGTGCAAATTTACACACTTTGGTTTGAGACATCCAGTTTCTACTGTTTCAATCCAGTAGAATAGGAAAGGACTTCCTTCTGAGGGAGCTTCTTCTACGAGAGAAGCAGGGACGCCAGAATGCGAGTGACATCAGTGTTTCTTTCAGGCTTTGTGTTTGGGTTCGGGTTCCATTTCTTGGAACGGGCCAACAGTTTTTAAAAACATATTTAATGAAACAAAACAATCATTGTTTTAGATGTAATTTGTGTTGTCAGATTTACTTGCTCTTCGATGGCTTAAAGGGAAGAATCACAAAAGAGCAGAATGCAGAAAATGTTGTTGTACGATACTGAATAAATTGAGTTTTAATCTTTCGCACATGAAATGATGTTGGAACAGGTTTTTGTATCTCTAGTACAACCTTTCTTGCGTTATTAAATGCGAATTATACTCAATAAAGGAACATTTTTGTAATTTATGCAAACTGCCCTCACGATTACAGCGCGGAGCTAAAAAAAGCCTGATCGTCTCGGCTCAATAACAACAAAAAACACACTGGGTTTGGTGCCGCGCGTCGATGAGCCAATTCTCCCCGAATCCAAAGTGTCACATTTCATCATTTCATTAGTGTTCCACAAGTTTGATGGAAAAACGGTTTTCCACTCTGAAGAATTCTCAAATCTCAGTATCATTTCAAGGAGAAATAAGAGTGCATTGACGACAACACTCCTTTCAAACAGTTTATAAAAAAATAAAGAGCCAATCTAAGAATCCATGTGCCTGCCAGGACAGAACAAAGCAAACATATCAGAACCGTTGCAATGTACATTATCGTTTGTCGTTACACAGCTGGATTAGCGGTCCGGTTTGAGACAAAAACTCCAGACTCACAAATTGGCAACATAAAAAAAAAAGAAAAAAGAATCCACTGGAAATGAACAAAAGCAGTTATGAACTAAATATCGACAACACTAAAACAAATCTTTGCAAACATATTTACAACGATCCCCTACTAAAATAGAAACACATCATCCATCTTTCCCCATCGCCTCCTGCTCTCGTTTGCCAAATGATGCGATGGAACCAGGCGCTCCCGGCCGCTGGGGAGGAGAGGAGGAGATGAGAGGAGCTCAGTGCAGACCAGCAGGACCACGACCACAGCGGCCCACTCGCTCAGACTAGTTCAAGAGCAGAAGACCCCCGAAAATAGTTTGGCAGCGCAACGGCATTTTAATAATAGAATTTGGTAAAAAGGTTGTGGCAATATTTCATCACTGTAAGAAACTAATTTTCTGTGCGCCGGAAAGAAGTTAGAAAGGGATTAATAAATTGGATTTATTATGCAGCGCTTTGATGACAGGCCTCTGCCTTATAACTTACTCTTAATTATGCGCTCAGTTATGGTTAACATTATAAAGGATATATAAAAAAGGTAGGGCTATGGCTTTAATGTCATTAAACAATGGGGGTCTGAAGAACACGTGAAGTGATTTGATTCATTAAAAACAGTCAAAATGTATAAATGTGATTTCAGGATTAAACATTGAGCTGCGGCCCCGTTTCAGATAGCAGGCCTGCTACAACGGAATACTGTTTAATAATGACAGAATTTTATATTTTATGACTCTTTTAAGTGGACAGGCTGTTACTTAAAGGAAAAAGAGAAAGTTGGGTAAGCATCAACTATTTCACCGGATGTTTGTTGTTTTGACTGTTTTTAATAAAACCTTCATCTCTTCAATGAGACACTTTTCACTTCATAGAATCTTAAATTTGAGCAATTTAGGAGCTTTTCATCTTGCCCTTTTCCAGATGTGGACTTGCTCACATATCTGCTTCAGCTTAAAGTTGAATAGGCTCTAAGACCTATTTTGCAAAACAACAAAATAATCACTATAAATTAGGGTTGGACGCTGGGACAAATGCATCAGCTAAAAGCAAGCTGAATCTGTGCCCAATGGAATTTGTTTCACTGCTTTAAATTCACCAAAATGTATAAAACAGTATCCAAGACAATCACCAGATGAAGTGGGGATGGTGGACAAATGGAAAATGTCTGCCCTAACATTCAGAACGCGTGGTGATGCGGTGGCACGGGAAAACAAAGTCATGTAAAAGACATACGGCCAGAGATTTGCAAACACGTGGCCGAGCATCAAGATGGAGCCTCGTCGGCAGTCCTGGGAAATGATCGGCGGAGCACCTTTTCCAGTCAGGCCGAGCTATAATGTCTGGCTCCGGGTTCCACTTCTGTGGAGTCACAAACGGTAGTTCACTGCGTACCGTCTGAGGCGTTGTTATCACCGGAGGGTTCTGATAGGCAGATCTCGTCTTTACAAAATGAATTCCACTTTTGGTCCCGTTCTCCTTTATTAATTTCATCATCAGCGTCTGAAAAGCTGGAGCTACTGGGAAGGACTCCGGTGGTTCCTTGTAGGCCACGGCCATACGAGCTCGTACGTACGTTGGTAGCTGAGGCTACTCACATTCGATGATGCATCAAGGCAGGAGCGGTCATTTGTGAAACAAGTACATTGGCCTCTGAAAACCTGTTGAGAGGGGCGGGATAACGGAGGTGAAACTGACATGCAGCTAATGCGATGAACATCATGTGATGCATACATTTGCTCTATAAACAATTCATATAATGAATCACCTTTAATCGAACACTTGGGGGCCCCAAGGTACTCGTAACTGGTGAAGCCCACCTCTGACGTAAGGTACGATGCAAACTGGTCAGGTTTCAGGCGGATGCTGTGAAAATTCCTGCCAATATTATCCTGTCAGATGAAGGAAAAACCATCATCAAACCGGGCTTTAAAATCATGAATACACCATATACGGTACCGGCCTCCAGCACGGGTCTCTTACCGTCAGCTTCTTTCTCCTGACGTAGGACTCCCAGGGCTGGGGCTCGAGGATGAACACGCCTCCGGGACGGAGATGTCTATAGACCCTCTGGAAGAGCCGCTTGAGGCCGCAGTCCCCCCAGTTGAGGTGAACCCATTTGGTGACGCTCAGGCACATGATCACGTCGTACTCCGGCCGCTGAGTCACGAGCAGGTTGTCGTTCTCCAGAACATAGTTGGCCTGCAGGACAGAGGAAAGGCGCCGTGAGGCAAACTGGGCTGAGAACGGACAAACTACGCTGTGCTTCTCGGCACTACGACCTTTGATGTAAATTGGATACACACCAGGATTTATTGGCTTCATATAGCCAAGCTTTATTTAAAAAAAACATACGTAGAGGCACGAAACCTTTGCATACTTATAAGCACTGCACGTCACTAAGATTACCGTATAACTTCTGCTAACTCACATTCAATGCATGTTTAAGAGGGGGGGAGATTTAATGGGATCATTTGGAAAGACGCAGGCCCATGTAATATGTTTGAAGTATGTTCGTGCTGACAGCAATTTCTCTAAGCATATTTTAGCGTGTGAACTAAACATCTGGTAGAGTAGAAGCTGCTAACTGAATTTTATCTGGATTGATTCGGCCAGGAGCAACTTATCTAAATGGTCATGCCCATATATTCTAGATTTTTTTTTTTTAGTTATTGTTGTTGTGATCGGCCGTATTCAGATACCCTCAACCACGGCCTCAGAGTGCCATCTAGTGGACGGCAGAGGTACAAATATTAGACAGTTTGACATTTCTCCCTAAAATCCACCCTGTGTTGTGCAGGCGGCAATCTTGAGGCTTTTCACTACTTAAGTAAAAGTTCTTAGCTGTACTGCAATTATCTCTAATGAGCATAGCGGGGAGACTGTGGCCCACTGATTTTATTCATCGCACCAATTCATGTGACAGCCTGACACACAAAAACCTCTAAGGCACAAGGCCAGTGGAGTGAGTGAAGAAATAAAATGAAGATTCTCTTTAAGAGAAGGCCGTCATAACAGTTCTGAAACATTCAACCATAGGTGGCGCTGACAGGCCGACAGCATGCAACAGCCACCTGGTGAAAAGGGAGGGTTGCTCTTCACCGCTTCCATCTCTCAGTTCTTACGGTCACCAGCAGCTTCGGGGCGTAGGAAGCCTCTGCTTACGAGGTGTGTAGATGGAAAATATGTAAAAAAGGTGGACAAACTAGTAGGAACTCCCTGAACACTCACAGCTTCAGCCAGTGAAGACAAACTCAACAGTTAATGATTGCCTGATCCCTCTGTATTAACTTATAAGACCTTCGTCCTTTGAATGGGAGCAAAGTAGCTTTTTTTTGTTGACAAGAAAACAATATTTGTAAATCAGTCAAAGTTTGCATTTGTAAACAAAATAGATTTTTTTCTTTGGAAATGTGTCCAGGATGTACTGCACACGTGTGATCTACTTACCGTTGACAGCTAAATGACCATTTATAATTGAATAAACTAAATGCCATCTCAATTTAAAATATGACACATCTTTAATTGCAATGCTAACTCAATAAAGATCTTGTCCAGATAAGCTACACAGTATTGCATGCTGTTTTGGATACGGTTATGTGTTACATAGAGGACAGACAGTGATCACTGTCAAAAGATTCCAGGGAGATTACGTGGTTGCACAATTTACATCCTCGTGAAGTCAGAGTGTTTCCCCTCGATTGCTTGGAACTAATGATTTCATTTGTACCGTAATCTCAAAGCTGTAGAACCAAATGTTCCCACAGAGAACGCCATCTCACCTTGACGAAGGACACGTTGGAGGGGAACTCTCCGGGCCGTGTGGTGGCTGTTTCCGTGAGTGGCGGTGCGGCGATGGGACCCCTGGAGATCCGCAGGGACACCGGAAAAGAGCAGCTAGCAGAGTGATCAGCGGGGGGTGAATCTAAATCTTCCTGCTCCGTTTCCCCGGTTTTGACCACCTGCCTCTGGGTCCCCACCTCGTCCGCGTGGCAGGAGCCGTTGTCCTTTCCAGCCTCCGCGGGGCCACTTTCTCCTTTCGCTGGTTTCCCGTTTTCTTCGCTGCTCTTGGCGTCGCTGTGCCTCTCCCCTGTGCCCGTCCCGCTCTCCCCCTGCTTGTTGCCCTTTTTCTCTTGCAGCGCATGCCGGGCCTCTTGGGTCTGCAGCTCGGACAGATAGTGTCGGATGTTCTTACGAGCTGCGTGTACCAGACCACTGTCAATATCCAGCCCCAATATGCGGGCCGGTCTTAGCATTTTGGCAATATAGAGCGTCAGGTGGCCCGAGTTGCAGCCCAGGTCCAGAACGTCTTTACCTTCAAACCACTCCGGACGAAGCACTCGCACGCGCGCGTCTTCGCTGGCGCCTGGGTTGCGGTAGCCGTAATACTTGTTGTAGTTCCCATACTGAAATTTTGTCTTCTGCTGCTCCTTCGCCTGGTTGCGGGGCTGCTGGCGACCTCCCGGCACGGTTTTGGAACCACTTCTGGGTGTGTGGAAGGACTGGGAATTCCTCGGCCCCGACGTAGCGAAAGCCCTGTCGCCGCATCCGGGCTTCCCAATGGGCGTAGAATGGGTCACGGGGGTGTCCATTTTACCGGAGTTGCGCCTCCGCTTGCGCCTGCTTGTATGCTGGTTTGTTGCCCCTGATGTGGAGGAGGTGGAATCCTCTATGGATGCAGATGTCGTCATCTCCTCCTTGCAGCTGGCTGAGTTGACAGCTGATGGCTCGCGGGAATCCTCTGTGACACTGGAAAAACCGCTGGACTCTTTGGAGACATCTAGTGCAGAGCATGAGGCTAAAACCCCTGGAAGCGGGAGGGAGGTGCTAGTTTTAACCTCACTTTTTCCTGATTCTGAGAGGCTTACCTGTGCAGCTGAAATCCCACCAGCACCACCTCCTCCTCCTCCACCACCACCTCCGCCGCCGTGGTGTCTGTTGCGGTGTCTCTTCCTACCGCCGCTCTTGAAGGGGGACACCATGCAGCTACCGTCCGCTAACCCGCTGTTAAGGTTCAGTGGATCGGTGATGTCTCTGGGGATGAGGATCTCCACGGGGTCTCGACTCTTCGCCGGCAGCGGGGACGATTTGGGCGTCTCCGCGTTGAGCGCCCGATTGACATCCTCGTCCAGCAGGCTGTTGAGATTCAGCGGGTCAAATATGTTCCCGCCCAGGAGGAAGTTGGTAGGCAGAACGGAGTCGCTCTCGGAGTTTGCCCTTCGCCTCCTCTTGCCGGACGTCGGATGCTTGAAGCTAGAGTTTGCCGTGTAGCGGCGCTTGGCGAGCTTCGTTTGTTGTTGTGGCGGCTTGGAATGATTGAAGCTGTTCCTGGGATTGATGTTATTCTCGTTCCCCCTGGCTCCCTGTCCCGTGTCGTCCGAGTTGGCGAGCGCGTCAGTCGTGCCGGTGTGTTTTGGCGAGGCTTCGGTGCCCGAGACTGGACAAGCAGCCGCCAGGTCGGGGGTGGCGGCGGTGCCCTCCACCATCGCGGACATGTTGCTGTAACCTCCGGTGCATTCCGAGAGTTGCAGGGATGAAGTGGAGCTGGCGTGTGGACTGCCGGTTTTTACAGTATCCTCATCAACAGACATCTCTTGTGGTTGTCAGGGCTGACGCAGACATGGAATGGATTTGGTTTTTCTGGATCTGAAAGTCAAAAAGAAAACGACAAGAAACTAGTTTAAATACTTCAAAGTACAGTAAAAAATAAATAAATGCTACAACCCCACGGTCACAGCTGCAATACAGGCACGTTTACAACACAACGACTTTCCTAATGTGTTTTTTTAGTTTCTAAAATCCTTAAATGAATGTCTGAAAAGGCGAAGGGTCGCTGGCAGTGCGACGTCGTGGTTCGATCCCTTTGTATGGCAGCAGAAGATGAACCGCATGACCTCATTACCTTCCACTGTCATTTCCAAACATACGGTTAAAATAACAACAAAAGTATCCGATTGAAATGCAGAGTCTCCGGGACTAACGAAAAACCCAAATCGGGTAATTGTGACATCTGAAGGGCGTCTACCAACCACTCGGGGCTCAACGCTACTGACCTGAAAAGTTTAGGAGTCCCCCCCCTGTGCCGGACTGTTATCTGTAGTTAGCATGCTAGCGCCTAGCTTCTCTATCGCGGGCCACAACGCTGAAACGTCGAGCGAACGTTCGGCTCCACTCGGGCCAGAAAAAAAACAGCCGTTAAATAGACAAACGGTCGAGTACCCACCTCGATGTTCTGCTACTCGGCTCCCGCTTAAAAAACACACGGGTCACATGCACGCACGCGACACTATCTACCAGATGGCTCTACGCAGTCAACAGAGTAGTCACCATCAAAGTAACAGTCTCACCTCACAGTTCTCCCCGCCTCCGATAGGACTCCCTCCCTCGCTCTCGCGCGCTCTCTCTCTCTCTCTCTCCCTCTCGACTCGAGCTAACGCTAGCTTTAGCGTAGCTAGCGCTCGAGCGTCCACATCAACGCAACGGTGGCACGACACGCGAACGCGCAACTTTACACGGCGGCGCGCGTGACCCGCGCTACCGCCCGTCCGCGGCAGAAGGCCCCCGCCCCAACGTTCGGTCTCGCAAGGCGGGGGAAAAACTGTCTCGAGGAGGTCCTGGGGGGTCAACTCCTAGTCGCCCAGTCTCGGGCAGGTCGGTGAATAAATTGTTCCATTCGGGGATAGAGTCGGCATGGCGGCGCATCCGGGCTCCTCGCTGTGGCGCGGGACGGACTGGGGCGGAGATCTGTGGCTGGGAGGAGAGCTCCGTGGATATTCTAATGAGCCGCGCTGATGCCCACGCGAGTGCACGCCAATGAAAAAAAGCAACCGGTTATCTATAAGCCGGTGAACCCAAATGATTGACTCACTGGTGCATTCTTAACATTACATTTTAGTTACTGTTTTGATTTACTTGCGTTACAAAATGTTGCCACTGTGCACGAGTAAGACTAGACATGTATCTCGTTGCATCACTGACTAGCAGGAACATTAACAAATGTGCTAATTATTATGTGAAAAATGATACAACTTTATTAAATAAGCTGCTAATTGCATTATAAAGTGAGAAAGGGTTTTTTTCACAAGATTTTTTACAATTACTGTAATTTAATTACATTGTGTATTGATAAATGCAATGTTCCGAAATTACTAAAGATTGGAATGAAATGTTTGGGGGGGGTTCGACATTTAGCATTGTTAAATAACTCCTAGTCTGACCTGTGTAAGTAATCAGGAATCAGGAAACATTTATTGCCATAATATGTCAGGGATACAAGAAATTTGACTTGGCGGTTGGTGCGTAGCAGACAGTACGACAAGACCACAGTGCACGAGGAATAAAATAAAATATAATGCTATGGGTCAGTTTAAAAATAAAGGAATAAGAGTTAAAAAAGTTACAAATGTTTAAACATTAAAAATAAAGTGCACCAGTGAATAGAAAGTGACAAATGAAAGTGACAAGTGAAAAGAAAGTGACCGGTGGAATGATTGGGGGACCGGGCTTCTTTGATGAGCCCGACTGCCGACGGGAACAAGCGGTTCGTGTGGCGGGAGGTCTTGGTCCTGATGGACCTCAGCCTCCTGCCAGATGGAAGGGGCACAAACAGTTTTTGTCCGGGGCGAGAGGGGGCAGATTGCAGCCGGTCACCCTCTCTGCAGAGCGGATGACACGCTGCAGCATGCCCTTGTCCTGGGCTGTGGCTGCAGCGTACCAGACGGTGATGGAGGAGCAGAGGATGGACCTGATGGTGGCCGTGTAGAAGTGCACCATCATCCTCTTTGGCAGGTTGAATTTCTTCAGCCGCCTCAGGAAGAACAACCTCTGCTGAGTAGAGGTATTCAATGTGAATGCAACTTCAAGCTCATGATTGCACATAAAACCATTGCCAGATTTTGAATGTGCTCTGCACTATTTCTAATCTCTTGTTGAACCCACTGCTCCCCCAGCGGAGATACAGCATGCGCTCATACAATCAGAGCACTGGATGGTAGGAGGCCATTTTGCTTGTTGTTCCTCACATATTGTGGTCGTTATTGTGGTCGCTGGCCACAACATTGCAGCAGTTTACTGTACTTTAAAAAGGCCAAGATGCCCGCCGTCCTCCAGGTCGCCACTAGAGGGAGACAAAATATGCTCTTAAAAACGCTTCACATTGTCAGGCTGTGTGAAGAACTACAAAAATGTTCTTCAGCAGTATTTTATTACTCTACTGTATAAAATATATTTCTTTTGACAAATCAATTGTGTGATCATGAGAGATTCTCTCTTTGAGGTTGGAATGGCTAATGATTCAAAACAACAGAGAGGGCTCATTCCATCCAGAGAAAGGCTCCGGCACCAAAGACTGCAGCTGCAGCAACAGGAGTGTTTATGTTTTGGGGTAAAAAACGTTTCCAGTGAAAAGTAAGGAAAACACGACCAGCCAGTTTCTCTGTTGAGAATCTTTTCGCACGCCAGCTTGTTTTCATGATGTACCGAGGAATAGAGAAATTAACGGGGTTCAAGAAAATCCAAAGTTGTGTGATTGCTGATGCTAGATTATTTTCCTTCATACAACATGTGCATTCCAAAATATAATCGATGAGCACTCTAACGGCTTGAGCTTTAAAAAGGCACCATTGACAGCTGCAGATTAGATTTAAACCCAGTCTTGATTTGAAACAAGATTAAGAAAATAAAGAAAAAACATTTTATTGATTCAACCACTTGCTGACATTTCAAATAAAGATCATAATTGAATGGAAGAAAGCTCCATCATTTGACTCATTCATTAAAAATTAAAAGATAATCCAGATGAACAGTAGACACGCACATAACAAAACAGTTAAATCTTCAAATCTTCACATTTTTTTCCATAACGTTGTATTAAAAAATATAGCTTTCAATCTATGTAGGAAAATAATTTTTCTCATGCAAAATGAAAACATTCTAAATAAGTCAGGAGCTGCAGGTCTTGAATATGAGTAAGAATAGATGGGACTCTCTTAAATATAAACAGAATCCTCACATTCAATATTGTCTGCTCTTGAATTGACAGCTTTTCCCCTAATTGAGTTTCACATCCGCACCACAGACTATGAGTCGCCCCCCCTCTCTAACGTCTAAGCAAGAGGGGAAAATAGGAGAGAGGGTACCTGTCCCCTCTTCCCCCCCCCCGCCTCTGTCCCTCTCTTTTCTCATGTTAATAGGGTTGTGGTGCTCGATCCCGGGCACCATCTGCCCTTCCTCGGGGTCTGGGCCCCAAGCACTCCAGACGTGTCCCATTGTTTGCGTGTGTCCAAGCAGAAAGTGGTGAGTACACATGGTTCTTGTGGCCCAAAAGGCTCCTCCATCGAGAACACGAGCCTGCTGTTCGTCAGCTTACATGTGACGGAGGGAGGGAGCGAGGGTTTGGGGACGGGGGGGCGGGGGGCTGCTCGCGTGGCCCGTGTGCGGTCACATCAGCGGGATCCAAAAGCTCGTGGGGGCCGGTGTGTGATGTCACTGGCAGCAACCGTTGGATCGACAGGTCAACGCGGTCCATAAAGCAGCACGTTATGTCAGAGAGGACGTGCTCTGAATGTGGAACATCATTGATGCCGATAAAGTGCACAGGTGGACAAAGAAAAGCATTGGACTTTAGACAGTGATGATGCAATCCATCATTGAATAAATACATATATATATGTAAATACATTTCATACTCAACATGAATTATACAGCGCACCACCACAAAACCATCCTTCAGACTGTGACCTGACGGAGGGAATATACGGAGCCTTCCTTTAACTACTGAACATACCTTTGTTGATGCATCATCCCCACTGATCTCAGATGTGACAGACGGATGGATGAACTCAAGGATGGAGACCAAACTACGGCTGCCCTTTCTCACATTTCATTACTGAAGGTGGAGACGATAGGATGACAGCTCAAAATGTCATTTGAAATCTTGGGCTGAATAATTGCAAACGTGGCGCAATAACCTTTGATGTGACTTACTTGATTACAAACCAAAGGATTCTGCGGAGGCTGAATGAAAAATGTAATTAATGTGATAAATATTCACAGTTTAATTAGGCGAGTTTAATAATACTATCCATCAGGCCTGTGCACAACTTTTGGCAAAATACATTTTAACAGTTAAAAAGAAAAGCGTCCCATTATAAAAACCCATTATAAGCTTAACACCAAAGTCCATTTGAACTTTAACAGTGTTGTCTTACTCTATTTGTGCAGCCAGGGTGTGTTCTCCCTGTCCTGGCCCTGAACGCTCATGTGAACTGACAATATAACCTTCCAATTACCCAACACACACACGCACGCACACACACACACACACACACACAAACAACACCCAACACCGCCACGCCAATCAGGACTTTCCATCGGGCCTGCCCTCTTCATTTTCAAAACCACAGGCTGCTGGCTGCATTGAGATTAGTTATTGAACTGTCCAAGCAAAGAGGAACAAACCGCTTCGGAGGCTCAGCACACAATGAGGCAGCTGTCAGTGGGCGGGGCTTGCTCACAACGCCCCGTTGTCATGGATAGGACGTCTGCGCCCTGTTGCTCTCTGGAAGCAAAGAGGTGCTCCTGTCATCGACCAGTTGATGTTGACCCGGAGCTCGGTGGAGGAAAGAAGAAGTAGATGTGAATAGTTGTGTAATTATGCAAAGTGTGTGTAGAGGAGACACACACTGTGCTGCTGCTGCCGTTACCACGGACCACTGGCCTATCAGCTTTATAGTAGTTGTCATAGCTGAACTCATTTGCCTGTTTTACATTCAAAGGTGTGTCTCTGAGCTTCTCATTAACCACATGGAAGCTACACTGAGCTGTTGTGTTACACCCAAATAATGTGGAACCAGAGTTTTTTAGCTTCAGACAGTTCTGGGGTGAGTCAGCAATCACAAGTATGACAGTTTACAAGAGGAATATAAACTCAATTTGTTAAGTATTGCAATTGTGGCCTTCAGGCAGCAGACTTTTTCGTGTTGAATTTTTGCTTTTAGTTTAGTTTTATCCGCCTCCCTGTTTTTTAAACTCAGCTGTGTATTAAACAGCATTTCAAATCAGTTAGATGATTAATATTTAATACCTGACACATTTGCTCAAATTGTTTTTTTAAACGAATATTGCCAACCTACCTAAAGTTAGTTTCACACCATTATAACATCAAACCGCTTCATTTTAAAGCCCAAGATAATTTAAGTGTAAAAGGGATTTGTACATTTTCACTGTCACTCAAATGTCATAATAAAAACCCTCTAATCCCGCTTAAGGACAGATTTAGCAGATTGCGTTACAATCCAGAGGTTATAGGGTATTGGATTGGAAAAGTTTATCAGCCACATACGACTGGAAACAAAGGAGCGATCTTCTGTGTCCAGGTTTCACACACTTTTTTACAGTTCAGACTGAATCACTGGGCCACCGCGTGGACAGATTTACATATATTGCTGTGAAATGAATGAGTGTAAATAAATATCATCACATTTTATCAACACGCCACTTGTAAACACGATGGCACTGGTACTTTCTCCGAACAACGGCGTGGGCAAGGAATCGTGTTTGATGGCTTAGACCAGCAGTCATGACGTAAAACCTACGGTGACTTTCTCCCTCTTAACCTTTGCATGTTCTTTGAGGCAGCGAGTTGAAACACGCAATGTTACATTTGTAACATTTTAAAACATTCAAGGTGTTCAGTGTATCTGTAATTACTGCACTGACAGCGCTTGAGTGTTTCTCACTCTAAAAAAATGGTGAATTGACGTAATGAGCTCCTGTTCAGTGTGCAAACCTATCAATAGGTCAACCATCGTCAGCAGGATAGAGGCCTACTAACCTTGATTATATTCCTTTGGGGGTTATTTCTGGTGTGCCACACACATTAACAAGTAGTTTTCCTTTTTTTTGAGGATGAAGCTGAAGCATGCAGAGCGTGACCCATTATCTACTGCATGCCAAGTCAGTGGAGGGCTTACAGAAGTTAATCTGATGTGGTAAAATGAAGAGCATTTAATACACAGTCCATACAAGCCATCTCTGTCCTGTTTGATCCACCGACATCAGCACACTTAGAATACTCTATAATGCTGCATATGCGTGTTTTAAAATTGGTATTTAAAAAGGACATTTTAGAACGTGATGCAGATTAGTTTAGGATTTAAATATGCTTAATTTTGTGTATTGCTGCTTTTTCATGGCAAATATCCACTGTTGTGAAGCAATGTAAGTAACCTTAACCCACAGTTTGAATAGGTCAAAGTGCCTGTGTTCTAGTATTTGCAGTTGTTATCACCAAATATATATTACAGATACAGGTGAGTGATTTTATTGATCTCCATGGAAGAAAGCAAAGTTTATTTCAGTGGGATTCACCCACACACTTTGTTTCCTCCTCATATATCATCATTTCCTGCGAGGCCTGCACGTCTCTATGAAGCTTCCCTCCACCTCTGCTCCCAAGGCACAGTGAGCACTGCCAGAATGTGATACTATAAACCGTCATCTGATATGGTTCATAGCGATAGACTAGTGCAATGATTATTTCATTCTGCACCCAAAGAACCTTATTGTCTCAAATGTCTTCCTTCCATTTTGCAGAATAATATATTCTCCTCGGACTGATTAGGAAGGATAATCAGGAAATGACACGCGCACACACGCGAACGTGAAGGCATTTTCCTATTCATGTTGCTTATCGGTTGAACCAAAATTTGCTGGACTGGACTGCGAAGCTTCACTGCCTTCACAACTTTTTTCCCTACAAGGCAAACATGTTATAAAGAACGCACAGCCACTGGTACTCAAATCCATTTGACAAAAGGACACTAGTTACTGTGCTTAGGCAGTGGTGTTTTGTGGTAAACATCGGCCTGCTAACGTGCTCCCACTGACGATGCCAACACGCTGATGTCAGCAGGTGTCGTGTTCAGGTCACAACCTGAGATTACTCATCAGAATGCTAGCATTTGTCAAGTAGAGCTGAACAAGAAGTTTTGCTAATGCTGCACAGAAGTACTTTGCCGTAAACAGATGTATTGGTCTAATTGGGGACACGCGCGGCTGCATATTTTGCAGCTTTCCATCGCATGGCGATATTTCACTTAAAACCTGTACTATTATCTGCAATTTTCCCGACTCAGCCCACACCACTGCTGAAATCCAGATGGGGCTCATTACAAAATGTCACCAGGGAGATGTGCTCTGCCTCCCAGGGATATTTATAGGATACATTATATAAACCTGGTCACTCACAGCAGCCTATGGATACTAGTAAATCGTGCTCCTCCTCACGACAGCTGCAGGTGCTTCTGTCGGCTCCCGATCTGAGGCGAGCTCTGGGAAATGATCTTTCTGGAGTGTTAATCGGCTAAGTTTATGAGTCACGGTGTTAGCAGCATGTGGGACGGAGAGAATACTGCACGCATGTTTATAGCCGCTAAAACAAAGATATTGTATGAGACACCACACCGGATGAGGTTACACGTATAATATGTAATATCTATGAATATTTAGAGGTGTCGATTCTCTAAAAGACAAGACAGCAACACTCAGGGCTGTGAAAGGACACCGGTCGGTAGAAAGTCTGTGACCTTTCTAACCATTGTTGAATCTCAGTTGGTTTCTTGGAGTCAAAAAAACTCCAGGTTGTCTCCTGGAGGGGACTCAGCGTGTTAACCCAGGTGGAAGACATAATCCGTTACTAATTTCATCTATTAAATCTCTTTGAATTACCAAATGAAAGGTTAGAGAAGAACTTGAGCACAATTTGGCGGTTGTGTGTGTGTGTATTACTTCTTTGTTAAGCCGGGGCCGGATTCTGATCAGAGTCGACCCTGATTGGCTGACGGAGGCTAATAGCAGTCCTTTATAACTCATTGTACCATGACATTCACTGTGTTGCAAAAAAACCCAACAAAACACTTATTTGAGAATTAGAAAAAAACTTGAATTGATGAAACACTGACCGTTGACACAGTTCACATTATGCATTTTTAATCCCATGACCTGTGAATGTCGTTGATGGTGACCCTGAAATGCTCTGATGTTTGAGGGAGTCCATGCGTTTGGGTCCGTGATGGAAGCTGACCACTTCACGGTATTTACGCATCAGCCAAATGCCGGCTGAGATGACCCCACTGTGAATATCCATCATTACAGTCACATTTACGAAAGTCATCAGCACGGACAATGAATAAATTAGTGGTTGCTGCCGAATTGAAAAATATAACAAAAAATAGATCTCTGTAGTATTTAACTGAGAGGTCAACATCATCCAAGTGAGGTATCTTTATTTAAATGCTTTGTCATAGTTGTGTTGTCTCAGATTGAGGTTGATTTTTTTACTTTCTTCTATGTTTAAAATCCCAAAGAGTTAAGAAAGTATCATGACTATTTCCAAAATATACTACATGTTACTATTTCTGAGATGGATCATTTTTAAGCTATTTTCTTGCAATTGCAATTTTAAAAAAAGCCACCTTCTGATGCGGCCAAAGGATCACAGTGAACATTATCATCTCGTTATTATCAGGTTCTCCATTTGAGGAAACGCTGTCACAGAACAGCCATATTACTCTGTGACAAGGAGTCGACATTACAGGGGTTGTCAGGACAACCAGCCATGATTCACAGAGCCTCAGATAGGCCTCCACCTTGGGCTAGAAGCACTTTCCATGAGACTGAGCAGATGCTGTGCCACTCAGCCAATCACAGGTGAGATAGACGAAAAAGATGACATCATAGGCAAATTAGGGCAAATGCAGGGAGGTTTTGGGTTGTCGTCTCCGCCTGCTCATGAACCCAGTCACATTTATGCTTTGAATAAATTAGCTAGCCATTTATGGCCAGAAAAGCATTCTGGCCATAAATGGTCAGAATATATTTTTTTAAATTTGGTATTATCTAATATTTTTATTATAAAAATAAGAACTACAGTTGTGAACGAGAATGCAGACTGTATTTCAACAGACACCTGATCTATTATTCACTCCGGTGCACAGAGCGTGAATACTAACACCGTGATATGATATAGATGACCTTTTATCAATCGAAAATCCTCTGATCAATATTTCAGTGTTGAGCACCAGGCATTCATTCACAGGGAAACTTGTCATGTCATGAGCTAAAGGCTCAAACATATAAACAGGGAGATAGCCCTAGAGGGACTTTCTTAAATATACCACCACCTGTAAAATAAACCGTTTTTGTTTTGTTTATCACATCTATTTATTTCAGGACAAAGATCACTTAAAATGAAATATATTTTGGTTTTATATATTAGTTGTATTATGCTTGTTCAACTGAACCATTTTGCAGCGAGTTATCACCTTTGATTATATTTTTGTTTTACAATGTGCTTGTTGTTTTCTTCCAAACTTTTAGAGCAGATATCTATGAATCTACCACAACCCTTTGCAGGTAATATATCAAGTTTTACCCGTTCCCCTGTAAAAATAGTTAAGATAGAAAATACATTTACCATCCCTCCCTCCTCTCCTCCTCGCAGAGCAGGTTTCTTCTGTCAAACACAAAACCAACCGCGTCTGCCCGCTGCCTGCCTCCGCCCCCTAAACCGCCTCCCTCATTAATATTCAGCCCTTCAGCCAATGAGCGGAGCCGGGTGGATGACATCACGGGCTAGGGAACAGTGAGCAGCCAGTGAAGCATCCAGCCTGCCGAACGAGCTCGCTTCTCTTGTTTTAGGGTCAGGAACTGGTCTGACAAGAGAATGGCAGTCCTGCCTTTAAACTGTCACTAGGACGGCGCGGTTGACGATGAATCCACCAGAGCTCCGGGCTCAACGGCGAAACACGGAGCAACAGAATGTGAAGACATATTTCAGGTAATACCCTCTCTTATGTATGGCAATAGAGGAGGGGGTGGGGGGGAGGAGGAGGGGGAGGCTGTGTATGTAGGGGTGCTTTGTAGCCCCCCCCTTTTTTCCCCCTTTCCTTCCACTGTTCATCCTGCCCTGCTAAGGAGGCAGCTGTTCCATCAGCACTAGAGCAGCAGAGATATGGAAATGGATGCCTGCATCAGAAGGGCTCGAGACGTGTTTGTGTGATCATATATAGATATACGCCCCCCCCCCACACACACACTGCAGCACATCATCTCTGTATACACTCCCTTGTGCCTCGCAAATAGCATCCCTATTGATGGGGAGGTGTGAGAATCAATGGTGGCGCTTGTACCGGCCTTTTGTGCGCGTGCCCGCCTGCCTGCCTGCGTGCGTGCGTGCGTGCGTGCGTGCGCCTGGAGAAATGCAGCAGCTGCAGTGGCAACGCTGGAACAAAAAAGAAGCGATGCTATTTCTGTCCCCAGGCTAAAGGAAGGATCAAGGGTTGTGAATTGGTTGGTGGTGGTGGTGGTGGTGGTGGTGGAGGAGGAGGGGGTGAATGGTTACACGCTTTTGTTATCTCTGCACGGCCTCACCTATGTGCTGTCTAGGGAGGGTTTCATGAAGAAATGTCTTATTTCCATTTCGGTCATTCAGAGATCTCGCTCTCGCTTTTACATGGACGTGTGTGTGTGCGTGTGTGTGTGTGTGTGTGTGTGTGTGTGTGTGTGTGTGGCAGTTTCATGGCCGCCGTAGTCACAGGGAGATATACAACATCTGGTCACCTGACTTCATTTGGGGAGCGGAGTGGGGGCTGGGGCCGGTCCTATGAAAGCTGAGCTACTCTGCCTCAGATTCTTCCACAGCCATCGGTGGAGGTGGAGGGAGGGAGGGAGGTGATCGGCTATTCGGAGGAGGATGTGCGCCCCCCCCCTACCTCGCCCCCCTCCCCCCTCACACCCCGTCACTTCTGCTCACTCAGCTTCGTGGCTGCAGAGCTCACGCGTTCATATCCGAGGAGGGGGCAGTCATCCTCGGGCCCTGACGGGGGACCTGTTGTCGTGAACAAGGGATGCGAGAGAGAGAGTCACAGCAGTGATGGAGGGGAGGGAGGGGAGGGGGGGGTGCGAGGGGAGCGCAGAGGGGAATTGGGGGATGGGATGCCGAAGGTGCTGCTCCCTCTGTGTGTATTGATACCGATGTCATCCTCGGCCCTCCATTCATCACTAATCCATCCGTCCCGACGCCGTGACCGCGCTCATTTCCCCGCGTTCCATCAAGAGTTTGTGGATTGTGTCCCCCCCCTCCCCCCTCTCCCCACACCTCTCTTTTTGTATGAAATATCGAGCGCCCCCCCCCAAGCCCAAAACACCAGGCCCCCTCCTTTGTCGTTAAATAACCTCATTTGAGAATCTATTATTTCTTTGCAGTACGATTGGGGATTGTGTGGGTACAATATTTAGTGCCAGTACAACCCCCCCCTTCAGTAGTAATCTAATACGGAGGTGATGCGTTATGCTGTTAGGGTGTTTGTGTGCCTCTCTGGTTGTCTCAGCGCGCTACACGTGCCACAAGCATCGCGCGTGCATCCATCACAGCTTTATCTGCACGCGTGTGTTGCAGGCAAATGGGCGGCTAATGGCCGTGTTTTGCGTCGGCGGGTTCCGGGTAGGGCCAAAGTACTCACAGGGGCCTTTGTCGGCGTAGGTGGCCGCCAGTGTCACAGGCACCGGCATGAAAATGTTATATTTGCAAAGAATCTGCATGTGCGCTCTGCGATATAAAAAGTACCAGGGAAAGCTGCTCCCTGAAGCAGACTGTTTGGAGTGCAAACAGGAATCGTGGAGGCCGAAAACGAAGCTTATGGCGGCTCGGCTGTTTTCACAACTAACCCCGGGGATTAACTTAAAAAAATGATTATCAGAGATGCACCGATGATGAGATCAGACCGACTCACAAAGCTGAATTGTGTATCTGTTGCAATTACACAATTATTTCATTGAATTATAATTACAGTACATTTTTGTTGTTTATTGGATTTAGTTTTAAAAAGTTAAGAAAGCAATGTTTACGTCAAGCCGACACATTAACGCATGATCCCTTCCACATAGCGTATGTGCATACAGCTTATTAATAGCGCATGTATTTGAAAAAGGCGAATCAATGCCTCAATTTTGGTACCGATGTGATACTTGTGAAAAGTTTTATTTTGTGAAATACTTTTCAGGATTGAAGGGGGCAAAAAAGAGAAAACTATTAACTTAATCCCAATGTGGAGTTATTCTGCAAAAGTATTTGTAAGAATACGTGTTCATGATTATCAGTATTCCTGCATGCCACTGTAATAAATAAACAAACATTTAGCATGAATAATGAAAAATAATATCTTGTGCAATGCTACCTACCAGGACTTCATTATCTTATCTATTATTGGATAAATGTTCTGGATGCTTCATTGTCCTGTTTGTTTCTTGATATTATCATCTCCCCGGGACCCGTGTCGCCGCCACCGATCATCCATTTCCTGCACCTTTTTATTTAACACTACCATAGACCCAAACTTTATTGACAAACCATTCATTTTTTCCACCCCCACACATCTGCCCGTGTGTCTGCACGGCCTTTGGCGTGTTGCTCCAGGCTTCCCCTCGTTTTCCAGCGGCTGGTGTAACCCAACACACGCGGCTTCTCTTACCTCACCTCGGCCGACAAAGGCAGCCGACACAGAACCTGCACTTGGCTCGCAGCCGGCCAACTGGGCTTCCTGAAACGCGATAGCTGGACGCGCGGCGCGTACCAGCGGGCCTCCATCTGTCGAGGTCCGAATGAGTCGTGCCGCCGTCGTGCGGTCCGGTCGGTGTTGGGGGCGGTTTGTGGACGTGTAGTTTGGGCCCCGTGTGGTGCGTTTTCTTTTAAAGGCCGTCGCGCCGTCTAAAGCCCAGCCGTGTTCTCGTGGAAGGTGTGTCGGAGCTGCAGTCTGTGTGTTGTGGATTAGCATGTAGGATTGGAAGCCATCTGGCCATTTTGTCTTGGAAAGGGGAGGGGAGGGGGGGTAAGTGTGAGAGATGGATGGAGAGAGACAGGGAGGGAGAGAGAGAGAGAGGAAACGCTCACACACTGACACATTGACACAGCTCCTCCCGTAATCTCCCCACTTGATGTCTGTTGCTACTTAGAATGAGGTTATATGTGTGTGTGTGTGTGTGTGTGTGTGTCTTTTTGTGTCCCTCAGTGCCCTTAGTGACAGAGACGGTCCTTCTGTGACTTACACCGTTTCTGACACATCAAACACAAACCAGCGAGGTGATGCAACGGGGACTGAAGAGAAGGATGAAATGTTGCAGAGGAGGAACCGGGGTCAGGGGAGGGTGGGAGGGGGGTCTAGAGAGCTCTGCACGCGGCCCCTGCTGCACAATATCTACACAAGGCCGTCGGGGAGCCTTTCCTTTGCATTGCACTTTGCAAGTGTTAATGCGGCCGGGGGCCGAGTCTTTGGCGTCAAACAAGCGTGCTCACAAATTGAAGCCCAATGACTGAATTTGAGAAAAATCCAGACACGGCTTTTTCGGTGCACAATTCCAGCCACGCCGTTGCCATGACCACGCGATCAGACAAATCCTAACCCCGGGTGGAAAGGGAACCGCTCATCTGTCTGAAACAAGCGAAACGCACACCCGGCGCAGGCAGCCGCACTCTCGCCCCCGGCTCTCAGATTCAGTTTCCTCCCCTCGGCTGCGTGCAGGTGCGACGGCCTCCGGTTGTAGAGGCGACACACCGGCTGGAACTTTACCACGGGGGGGGCTGTGTGAGAAGGGGGGGGGTGGGACGTGAGACAGAGTGCGCCTTCATACGTGCGTGCTTGTACACATCGCTTGCTTTTCTTCTGCCGTGTTCTCTTCCAATGTGCTTTTTAACCCGTTCAACGGGACTTAGAGCCGGCGCACCATCTGTGCCGTGCAGGAGGGAATCCACCCTCAGCCTCCAGCTGGCACTCAAGCATGGCCACCCATGACACACTAATGCAAAAATCAACAACAACAACAACAACACACCTTTTGTAGCCTTTAAAGCGCGAAATACGAGGAGTAACTTTTCAATCCTCTCTTTTGGAGTAGGAAGCAAGACTAATTGCGGTGGAGGAGCCGAGACGGGTTTGTGATCACATGACGCCAAACGCAGTCGGCTTGTCCTTATTGCTTCTTCAAGTTCAAGGAATAACACTTGTCTGTGCCTTTTTTTTTTGGGAAGTTCGTAGATGCTGACGGTGATGGCCGGCCGTCAAAGTGTCAGTTTGCACGCGGCGAATCTGTCCGAGTGGCGCTTCCGTTCATGGTTTCATGGGGCGTAACTCGGAAGGTTGGTTGGAATTCCAAAATCGTTCGACGCAGTTTCAACTGAACTGCAATAGCGGTTAATGTTATCGGTCACCTGAGACACACGATGCATCACTGCAATGTCTACTGCTGAATTATCTCGCTGTCTCACGACCAACTGCCAAATAAAGGCAGTACGCCGTAAAACAAAAATGTCCAGGCTGTTGATATAAAAGATCTATCTTGTCTTTCATGTGGAACTGAATGCCTGCAAATTCACAAGTAAAAGAGTAAAACATTGATGAAAAACACTTGATATTTCTAGATCCTCGTTCGCTGCCTCAGTTACAGAAATGTGCTGTGAATATAATCAGGTATTTATCAGGGAAGAATAATCTCTGAAAACAGACAACTAGCAGTGTAAATAAGGCTCGCTAAGCTTTTAAAAGCGTTTGCCTACTTGACAGAATGAGCAACCATATTTTAAAGCACAATTCATTTAGTCGGGATAATCCCGGCCAAGCTGGCCGCCTAAAAAAAAAAAAACGACTGGCGGTTTGTCTCCATCGACGCTTCGCACCTGACCAAATAAATTGCCGCATAACAAAGCGCTTTTATCCATAACTTTTCTCTAAGCTGCTCAAACACGACGCGCATGAGGTTCTGTCCGCTGCACTGATCAACAGTTCTTTTTCACATTAATCCAGTTCACATTCTGCAAAAAGCGAGAGTGCACGCAGCCGATTACATCTTGACGCGGTGATGGAAAGAATCAGATGAAAATGAGAAAACTAACATGAGAGGTCGTTGAAGTGCACATTAGTCTGTGCACACGCACACACACACACACACACACACACACACACGTGTGTGTGGCTGTAAGAGCCGCACAAGGGCGGTTTCACCCAAACTAAATATTAAATGACAACATGCTCACGAGCCTCTGCAGCGGGGGAGTTCTGGACAGGAAGGAGTCTGGAATGAGATTCACGGCGGACTGAAGCTATTTTCTTCGGCTTTGTTCTAGTATCTGAGGAGAAGTCAGACATTGTGTCTCATAGTTGTTGTCCGTGCGAAATGAAGTGAAGAGGCGGACCTGCTCAACTGGATTATTTTTGAAGTAACTGGGTCATTATTTCTGAAAGGAGACAACAGTAATATGGATTTTTGATGTTGGAGTGAACTTTTGTGTGTTACATTTTGACCTTGGCAGGCCAACCATGTGACAGAGGAGTGTGTGTGCGTGTGTGTGTGTGTTGACATCCGTGCGTTATGTGGAGGTTCGGTCTCGTCGTACTTTTTCCTCTCGCAGGCAGGAGAATGGGACGCCTCTCTCCTAAGCAGAGGACCCATAGTGTACAAGTACTGTGAGCTCGGAGATGAAGGGGATAACAATGGTTAACTGCAGCTATCCTCCCGCCCCCCCTTAGCCTTTGAATGTCCTCTAGCTGTCCGTCCCGTCCAAGTAATCAGCATCCTTCAAAGACGCACAGCCAAAAGCTGAAGCTAAGTCAAACAGAGAGCGTGAGTCCTAATCAGGGGCACGGAGAGCCGGGCTTATGGACCCCCCCCCTGCCCCCCCCCCGCCCATCACTGGGCTCAAGATTAGAGCCTCGCCCTGCGTTAGCCGTTCAAATTCGGCATTAATGTTTGAAAGAGCAGAGAAAATGTCTGCTCTTCATGGATGGATTAATATTTTATGGGAGAGAAATGTGCAAACATCCCCGGTAATATCCGCGCCGAGCAGGTGGACGTTCGATGAGTGCCTTTTTTTGGGGGGGGCGGGGGGCACTCTTCAATTAATCCGGTCAACTGGTGTCAAAACGTCACAGCCTACCTGAGCAACACGAGCACCGGCCTCAATTTCCGACAAATTAGCGGGTTTTGGGTGTCACGGCCTGCATGTTTGACCGAGCTCGTCCTCCTCAGTGACCTTTGCTTCCTACCAGTTGAGCCTCGCTTTATTTGTAACGTTGAGGGACAAGCCTGTGTGTGTGTGTGTGTGCGTGCTGCTTGATTTTTTCAGGGGGACGGCGCGCCTGGTCACCGCCTGGGTTTGTGCGACCTATGAAATCGCTTGCTTGCTGGTCGGCTTCCGGCTGAATCCTGCTGCAGCCGCCGGATACAGACGTGACCCCAGTGGGACGCCACGTAATTCATCCACGCTGCTCTCCGATGGCGGCCGTGTCCGAAATGATCATATTGTGCTGCACCAACACTCACCCGATAAACCTCGCAAAATGATACATTTTTAGGTTTAAATGAGCCTTATTGCTTGTTGTTGCAGATGTTTTTATGTTTTCCTCTGTATTTGATGACTGCGTAGTGACCTGATGGAGTAGATCCTAGTTGCTGTATTTAGGTCTTATGTCCACGTTATTGAATTTAACTAACAGCTGTATGACATACTATATTTGGCAAGACTGTGTTCAAAAGATTATGTTAATAGATTAAGAGAAGGATCAGTCACAGCAGCAGGGTTAGGGATATATATATATATATATATAATATATATATATATATATATATATTTACGCTGTAGCCTAGGATTGTTTTAACCTTTACATTTGGGCTTGTTTGTCATGTGACGGGTGGCTCCCCGTCAACATTGTGACATTGCTTTATAAACTGCAGCGTTTGGCTGCGTTCGGTGTATTAGCGACACGCCTAACTGCCAACCTAATAGAACCAGTTTTCTGACCTTCTCTTGTTTGTAAGTCACCCAAAAACGAAAGTAACCGCCAGCATCTCTCCCAGGGAAAACCCCCAGAGAAACTATCTTTCCACGTAAGAGCATATCAGGATAGTCGGGTTTCTCATCAGCTGTCTGGTTAGTTAAAACTTGTTTGTGTAACTTTTATCAGCCAAGCCGTCCCCTTGAGTGAGTCCCCTTCTCGTGACCCTGCCTGAGGTCACAGATACAATAGATATAATCTCTTGTTTACTGTATAACATGTGTCCACCGTCTGTTGGACTGCATGAACAGTGGGTTTTATCTAAATTCTTAAAGCATAAATCTGAGGGGGGAAATAACTGTATTAACCGTGTTTACATAAACTAGTCATCCAGTGGCTAATAAGTGGAGGGGTTAATTTGTTCTGACATGTGGACTTATTATATTAATATAATATGTTCTGGTTGTCCTGTCTAAACTGCAAAAGACAAATGCGTCTCAAAGGAAAGTAAAGATGCAATGATGTTACCTGACTGATTAAATAACGGTTTGTTATAATCAATATTCCTCTACTTTCCTCCTCATTTTGGGGAATGTAGTCTATAACCATCCAGACAGCGTCCCGTCCAGGAAGATGGTTGCATAAAAATTGTAAAGGCCACATGTGTGTTTTGTCAGAGGCAGTGAGCTCTGTGTAAGAGCCGAACATCGGCCTTTGTTTAATATGTAGGTCTTCACTTAAGGGGGTGAGGGGGCTGGATGACCGGCTTTCTGCTGGGACGGTCGTGCTGCACATCACATGACGGGTGAGGCCTCGGGGTGAGTCAAGGAGGGGAGTTTAAGATCGTAGTGGGATGGCTAGATGGAAGATGAGAGTGATGGAAGCGTTCACTCTTGCCGGATTCTCTTAGAATCAATTCCTGGTGACTCTGAAAGAATCTGACCCGAAACAACCATCCATTCAAAAAGCAACTCTGAGTAATATCTGAATCTGCTGTACAAAAGCATGAGACGGTGTCACTGTAACAGGATTCCTCATGTTACAATGCTAAAGTAGGCCGAAGCTCTAAAGATACGATATATCCAAACTGTAACCGAGTCTTCTGTAAGCGTTTGATCTGACTGAATGCATCCAGCGCACCTTGAAAATGGCTTTGTCACATTCCTAGTACCCCACTTCTGCTGCTTCAGAAACCAAAGAAAGGAAATACTGTACCCTATGGTTGAATGCACTTATTGTACGTCGCTTTGGATAAAAGCGTCAGCTAAATGACATGTAATGTAATGTAATGTAAAATACTGCATACATGAATATTGGTAAAGTGTCAAACTATTTTATTCAAGTTATGCAGGAAAAGAATAACGTGAAACAAAGAGTTCACCAGTACTATATTATGTACTATATTGTTATTTGTGTTAGGATAGACAAGAGAAAGTGGACCCAAAGGCAGACAATAAAAACTACCACGATGGCGTATGGTCACGCTGTGGTTTATGTCCGGTTTTATTTTTTATTTTTCTCGTGCCCGTGTCTTAACTTCTCTTCCTGCCCTGTTTTCCCCTCTAAGCTTGATTGTCTGCCGTGTCTCTTGTTTCCTGCTGTGTCCAATCACCTGCACCTCCCCGGTGTATTTAAACCAGGTCACAGCAGGAAACAATCAGGGGCAGAAAATCACACTCACAGGGGAAAACGCACCAGGGCAGGAAGTGAAGTTAACCCAGAGACTTGAGAAACTACAAAATAAAACTGGACATGAACCCACACCGTAAAAACCCAAACAGAAACATGCACAACTAGCATCACAGGTTATATTAAATATGAAATATATGCGATTTCAAAGTAGGACTATTAGTCACAACTCAAGGTTGTCACGATCATCTTTAATGCTGACCTCCCCCGCCCCTCTCCTCTCTCTCATAGGACATTGTGAGTGCTGATAAAGATGTCTGATAGTGTTGATATTGAAGAGAAACCACCAGCCCCCCCCTTGAGAATGAACAGTAGTTCCCGAGACTCTTCATCGCTGAATCACGCCTCCAAACCGCTTCCAATGGCTCCCGACGAGAAGAACAAGAAAGTCCGCCTGCGCTCCATCTTCCCCGGGGGAGACAAGAGTGAGTGTTCCCACCCGCCCACATTGGTTCATGTATTTCACCTGTGTGTGTGTGTGTGTGTGTGTGTGTGTGTGTGTGTGTGTGTGTGTGTGTGTGTGTGTGTGTGTGTAGAAATACTAGAAATCAGCCTTCGATCTTCCCGTTTGTCTCCTGCAGCGAACAAGAAGAAGGAGAAGGAACGTCCTGAGATATCTCTACCTTCAGACTTTGAACACACCATTCATGTCGGCTTCGACGCCGTAACAGGAGAATTCACGGTGAGCTTCTCTTTCTCTCTGATAATACGGACCGATGTGCTTCTAAAATGATCCTCCGAGGAGACGGAGTCGACTGAATATCTTCCCTCCTTCGCATAAAGTTGGTAACACAAGTGACTTGAATAACAATCGCTATACCTCCCCTCTCAGGTGAAACCTGCACTGCAATCCTGCAGTGTGTCTTTTAGCTGCAGTTCCTCCCTGCGGCTGACATTTCGTTCCTAAACAAGCCTAGATATATAATACCATGACACAGTATTTGCTTTCTCTTTTCTCTTCTCAGTTGAATTCCCTTTGCACAGGTTCTGACATTTATTTCAGTTATTCCAATGTCTGTCTAACACCTTTCTTTTGCGTAAGAACAAAGGACAAAACTCGAACATCAGACCTGTGTCTATTCGTGCAGGGCATCCCGGAGCAATGGGCACGGCTTCTGCAGACCTCCAACATCACCAAGCTGGAGCAGAAGAAGAACCCGCAGGCCGTCCTGGACGTCCTGAAGTTCTACGACTCCAAAGAGACCGTCAACAACCAGAAATACATGAGCTTCACCTCGGGAGGTAAACAACGTCAGACCTGTGATGGAATGAAACAACACCCGCCGGTATAACACATATTAAACATTTACCATGGATCGAACCAAAGATTGAAACAATGTTTCTTTCTGTTTCAGACAAGTCGGCGCATGGGTACATAGCAGCAAACACTCTGGTGAGTTCTTTCAATGTCTAAACATTCTTGGTTAGGTTGCTTAAACCTAAATGAAGCATTATTAATGATGCAAAAACAACTACACAGTTAGCAACTGACAAGAAAAGTTTTCCTCAGTTAATACCACTTACTTTTTAATGCTGAATTTGAAATGAAGCGTGAGAATAAAACATTACTCAGTCTGATGGAAGTGGCTCGTCTGTCCGCTTCATTAGAGGCTTTATTGCTACACTGCTTATATTGACCTCACTACACGGTCTGGTTATTAAAGTTAAGTAAAACGAGGACAGACCAACCCCATCTCTGGCGTTTTGCCATGCATAGTTTGTCATATTTTATTAGAAGATCTCTCAGATATAGAAATAATGTTTAAAAAGCAAAAAAGCAGGTAAGTGGAAACGGCTTTATTTCATCGCCTTGGGACCTCAAACCACGGTGACTCTCCCCCACTTGGGTCAACGGCTCTTCATCACGCTCACGTTCTGCCTCTAATGGGTGAAATGTGCGCGTGCTCCCCTCTGGAGGCTTACTGTCCTCAATGTGCGGCTCTAATGCACCGAATCAACCAGATTTTCAAATACCGATAGACAAGCTTCACTGGAGGCTCAACTTCATCTGGGAGGACTCCCGCTGTGGTGACCTCATTCCGGGCTTTGACCAGAGTCTAATCTATGCTTTGAATCCCCCCGGCCTGTTGGAGAAGTCGAAGACCGGGTCTGTTCAGAGGGATCTCGCCCCCCCCCCCCCCCCCCCTTACCACGGGATCACTTAATGCAGGGCTGTTGCTCTAGAGAGCTCTTTGCCAGCGAAGGGCGCGGCGGTTAGTCTCAGAGGCCGTTTGGACCGTCGCAGAGGTCCCCGGCCTGCAGAGGTGACTCAGCACGGACTTCAGTTCCTCTCTGTCTCAGGCAAGCAGAGCTACGGGAGCGCCGCTAATATACCAACTTTCTCCTTTAAGGCAGTAACAGTAAGCCAAGATGAGCTACCTGATGCTCCCCCATTATTCTTAAAACTTAAAACTTCTCCTAACCTGCAATGCAGGTAAATATTTGAGAGGGGGGTGTGTGGTTTTCCTCCAGCGACCTGCTTCTCTTCTTACAGCATGCTGCAGTCGACGTGCATCCTGCAGGTTTCTTCTCTCATGATGGATTCAACGAGACAAATAACTTGTTAGATCAGGTGCAGAAATGACTCATTTTTGTTCACCTGTGCCTCAAACCAGAACGTCGTGATGCGAGACTGACCGTTTGTTTGCTGCACGCGGTCGGTTTCTGTGTAACTTCACAGAAACCCGGAGGGACCGGCGTTGTCGGTACCTCGCAGTTCAGTGGCGCTCACGCGATACGTGACATCTTGTCTGTGTAGGCAGCCGAGTAGTAACAACGTAATAATGTTGGAATCATCCCAAAACGTCATTTTGATCCTCACATAAACGGTTAATCAGAAATCAACTGATCAAGTCAATAACGAATGCAAGGGTATGAAGCAATGTTTTTTCATAACACATTCATAATTATGATGCTCATAAATGTTTAATAGTATGATATACAAATCGCATTTGTCCAATCAGAGCCAGGTTTCTCTTAATTAACAGTGAAATAATTATCATGTTTGATTAACAGTTAGCTAGTTGCTTTAAAACAAAATGACTGCTGAAAACCTTTTTGAACAAATAAAGTGGAAAGGATAACTAATCCTTAATTGTGACACACCTGCCTGTATGTTGGGGTACTGTTGTAGTATCTGGGACACCTAAAGCGTTGCATCCTTAACATGTCAGCGGGAATTGGATCATGAACCGAAAGCGGAAGAAGAGATCAAATAATCCCTGATTAAAATATTTATAATTAAATATTAAGAAACCTGAAAATATGTTCGAGGACGGTCCACATTCTTGTCCCCAGCTTGTCCCCTCCTCGCGGTGGGGCCCAGGAGGACAATTTACGGTGCGTCCCTCAGCGGCGTAACCCTTGCCCCCCTGACCCCCCCCTCCCTCCCTCCCCCTGCCCTCTTAAACGTTGTGTGGGTTTGTTTTGAGTAAATCCATTTTCAACCTCCACATTCAGAACCGACTGCTGTCCTCTGGGCCTCCTGTCAGCCTTAGAACCTGCAGCGCATTATTTGACAAGGTAACTCCTCCATATTACTTTTCACATAATGTATCTCTGCATTGGCTTCGAAAGCTAAATTGGATCTCCTAATTTTGACTAAAAACGCGAATAAATATCTGATTTCAGACGCATCATCACTCTCTGTATTCAACTTTAATGGGGGCATATATGACTTTTTTTTGGGGATGTTACTGATGTGTGTGTTATCTTCCACAAGAGCGCCTCTTATCTTGTTTCAAATAGGCCGTGTCTGAAATGGCGGGGCAGCGACGCATGCCGCAGAGGGTTGCGATGGCGGTCAAACTGCATGTATGAGCTCACATTCTTTACAATCGCCAATAATATGACTTCATCACCATTGTAGACATTACCGCATGGCTCCCTGAAAAAAAAAAAAAAAAGGTCCCGAAAGAAATAGCACACATGGCACTGCTTACAGTTAGACACTGATTGCTGCACTGCAGTCTTGGCCCGGCTCTCCTCGGAGCGGGTCAGAGGCCCAGTGTGTCTGACTGAAGGACCGGGACTTTCCTTCAGCCAAACCCTTTAATCACCAGAACTAAGCCGCACTGCTTCATTTATGCATGACGAGACTGGAAATGGACGAAATGTTTCCACTCCGTAAGAGGAAGATGATCCAAGGCTAGCGAGGCGAGTTTTTTTTTTTTTTCTGGATGGAGAGAATCAAGGCTGAGCATCAGGCATAATAAATATGCCCGAGGCTTATTAATCCCTCTCGTTAAAAGGTATCGAGAGGATGTCTGCTCTTCATCACCGTATCGCACGTTACTGCAACAGTTAAATGCAGCATATTGCTGCTTTAACTTTCATTCTCATCTTTGGCTCATGGAACACCCGACCCGCCCCCTTGTAAATGTGAAACTCCTGAGATTAACTGCACTGGGTGACACCTCGCTCTGTTATTGCTCGACTCTGTAGCGCTCAATAACACCCTTCACTATTAACGCAAATGCTCCGAACAATTTAACCCCATTCGCATTTGTTTTTTTATACCAACTGGCAGATGTATCACAATGGATTGACTGTATTTTGCTTGTGTTGTTATGATATGCAATTTATTTCCACTCTTTTGATTTAAATTGTTGATCCAATGTTATATGGTTGATACAATCCAAAAAATGAATTCACCGTCAACGCAGCCTGTATGTTCTATTACAACGTCAAACGCCGTTTCTGGTTGATTTGGGTTTTGCGGTTTGTGTGTATTTTTAATAGATAAATGCAAAGATCTGCTCTTTTCATTCCATGCTCCCACATGGCACAGGCACCCGGACTAACCTCCATCTCCGTCCCCCAGGGCGCCAAAACGGCATCGTCAGAGCCCCCGATCGCTCCGCCTGTGTCCGAAGAAGAAGACGAGGAGGAGGAGGAGGAGGAAGAGGAGGAGGAGGAGGAGGAAGAAGAGGACGACGACGACGAGCTGCCCCCGGTCATCGCGCCTCGGCCGGAGCACACCAAATCCGTGAGTTTGTGGCAGCCCGAAATGAGTGAACGCCCCCCCCCCCCCCCCCCGCATGTCTTTGACTCTGACGTCCGGCCGCAGATCTACACGCGCTCTGTCCTGGAGCCAAAGCTGCCGGCCCCCGCGAAAGAGGTGGTGACACCGCCGGAGTCGCAGGTCCAGCCGGACAACACGTCCGACACCATGTACCGCCACACTGACCGCCAGAGGAAGAAGTCCAAAATGACGGATGAGGAAATTCTGGAGAGACTCAGTACGTTCCTCTTGAGACATTTCGTGAGCCACGGGGGTTCAGGAGTTCAAATGTTGTAGACTGTGAAAAGTATCTCCTTCTGCAGTGACTCGGATGGCCCGATTAAATTACTTCAAATGCACAGATTCTGGGCATTTAGGAGCAATGTGCGAGCGAACAGGGCTCCTTTTCTCCGTAACATAACGCGCCCCGAACTACCAGCATGCACTGCAAAGTACAGATTCATGTCCTGCACTACGAGGCAGCGTATGTCTGAAGTAGAGGAAATCTGAAAAGTTTGTGTATTTATGTGAAAGCTCTTTTATGAAGCCGTGAGCCTCAATCATCACAAATCTGCTTTCCCTCTGACTCAGGGAGTATTGTGAGCGTGGGGGATCCCAAAAAGAAGTACACGCGCTTCGAGAAAATAGGACAAGGGTAAGTTCATCTGCGAATCATAAACAAGTCGTCGCGGTTACTCAAACGGAGCAATTTATGGAGCGGTCAGTCTCCGCTTTAGTGAGCCAGAGGCGGAGTGGGGGGGGGGGTCAGGCCGAAGGACTGTGAGAGAAATAAGCAGAGGAAATGAAAACTGTATCCTCGCTCTCTCTGCCTCCTTGTCTTTCTGGTTTTAGACACAGAAACTCGTTGATCGTATCTGCTCTGATGTTCTTACTTTCTCCATACCTGATCAGGAAGATCCTCCCTTAAACAGCAGATGACCATTTACTCCTTTTAGTAGCAGGAACTGCACGTCGTTACTCCGACAGTACGCAGGTGTAGCTGACGGAAAGAGAAAGCGGAAAGACTAAACTCACAGTGGAAGGTTTTTTAGTGTCATGAACAGCCGTTCCAAATAAGGAGAACATTTCTGATTGCCATTCCTAATCATAAAGATCTCGCTTTGCATCGCTGTTTCATTCAGTTTATGGATGAAGAGCCACACAGGACTGTCAGCAGGTGTAGACTATTACTATTATGTACTGTTTAGCCCTTTAAGTTTAATTATATCTGATCTGACTGCAGTAAAACTGATGCATACAACTTGGACCTGATCTTAAGTGTCCTCTATAAGTCTCTTTTGGGATTGTTTTGGACTTGACATTATTTAAGAAAAAATTATACTCATTTATTATCATTTCTTAAGATAACTGTGATTTTCATCGTGTGTTTCACCAGAGCGTCCGGCACTGTGTACACCGCCATCGACATAGCAACCGGCCAAGAGGTGAGTCAGGTTCTGATGTCCGTCAATCACAATCAACGGTGCTTTTCTAATCTTTTTTTAAAAAACTTTACTATTGAGGCTTTTCCTTGAGCTCAGCCATGAATTCCTCGTCCGTTTCCTCAGGTGGCCATCAAGCAAATGAACCTGCAGCAGCAGCCCAAGAAAGAGCTGATCATCAATGAGATCCTGGTGATGAGGGAAAACAAAAACTCCAATATTGTGAACTACCTGGACAGGTCAGGATTCCCCCACGCAGGGTCATATTTAACACCGTGGATACAAACCTGAGGTCGCGCCCCATTTAGGTTTATTCTGCTTCAGATTGCTTGCTGTCCAACATAAATAATTACATTTATTGTTTTAAAAAATAGAGAAAAGCATCAAATCATACAAACCCATAATGGTTTCATGACACCCTATAAAAAGACCATTAACAGGCAATGTACACAGTTATTTAAGAGACAGTTTCAAATGTATTTGATTTGCTACTAGTAACTGATTTGGGGTCCGAACTCAAGTTCAGTACATGTTGTTGCCATTATTGACATTCAAGGATCCCCTGAGCCTTCTTCCGTGTTCCCCTTTCTTCTTCCTCGTCTTGCTTCTTAATGGTGTTCAGCGTCCATCATTTGGTGCATGATTGCCACCTACTGTCGGAAATGAATTTGAGCACACGGTCTCAAACGTTCTATCAAATCTTTAGCATCTGCTCCCCTCAGCTCGGATTTCATTACGCTGGTCTTTCTGCTGCTGTTCACAGCTGGAAGTCACACGGTCGAGCAGCCGCCGTGTGTTGTAATTGACTCTGCATCAGGGGTTCTACGTTGTACAGATGCTGCCTAAATACTCTTCTTCGGGAAGTTCTGGTCTCATTTTGTCCTTTTGTGTCAACCAGCTCGCCTAGATCGTTGACTCGTCAAAGCGACGACTCAACATAAAACCCCCAGTATGAAATGCGTGTCGGGCTAAAACTGTGTTTTTCTTTGTGGCTTGTTTCAGTTACTTAGTGGGAGACGAGCTGTGGGTGGTGATGGAGTATTTGGCCGGAGGCTCGCTGACAGACGTAGTGACGGAGACCTGCATGGACGAGGGCCAGATCGCTGCAGTCTGCAGAGAGGCAAGAAGCCGACTTTGCACATCAGCAATACCTCCGATTAATTAGAGCTCCTTTTGGCATTTAGTGGGCACAGGCAAACATTTTAACAGAATTGTGAGCACTTCACGCTGCCAAGAAAAAAGGATTATCCAAAAGCTTTTTTTCTCCCCCTTTGTCTTCAGTGTCTTCAAGCCCTGGACTTCCTACACTCCAACCAGGTGATCCATAGAGACATAAAAAGTGACAACATCCTCTTGGGCATGGACGGATCCGTCAAGCTTAGTAAGTCTTCACATATTTTAGTTCAAACCCCTTTGCTTTAATGTGGTAGAATTGAAGTGAAAAGCCCTGTTTCTGAGAGAGAAAGGTGTTTGATGGCACCGTGACAGATGAAAGATTACTTTAATTACACATGGGGTGAGTTCCAAGTGAAACTGTCTCTTTAATGTGATTGAGGTGACAAAAATGCAAACCAAGACCAGAACACTCACCGCTGCTTCGCTCGCCCCCTCTGCAGCCGACTTCGGCTTCTGTGCCCAGATAACTCCCGAGCAGAACAAGCGCAGCACGATGGTGGGAACGCCCTACTGGATGGCGCCCGAGGTGGTGACCCGCAAGGCCTACGGCCCAAAAGTGGATATCTGGTCTCTGGGGATCATGGCAATAGAGATGGTAGAGGGAGAACCGCCCTACCTGAATGAGAATCCACTAAGGGTGAGACGCAAAACCAGCTCCTTTGTCCTCATGTAAGATGGGGTTTAAATATCTCTATTTCTGCTTGAACCTCATGCGACGGTCTCTTTAACGTTGTCCTTTTAGGCGCTGTACCTGATCGCCACCAACGGGACTCCAGAGCTGCAGAACCCAGAGAGGCTGTCATCTGTGTTCAGAGACTTCCTCAACCGCTGCCTGGAGATGGACGTGGACCGCAGAGGCTCTGCCAAGGAGCTGCTCCAGGTAAAACCCAATCTAGAACCTCGATGGACCTACAAGCACGGACACGCTCTTTCATGCCCTGCAGATGTCAGCAAAGCGCACAAAAACCATTTCCGATAATAAATGATGCACGCAACCATTTTTCTTTTGTAAATCCTCTCTGTCGTCCTGCAGCATTCCTTCCTGAAGCTGGCGAAGCCTCTGTCCAGCCTGACGCCTCTGATTGTAGCTGCGAAGGAAGCCATAAAGAACAGCAGTCGCTAGTGTGGGCCCTCTGTCCCCACCCGAGGCTGGAGCCCTGCCTGCGGCGTGTGCGCTCACAGAGGGGGGGGGCGGGGGCAGGGGCTTGGGCGTTTGGCCGGTGGGTGACGTGACAGTGGCAGCACAATAATCGGGAGGGGAGGAGCGGGGCGGGGGGGGAGGTGTGGGGGGGTTTGTGTGACTTACCGTGACAGCACAAGGACATAAGACCCCAGGCCTCATACGTAGGACGGACATCTGGCCTTGCAGCCTCTCGGGGCCACGCTGCAGAAGGGACCTTGCCTCCTTGTTTATTTCTCCAGCACTACGTGTAGAGCAGTCCATCACAAGTACAGTGTGTGTGTGTGTGTGTGTGTGTGTGTGTGTGTGTGCGTGTGGAACAACTGTGCGCGTCTCTTTGTGACATACGTCTTGTTAAGCAGCAGTCGCCGCCCCCCCCCCCCAAACCAAGAGACCTTTCAAGAGGAAACTTCAGCAGAGAAGAGGAGCATCTGTTAAAAACTTGAGAGCCCGAGATTCCTTCCCCGCCCGGCTTTGGGCTCGTTTTCGTCTTTCCTCTAGTTCCTCCGTGCAGCTCAATCAGGCCACACTCGTACCTGCCGTGGCTGATATCGGGTCCCAACCTTTGCCTGCATGGCTGCGGCTCTGTGGAGGATCATCGCTACTCCTGTGCGGATTGTCACCTCTCAAGGTGGCATACTTTATGTGCACGTGTGTGATTGTGTGTAGGGGTGCAGCCACAGGGGAATGCGTCAGGAATAATTTCATATGCCAGCTTCAAACATCCTTCTTCAATCTGCGTCATGTAGGTGAAGAGAGACATGTCCTGCTCTGCATTAGAGCCAACTCCTTTCAGAAAGAGTCACCTTCAAATAATTACTGATTAACTGTTCTGATTATTCAAAAAATCTGCCTACACAAAGTATTTAATTAACAGGAACACGTGACTCAATTGTAGATTACGTGTGCAAATATTGAATTCTAATTACATAATGCAAACCCCTTCATATTAGTTTCGAAAGGAAAGTGTTGGGATGTAGAGAAAGACACTCGCTGTTGAGATGAATCCTTCTTATTCCATGTGACAGAGATGATCAATGGGACTGTGAAACCATGTCCACTTCTTACTGTTGCAAGAAATGAATGCTTGAACAAATAATTCTGACCCGTTTGCACACAGTTCACAAACTGTGGCATTAATTCTGTACAAGCACCCAAGGATAATCCAATAGATAGTCAGTGCGTTTCTCTGTTGCCGTGGCTTTAGACAACATCAAACATCCATCCATCCGTTTCTGATTCGTCTTATTGCATTTGACAATAAGGTGTGAAATAGACAGAACAAAGACAGATACGAGACCAGACACACTTTTTCACTTCAACATCTAGCGTGTACTTAGCGATTGCTCGTCCTTTTCAAGGAGCTTGCACACCGTGGACCGACGCATCCCTGTGACCTTCAACCCCGAAGCAAGCCTGCGCCTCAATGCAAAAGAAGAAGCAGTTCTCCAATATCTTCTCTGCAGAAGCACAAGTCCTGTGGTCTCACCGTCTTCTATTTCAGAATACATTATGTGACTGTGACTTTACATTGTTTGGACGGAAATACCAACAAAAACACTGGGAAGCAACTGCCCCCCCCCCCCCATCTCCCCGTCTCCTCCTTCTGTATTCCAGCTGCTGCTCACCCATGCTTCAGTGTCCTTTTGTCCTTCACGGGTGCTTCATGTGTCTTGTGTCATATGATCTGCACGTCTTGTAGTGAGTCGTCGGAGCGCGTGGCGGATCATAGGGGAGTGTTTCCCAGTGAGCAAAGTAGTTGCCATTTTACGATTGTACCTCGTCCTAATGAGCACTGGGAACAGACCAGCATAGCGGAGCGTCACATTGTTTGCTAACATTCCTTCCATACCAATTCCTGTACAGAGGTTATCTACTTTGTGTTGGTGGTTTGTTAGCCCGTCAGGCCTTTCCCATGTAGCCTCACCGTGCGAGTGTGTGCGTGTGCGTTTGTTTGTGTTAGGGAGGCTGCCCCATTCTGCACTAGAAGACACCTCACGCGTGTTGTCCACCTGGACGTTGAGGTGCAGGGTAGCTGCTTAGTCATACTGTACCTGCATTGTACAGCAGCAGAACAAAGGCCGGAGCGATGCAACGGAATCCATGCATGTAAAACAAACTATACACTGTATCTCATCTTCAAATAGGGTTAAGATTGTTAGGATGTGTATGTAAATAGGACAGGAACCTCCTCCCCTGGCTCCGCCCCCCTTTTCAGAATCATGTAAGTTAAGATGACCATATTCAGGTTGCTCTATGGTATGTATCAATAAATGTTTTGCACCCTGAAGAAATCAAAAAAGAGAAACGAACACACACACACACACACACACACACACACCGTCTCGGCTCTCCTGGACCTGTCTCTCCTGTCTGTTCTTCACGGGACAGAGAGCCGACGAATGCAGCACTCTGTGAAGCCCACGCAGTCTGTCCCCTGCACCACTGCTGGCCGTTAGTGCGTCTGTGTGTGTGTGTGTGTGTGTGTGTGTGTGTGTGCGCGCGATAGGTAGGTGGGTGGGTGTCGGTGGCCTGACAGGAAGCTTGGCCGCTCCCCCGGGACGTCGGGCCCTCGTGTACAGGTCTGAACTATGAGCACAAAAGGTGAATTTTGGGACAAGAGACACTGCTGACGTGCCCCTTTTCTGTGGTTGCTCCTGTACATTCCTTTCTTCTGAATGTGTAAACCTGTACATGTGGCGTGAAAATTCCTCTATTAATGTGTATCAAGAGAATGGAACAACGACAAAAAATGTTACTTTTTAAATTATTATCATTATTATTATTATTACTACTCTTATTGTCTAGCTTTGTAAAACTGCTGATCCATCGGGCATACCTCAGCAGGCCTTTCCCCATCTTTGAAAAAGGACAAATGAGTGACGGGGAAATGAGGTTTTGGATAAACTATTTTTAATTGTGGTTGAAGCAATAGACTTTTTGAACTTTGAATTGTGCATGGCTGTGTCTTGAGTGTAAAAAAACAAAATATTGCAGTTTGGGAACTGGACTGAAATAAAAAGAAGAAAACCAGAGTTTTTTTAATGCTTTTTATATTTATTTTATTCTTGTTCTTTCAATTAATTATGCCAGTTGGTTTTTTTTTTATCATGATATTAAAATAACTGGTGAAATAAGTTGCATTATGGAAACATGATACATTTATGTATTTTTGTTTAAACAATTACAACTTTAATGGCAAATTATTGCCATTTCCGTCACAGTATAATATAACATAAAAAAGGAATGATATCTTTACACGCAACTCAAACATCAACATAAAAATACTTTATAAGTTACACAATGATTAGTAAAAAGAATTTGGATTAAAAAAAAAGACAGGAATTCACATTCAATCCGTCCCAAACTTCCCCGCTGCTCTAAAATCAGCCACGAGCACACAAACAGTTTGAAGGGAGTTAAACCACAACTGTTTTTGGTGCTTCGACGATGCCACATGGCACGAGCGGTTCACCACGAGGCTGAGCACTGAGCACGGCGAAGGCCTCGCTCGGGTCAGCGAGGGGATCACATGGCGGTCAGCTGAGTTGAAGTGATAATCCTCACGCCGATGATACCCGGCATCTCGTCGGCCATCTGCCGTCCCCGCTGCCTCAGCTGCAGCCTCTGAGGGTCGGTGCTGTCCTTCACCGCCCCGGACAACACCACCTGGCCCATGAACTCGTCCTTCACTGCGTTGCTATTCCACACCTGGCGACGACCAGACACAAATTAAAAGTTAAATGTCCAAAAATAGCTCATCTGCAGGGCTCTGATTCGATTATGATGAGCGATGACGCCATGAGGCAATGATGATGTCATGTGCTCTCAATTACTGCTAATTATAAGCTGCCATTATTTGTCAGCTTTTCTTCTTTGTAGACTCGGCCGGCTCATTTTCTTCTTATTATTCATTGTGAGCACCGTATATATATTTGAAAATAAATGAATTTTAAAAAATAAATTAAAAAGTCTATTACACTTGTACGGTTTTTCATGAAAGAATTCGCCACACCATTGAAACTAATACTGTTCAGCAAATACAAATAAAATAAGCATAAAAATAACCAACAAGACCAGCAAAAGCACGATGCCTCTTATTCCACCAGTATGAAAAACATCAAATCAGGGTTTGATAAGTATATTTTCATTTATAATTACATTTATTAATAGGCTTTGAAATACCCCTTTGCACTCAAAACTATTTCATCTATTCAAAACATCTACCATCATTGAATAATGCCTTGTGTTTGATCTTAAACAAAGCTGCTTTTCTGAGTTTGAAAGGCAACGTTTTGGAGATACATGGTTTTCTCAGTGACCCACAATGCCTTTCAAACGGCAATCACTGAGATCAATGACAGTCGTCAGGGTGCTCTTACCTCCACGGTTATGGGCGTTCTGGGCTTCTTCCTGTAGAAAATGGCGCTGGTTGTAAACATCGGTGTCAGGGTGTCCTTCTGAATGGGGGATCGCACTGACCGGCCCTCACAGTAAATGATGACGTAGGGGTCTGCACCTGCATGAAAACAATTGAACGCAAAACATGTTGGCCGTCTACAAGCCGATCCCACCGATCGGCGGATTTTGGGGTGAAAGTCGGGCCTGCGTTAAGTCCTCTGACCTCCTGTGCTGTCCTGGTTCTGCAGCCCGTCTGCTCCGTGGACGTAGACGTGAGTCACTACTTGCGGATATCCGAGGAATGAACTCCAGCATTTTACCTTTGGCTTGTCCTCGATCAGCTCCCTGCAGGAGTAGAGGAGCATTCATGCACCAGGAGAGGAGAAGAGTGCATTTTGCTTGGTAAGTGGATCTTTGCAATCATCAAATTGGACACTTTTTCAGTTTTCAATAGCGAAAACATGGTTTTATGTAGTAGAAGATACCAAGTACAGATACCAGTGTTTAAATAAATACAGGAATTCAATGTCAGCTTTATGGTCAATTCCTCGACATGTACAAAAACATACAAACGTTTCTCTCCAGTCCAACACATAGAGTGAATGCTGTATATACTTCGTTCTAATTCAAGTGGAAAACTCTTTAGTGCAGCAAACAAACTAAAGCCAGAATTAAAATCCCAGGACCAGATATGGAATTCAACAGAGTGGTTCAGAGCAACTTAGTCCGCCAAAAAGAAAGTCATTTACAAAAATCGGACTAAACAAAATCTTTAGCCAAGAAAAGCAGTGGGATGGGAATGATTTGTGAGTGAACATGATTATGTGGTCTCCCCTTTCATAAACAGTCACTTTGAGTGCTTTCCTTGGATGAAATCCATCCGTTTGTCTCAAAAATTTGGTCAAATAAGCGTTCGAGCTGAGTGTCTCTTAAGACCCGGTGGCTGTTAAATGTTGCCATGCTGCTGATTCACAGCCAAACATCCCACCTCCCCCGGTACACGTACCTGCAGCCCGAGTCCACGTCGGTGAAAACTCGGATCATGTAGTCCCCCAGCGTGAGCGGCTTGAAGGTGGTGGGGATGATGACGTAGCGGCCCTGTGGCAGCGTGCACCTCATGAAGACCGTCCGAGCGTTGATGTAGGTGGACGTGTTCACACACTGCTGGGTCAGGATGTCGTGCATCCGATACTTCCTGTTCACTTCCACCTGGAAAAAAAAAGGAAAACAAGTTGAAATCTGGTGATAACTCCCTTCGCTATATGCGATATGAAGTCTTCCTATGCAGCGCACTCAAGGATCCTGTGTGTGTTTGCGCATGCAGAGATCTTCTCATGGTGACGAGAGACCTGGATGAACTAATTCAACAGAATAAAGCACGTCGCGGCCTCAAGCAGCTTATTCAGTCTTTTGTCTGCAGAACTCAGAACTCGGGACCATAGATACAAAGAGCTCTTTCATTTGAAGAAGATTGCTCTTAGATTGTTTAGACATTTTCTTCTATCTTTCAGTTAGTATTATTGTAATTTATAGGCTATATTTTGTATAGTTTTCAATGGTGTACTGTGTCATGCTTTGGTGTATTTTGGGAGAAGACAAACAAAGGCAATCTAATCCGGACAGATGTCAAATTGAACTTGTATGCGGAGGAGCAGTAAAGAAACGTTTGCTGCTGATGCAGAATCTTCTGCCTCCTGGTGGTAGAGAAAAAATGTGTATTCTATGGACAGAGTAATATAATTCTTGCACTATTATGGTGTATTGATCAGGCATAAAGTAAAGCAGCATATTATGTTTTGGAGCAGTTCACATCAGGCCATGATTTATCATTACAGTCACAGTCGGGTTTCAATGAAATTCTCTATGATGTCAGCAAATACATTTTCTAAAATGTGTATCCTGGTTCATAACTGTCAATCTGAGGACGGGAAGTATTTCTTTGACCCCACTGGTCATCTTGTCAAACAGCGTTTGGGGTGACAACAATAAAAAGTAGAGAATGTGGAGGCAGCGTCTGGACTCTGTCAGATGAAGGAGGAAGACACGTGACTGGTATGATGACCATAGATGACCCGAGTTAAATTCGGGGTGAGGCCGTGAGCACACGGCTTGCTTTCTGAGTCACATGCTCCTTGTGGCAGCAGCATTTACTGCTGTGCAGAACTGCCCCTCTGGCAGCACCTCCTTCGGAGTGATAAGAGTGTGTGTGTGTGTGTGTGTGTGTGTGTGTGTGTGTGTGTGTGTGTGTGTGTGTGTGTGTGTGTGTGTGTGTGTGTGTGTGATTGAATTTAGCGTGCTCTCTACACAGTAGTAGGGGAAAGGTGATGTATGCATGCGGCTACATGGCCTTATTTTAGTGTGACCACTCCAACGTCAAGTTTTACATCTGCCAGAGAGGCTGGTTCTGACTTTAAAGTTTAACATAGTTCAAACCTCTACTGAAACACATTGATGGGTTTTATTATTCTCTGTAAAAATAAAACTTAACTATCTATATTGCAAAATTATACGTATAAAACTAGAGGTTTTGGTTTCATATAAATACACACACGGCATTCTAAAAGGCAACTGAACTCTTTGCACCTTGCAAGGAGTGTAGAGAAAATTGTCATTATCCAGTTTGGTTCAACTCTGTTTCTTATATGTAAATAATCAGATGAAGGATGTGCATTTGCTGCACTTAATCGCTTTTAGGCTCTTGTTGAAATGGGCAGTTTTTGCTCCGATAAAGTCAAGTCTGCTGGTCATTAAAATCCCATAACTGTTCACTGTTTGCTCAACAAATGAGTAGAAAACTCAACTGCTGCCAAATTCTTTCACCAAAACGAAAGCCAAACTCCAACAAGATGACCTTGTTTTCCCTCTCGAAAAAACTGACCTTTGACTTTGTCTGCGTCCCACAATTCCCTCTGTTTTAAACTCATCACAGGTCACAAACGCTTCAAATCTTTCAATTTTAATTACCACTGATTCATGATGAAACAAGTCATTGTAGATCAGTAGTAGAAATCAGTATGCTGATCTTACCTTGAAGATACCAAAGCCAATGCTGAGATTTTCTCCTTGACCAAATTTTCTTTGGCTTTTCATGTCTTTCTGTTGCAAAGAAATTAGAACCTCGTCGGCCTCCTTCGTAACATCGAACAGGTACTGTAAGAGAAAGAAATGTTGAAAATGACACAAATGCATACAGGTGCATGAACACATGCTACGTGGGGAATCCATTCGGAGCCCTCAGTACCTGTGGGTTCTGCAGGAAGGTCTGCTTGTGGTTGCCGCAGCCGCCACAGCGGTTTAACAGCGGCTCTGCGTTTTTGGTCCAGCTCCCAAAGTGCACAACCTCGTTCCATGTCTTATAGACACTGATCAGAGAGGTGTTGATGAGACGACAGATATCCGCATCTGTAAAGAACTTGCACCAGTCTGTGAACTCCATCCTGTCGAGGTGAACCGGAAATGTGTTATTGAACTCTGAAAAAAGGGACAACAAGTCAACAGGTGTACTGCGATAAAAAAGGAAAAAATGCTCACCAGAACTCGCCATCATCCTCTACAGTGATGCCAAGTTTGCCCCTCTCCATATCACCAACCTTTGACCATTCCTCAGAGCTGACAGCAAGCAAAGCAAACATGATGATTACACTTAAGAATTACAAGTAAGACTAATACGTTGCACCCACCTTTTGAGTCATATGGCTTTTGCACAGTTTTGATCCTCAAATTTGGTTACAATGTCAAATATGATATTAAGCCACAACCGAAGAGAGGATTGACTATCATCAGATTGTTTGCTGTCCCCTCCTTATGCAACGTCCTTATTTTTAACAAAATATGACAAGTAGCCTCTTAATCATTATTCTTCACCCTTGTCAGCTCATGAGTGCGGTTTGCACAGCTTTCACTTCCTGCTCTTCCACTGGTCCGATCTACAACAGTGGAGAAGAACCGGGACTTAAAGCACTCCTCACCTGTCACTCCAGGCTCCTTTCCACTCAGTCTTGCCCCAGGGGTTTCTCATGCGGATCAGAGGAATGGTTTCGTTCTTGAAGTAGGCCATCAGTCCGTGACCTATGCGCACTTTCTTCACTGCGGTCACCGAGTACGCGTGGCCTTTCACCAGCCCGTTAGACATCCTGAGTTCCAGCTCATGAGGCTGCGCCTGATGAAATTATAACAGGCAACTGGTCAGTATCTCTAGAAGTATAGAGTCAAAAAAAGCAAACATTTAGGAAAAACACACACCTTAATTGAGCAGCTGATGATCCCTTCTCGCTCGTAGACCTTCAGCAGGTCCTCAAACAGCTGGTCCTGTTTTTTCGCGTCCTTATAGTAAGCCTCGGCCTCCAGGTTGATGGCTTCAGCCACAGCTCCAGTGAAATCCACCACAGCGTCTCCGGTGTTTCCCCCCTCCAAGGACTCATAGCAGCCGGTAAGCCTGGACGCGAAAAAGGTGCAGCGGAATCCCAAGTTCAGTGACAGAAACATGAAACTACAAGCAGATTAACACCAAATGTATATATACATATTTGCAAGTTGGGTTCAGTCGCATGACTAATGCCTTAGACTGCTCTTAAAAAAATAAGTCAAGTTGATTTAATCGGTTTCATTAATATTAACACTGACTTGTTTTGAGGTCGGACAGTAAGCCACCTCTTCCCTTTTGCCAGGACTGATGGGAGAGCTTTGTTGCTATGGCAACAATTTGTTCAGGTGCGTTGGAGTTACTTAGCGATAACTATTTGTTGCAGCTGTGGCTCATCGGGAAACATAATAGCGCCTCGACCTTTAATTACATGGTTGGTGGTTAAGTTTCTAGCCCTGCCGGCTCCGACTGTCCATGTTTCAAAGTGTCCTTGAGAAAGGCGCTACATGCAACATATATATGGAAGTGTGAATAGCATGTCTAGAGGTTATAGTGATTTCCAAGACCTGGGTCATTGTCATGCATCTGCCCCCCTGCCGGTTTAAGTTCACTGACTTGGCGTAGGCCTTCTCCAGCAGAGCGCTCCAGAATTCGTTGGTGTCTTTTGAGTGACAGTAGATGAGTTCACCGTTGATTGTCGGCAGCCGGTCATCCACCACCACATCCACCCACTCGCCAAACACCCAGAACTGAAAGTGGAAGATTCCCGCATAGTTCCCCGGCTGCTTGTGGTCCCACTCCTGCGTTGTGTGGTCAGGAATTACCTGGAAAAACACAAAGCAACAAATACCCGTGTGACTCATTTTCAGTGAGTTTTTTTGCAGCTTAGTGACACATCGCCCAGTGCCCAATATAATGTAACAGACATGATACAATTAATAGAAATAATTAAATGCTAGTGTAGTATTACACAAGGGAGGTCATATACTTTTACTCACAATTGCAGTTCAGAATATAAATATTGTAAATTACGTTCATCCAATTTACACCTCATTGCATTTATATATTTGAAAGCTTTGGATTGACAGCATCCTTGCTTAAAGATTAAAGCTTAAACATATACTGCACACTTGGATCATAGGACCCTTTGAAGGAGAGAGAAATGGTTCCAGTTATCCTATTAAAATTACTTAATTACTTATTAAAATGTCGGTTACAGACATTGGCTCACAGATTCTCCAACCAAATAAATGCACCTTTTTCCAGAGGTTTGGCTTCAAAGCCAGACAGGAGCACGCCGCAACAAACCAACAGTTCCCCACGGACCCCTGGTTCAGGTCATGGGAGCTGATGCCCTTCACAAACAGATGGGGCTCGTTGCTTATCTCCTATAGGAGAAAAGTAAACGGGACGCACGTTACACATTTCTTCAGCATTCTGCAGCATTCTTCCACCTGGTGCAGTAAACATCTCTAGGAATAACTGAATCGCTCCCCTCACCCCAGGTCGTCTCCACTCCACAACCCCTGGAGGGGGTTTCCTGAAGAACAGCGATGCATTGGTGGCTGGGAACTCTGGATCCTTGAACAGCGTCTTGTCATTGATACAATCTTTCTTCAGTTCAGAGTAGTGCTGGTTCTTGTAGGGGACGGCGGAGGAGAACATGGTCCAGACGCTGAAGCTTCACAGCTGCAGAGTGATGACAGACACCAGACGTCGACAGACTTCATATAGAGTTTTAGCTTTTAGGAACAGGTTCCATTCAGCATTTGATTCATTTTTTTGGGGGGTGAAAATCCAATAGTGCATCCAATAAAAGGCTTTATCAGAAAGCCTAATAGACGAGCAAACAGGTAGAACAAAGGCACGTGTGTTCAATAAAACAGTAAATCCACAGCACACAGGTAGAACGCCAACATTTCCTTGTAACAGCTTGATGTGCTGCAATTGTCTGATGATTTCCCCACCAAGACTGAAGAAGAACGTGAGAATAAGTGTCCCGTCACACAACAACAACAAAAGGCCGCGGCAGAACCTGTGATTGGCCGTTTGTTGAGCTGTTTCCACCCAACTGTGCAGCGTTATAAAGAATGAGACAGAATGTGTTTACGGCTGGATTTCGCCTCAAGCTGAAGGCGATTAATAACACACAACACAGTTGTGTTCTCTGGGGGATTGTGATATTTTAACTCTTGATCTATTTGTCCCGCCGCGCTGACCCCTCAGGGCTGCATTTGGACGATAACATCTTTTTGGAAGAAATACAGTTTGCCAAAAATAACACGTTAAATCATACAAGAATTAATTGACTGGACGCTGCAAGAAAGCGACGGGAAGTTTTTGGTTTTTCCCAAAGACCCAAAACAAGATAAGGGAGAGGGAGAGAGAGAGAGAGAGAGAGAGAGAAAGAAAGGGTAAAACATGAAAACTGAAACCGCCGATGAAATGGAGAAGAGAAAAGAAAGGGAAAAGAAGAAGCATCAAACATCCAGTGTGCTGCTCCTACCTGCTCCACAATAGAGAAGCTTCCAAATGCTTTACCTGCCCGTCTCACCCTCCCACGCACAGGTGACTTGAGCAACGCGTGACTAGACACATTGTTGGAGCCACACCCGTGCTGTTTGCTCCATTCCCCGTCGCATTTTATTACCTGGCCGGTGTTATTGTTTAACGTGACATCAGGAAGGAGTGAGATACCTTCAAGACGTCACAGCCACCATGTCGACGTGACAGAAATGAGATTGTGTTGTGGGTGTTGGGCGTAGACCAGGTTGTGAGTCTGTGTGATGTGTTTCAGAGTCCCGGAGGGCAGCTTGTTTTTAGTCAGTTATTCGCACCCCTTTTGTGGGTCGTAAGTGTAGCAAACGGTCTGTAGAGTGTTTTCTTTCTTACGTCGGCAGCATTGATTTACAGAGTCAGATCACTGTAATATCTGCTAACAGTGGTAGCAGGTCACATTCCATTCTGATCCTCCCTCGTGATGTTTGGGACAGTCTTGTAGTCTTTGAGTGCTGTTACAGCGAGAAAATAACGACCTGACAGGACAGCAGATATGATCTGAAGCCGTGTTTGAATATTTCCCATTTTAAAAAGAGGATTTTGTACCGACTTGCCCCCGAGGGAACTGATGATTAAAGTATTAACCAGACAGATGGAAGCATAAAACACCACTCGTAGACTCATCAGCCGTTTGACATAAAAGGCAACACTCACCTGTGGCGAGCAGTCTTCTCTTCGCTGTGATGAGCTCAAACAGATCCGAGGTGCTCTCATCAATCCAACATTTCTGTTGCATGAACCGAAACCAGTTTCTTTGGTTTCAGCCTCTGGCTACCAGGGCTTCACCAAACACGCTCGTTCGCACAGAAACGCAGGCTGAGAACCGGTCCGACGAGCCCCTCTCGGAAGCAGGAGGTGTTAGGCTGCCTGCAAAGAGGGAGGGAAGGGGAGACTGAAATCTAACACCTCATCACTCCCACCACCCAACTACTGCGACCAGGTGAAACAAGCTAAAACTCGTCTTCTTCCGTGTTTGTTCTTTTACGACAACGGGAGAAAACTCCCATTTAGTGACTCACTGATTGATCAAGCTATTCTTTGTTAAATATTTTGTTTTGAGAGAAATCTTGCTTTGGGCCGTATGATTAGAGCGGATTGACTCCTTCGGACGGACAAACTCGTCCAGGTAATTGCACCTTTGAAACTGAGATCTGAAGAGGAATGTGAGGTCAATCCATGCAAGACCTAAGCAGACGGTAATAAGAAGGAATCGCAGAAAATCTCGTGATGTGAAAGAGGAGCACTGTGAAGTTTTTGAAGTTCATGGGAAAGGGTTTGTTTGAGAGCGGGAAACAACAGTATGGAGTGTAAGGCAGGAAGGTATTTAAAAAGATTACCATCAGCAAGGCCTTTACACGCTGGTTAGAGGACTGTGGTTGGCACGAGATAAAAGGTCTCTCTCATGCCAGTTATAAAAATAATTACATACATTATTCAAAATATATTAAATAAATTGTATTCTAGATCCTTGAGGGGTCTTTTCATTTCACTTATAAATCCATTATTACCAGTGACACTGTATTCTACGTCATATTGAATTTCACGTTCATTTTTGACCCACTCTAATTGTTAGATGATGTTGACCTTTCTTGCTTAGGACATGCAGAGAGCATGTTATTGGCAGAAATAATTTCATTGAAAGGATGCCATAATCAAATAAAGACTAAGTAAAGCAGTAAAAAATATGGATTCTGAATACTGTTCAAATTTTGTAACTTAAAATGTATCAGCGGAGTCGAAGGATGACGATGTCGCTCAGTGTTTTCTTCAAGAGAATGTATGAAATTTTATGGCAAAATATGCTGATATATTAATACATATATACAAACTGAAATAAAATCTTTACAGAGATTTTAGCCTCATGTCTGGTCCTCTAGCGCCACCCTGAGGACAAGCTGGGTCTGCTTGCATGGATTTACACTTTTCATTTTGCATTGTTCTTCAGCAGCAACACCACAATTAAACTATGTCTTTGTCATTATTCTAAAAGCCCATCATCACCCCCAATATCTCCCAAAGTAAGAGGGCAGTGATCTTTGACCATAAACGTGATGATGTGAAATATGAAACTGATCTGAGAGTGAGAAGCAAGTTGGCCTTAAAAGCGCGACACAATCAGTGTCATCAGAGATTAGAGTTTCAGGCACTGCATAATACCACAGGACTTACACATAAGAATTCCTGCATGAGTATTTCTGCAAAAATGTCACTTCGGCAGAGCGTCTGATAAACGGCATGCTTGCAGATTGATTGAAATCCCAGTTTTCTATGTTTGAAACAATCTTAACAAAGGAACCAAATGAGTGCTAACAAAGCCAGACAGCGACAGACTGCAGCTTCTACATCTTTGGAAACTTTAAAGAGCCGTAATAGAAAAATGTCTTTTAGCTGCGGATGGTTTCAAGAGTTTAAAGCCTCTGAACAACCAAACAGGTGTTTTCAGCTGATCTGATTAGCGCTCACCTCAGAACTGTGAGAAAGTGCAAAGACTAATTGATTGACGTCTCCGCGAGTGAACTGTTAGCTTTCTTTCATTTGTTAGGGCGGGACTAATTGCACCCGTATTCGTCTTATTGGTGGAAAAAGATTTGTGACTTAATACCAATACCAATCAATCAAAGCTTTGGCCGCCCTCATAAAGATTCTGTAAGAAGCCAATAACTGTGTATATAATACAAGAGAGGCTTTAGACTCTTAAAAGATGACCTAGAATGGCTGGACACAAAGACCGACATTCATTTAAGAGTGCCTGCGTTTTAACATTCACAGTCCATTTATTGTACCTTTTGTGTTTGGCAGGAAGCGGATCGAATAACTAGTTTTGTGAGGCCCAATTATTCTGTTTAGGCAGAAGGTACAACATGCACACATAGTAGCCAGTAGATGGCAGGACATTCATTAAGATAAATGTGTGTCCTTCTTGTACAGCAGGTCTTACTAAAAATGGCGTCTGTGTCCCTGCAGCAGAGGACGCCACAGTCAGATCCAGTGCGCTATACTGCAGAAGTAAGAAGAAACAGAACAATAAGAATGGGCAGTTATCCGTAGAGTAACTCTAAACTAGAAAATGCATTGGAATGCTGAAAGATTAAAGCTGAAAGCTAAAAGCTGAAATGAATTTGAAAAAATTGCTGAAAATACAGAAATTGTGGTACTAGTTGTACTAGCAGTAGAAGAAGTAAATAAATGAAAGAAAAAAAAAAAGAACATTAACGTCTCTGTTGGTGTTTTTTTGTCTTTATTATATTCACACTGTGATACATGTTGGGAATATGAGTCATATTCACTGGTTTAATCCCATTGGTGACGTCTCTCTGCTGGCCAGGACCAGTCACTGCACCACATGTGGTTTCCAATAAAAGTAATTTATTAACATTAGAAATATTTATAACAATTACATTCCTGTTAACCCAAAGGAATACATGGAGAGATTAAACGTTGTACTATTAAACTATCGTTAATAAAAACACAAGTATGTGTTTTTATCTGTCATTAAACCAGAGATTTGCTGAAGCTTTCAAAAGGTTTTTGTTCAGAACAAACCTGATTATGTGAAATTATATTGGATTCCACTGAACAGATTTAGAAATATTTGAAGTTAAACCCTAATTAGACCCAATATCTAAATGATGAGCTATTGATTCATCCACAAAGGCAACGAGCACAGCAACATTAAAACACACCTGACCATCTGCAACCCCACAAGTCCCAGAAAGCTGTGGACCCCCCAGAGTCCAGACCAGCTGAGGTCCCCCTCACCTGCTCCACCTGCATCTACACCCACCATGAACCAACATCAGCTGTGTGACGTCCTGTACAGACTGAACTATGTGGTGAGCAGAAAGGGAAGTTCTCCACCAGGAGGAGGCTCTCCCTCTGGCAGAGAACAGAGAGACACTGAGGAACCAGACCTGGACCAGAACCCAAACCCAGGATAAAGAGGTTCAGTGAATGTGGTGTTGAAGGTGTGGAGGTGGATCAGTGTGTCAGAGGAGACTATGTAGAAGGACAGAGAGCCAGCAGGATAGTCCACATACACTGCTACTCTACCAGAGGAGGAGGAAGAGGAGGTGATCAGTGTTACTGTCTTGTTGTTAAGGACGTAGTAACCTCCATCAGAGCATATCAGACTCCAGGACTGATCATTCTTTCCAAACTCACAATCATCACTGCCTCCTTTCCTACCGATTCCTCTGTAACTCACTGATACATAAACGTCTCCTCTCCATTCAACCTCCCAGTAACAGCGACCAGTCAGCCCAGTTCTGCACAGCAGCTGACAATAGTAGTCAAATCTGTCTGGATGATCAGGATATGACTGATCCTCCTGCATCACATATGTCACCTTCCTGTTGTTGTCAGACAGTATGAGTTCTCTGTGCACTGTGTTTGTGTCGATTGTGAGTTCACAGGAATCTGATGAGAGAACAAGACACAATACAGCTCCAGTTATTAATCACGTGTTCATCTATTGACACGCTGATGATGACATCAGAGAGGTGAACGAGTGATGTCACAGTGTGAAGATGGTTGAATCTTGATGAATCAAACTCAAAGCACACTTACACTTCCTCAGACCTGGACTGAACCATCGGACTGCAGCAGGCTCCACCCTGAAAGGAGGAGGGGGGGTCAGAGCAGCATGGAGACATGGACATTACATCGTTCACATTACAGATTCTTTGGCTATCTTTGGACAACACACACTGGAGGAAGATGACCAGCATCTAAACATCCAAGCGTTGTTTGATAAGAACCCACAAACCTGCAGCGTGATGACTCATATCAACCCACCATGATGCCCGTCAATGTGTCAGGACACACCACTGTCCTCTCTTATAACATAGAAACAAGACAAGGCCCCGGAGAAACAAGCCTTTCATCACCTTCCTCCCTGTTTAGGCTCATGCTGGCTACTGTTCCTCACTACTTCAGTCTGCATTGATGGCCTCATTTGGGACACAAACAATTTGATGAGTCTCTGGTAGTTTGAGGTCAGCTGGGTGTGTCAGAGTCGTACTAACCAGGCTGACAGTGGGACAGAAAAGGTTTACAGCTCTACCTCCTCTACTAGACTGAGAGTTGATAGCCCCTTCATACCTGAGAGTTTGCAGTTCACAGTGTGGATCCTCCAGTCCAGCAAATGGCAGCTTCAGATGGGAGGTGTTGGAGAGCAGAGCTGAGGCCAGATAAGCACAGCCTTCCTCTGCATGTGACCAAACAACTTCTAATGAGACTCACAACATTACAAAGCCGACAGAGAGCAAACAATCCATGAATGAAACAGCAAATGAAGCACATCCATCAGAGGGGGAGGAGCTTCAGAAGAGCCCCACCCTCCTGGGATGAGAAGGGTTTATGAAGCACATTTCTTATCTTTACTTCTGTCGTATCTTTATTATACGCATGTGACCTCTTTGTTCCTCTTTTTAACAACTTACCGATAGGGGTAGTTTGGGGTAATTGTTCGAGGAGATCAATCCTTGGAATCTTTTTCAAAACCTCTCTGGCCACCTGAACTGGGTCTGCGTAGTACTGTCCCATCAGGTCCACTATGTCCAGCCTGTCTGCGTTCTCCAGGAGAAAGACTGGGATTGCTCGGAGGTCTCCCGGGCTTGAATGATTCTTTAAGCACCACTTGAATCGTTTAAACTCGTCCTCATTGAGCTCCTCTAAAATGTAGAGGATGCCCTCCTTGACTTTCTCCATCTGTCCGTTTCGAAGACACCCAAATAAATATCAACCGCAGAGAACAATCACTGCTCTGCACTTAAAAAACAAACAGCATCATGTTTTAAAGATGGAGTTATAACAGTTCATTGGTTTTGATACACAATAAAATAAAATTCTTCTTCCTCTATCTATGCACCTCTGATGAAGTCAGCGTCCTCTTTGTGGACACAAGTTGGATGAATCTGTGAATATCGGGGAAGTGCAAAGACGGTTCACAGCTTCACCTGCAACAACAGTAATGCCGTGTCATTTGCATTTATCAAACAAATCAATTCATAATCAAATAATTGTGAAGCAGGAAGTAAATGTAGCCAAATCCAAAAGTTTTGATCTGAAAGTTTGAGCTTTGGACTTGAAAATGTATTCAAAATAAACATAAGTGTGAATAAGTTTTAGGGTCAAATATATCATTTTGATTCAGTTCTTGAACGGTTTTGAATTAAATATTTATTTTCATTATTCACTTCAGTTTGTTTTGACGCGTTTAAATACTCCTTGATTGAAATCTCCAATTGTCTTTAATTGTCGTTCATTTTTTTTATTAGTGACACCATGGAATCAGGAAAACATTTATTGCTATAATATATCAGACATGGAATTTGACTTGGCAGTTGGTGCGTAACAGCAGACAGTACAACAATGGACGACAAGATAACAGTGCAAGAGGAATAAAATGAAATTTAATGCTATGGGTTAGTAATATAAGGCTATGGGTTAAAAATAAAGGAATAAAAGTTAAAGTTAAAAATATTTAGAACAGAAAGTGACAAGTGAAAGTAATCATCAAATGTGAAAGTAACCATCAAATGTGAAAGTGATCATCAAATGATCTTAACAAATGACTCTTCCATGCTTGCCCTGTCACGTTCAAAAAACTATTTAGCTCCTCACAAACACCAACCCCTGTGGCAGTATCATTATAAGAACCTTCCGGCCTAATTGAAACATTGCCTTCCACCACTTAGGGGGTGCAGCTAACAATCAAACAACAACAAAAATAGCTACTAACAATGTCTTTTGGTTGTTTGAGATTAAACATTCTCAACGGGCATCACTTTGGAGGCACATCTGTTTTTCATCAAGATTAGAAATATGAAGCAGTTTGAGGTTGATACAACTAAATAAGTGAATATGATGTATTAAACGTGTTGATTCATAATTCCACGCTTCCGCAACGCGGTTGAGGAAGGTTTTGAAAAAATAAGATTTGAATCTGAAAATATAAAATCTACAACTGAAAAATGTAAGACCTCAAATATAAAATGTATATATGTGAGGAACTCGTTCTCTGTGGACTTTGGCATCCATTCCTCCATGTTATCCACGGTTCTATTCAGCTTTACAACACATTAAACTAGTGGAATTAATTGCTCAATCACATCTTATTGCACATGAAGTGACAAATCTACAAGCCTCGTTTCTCCTCAACTGAGTTGTAGCAGCTGGTCGAGAAAAACTCAAGACTAAAGAAAAGACAAACACATTGAAACACTCTAAAAAGTGACTAAATGTGTTTAAAGCGGATGAAGAAAGGAACATGAAGCTCAGGTGTGTTTCAGTGCAGGAACAAAGGCCCAGGTGAGCTCTCTGGTCCCTGCTGGGTCCTAGTGCCCATCTGGCTGCTACCTTCCCCTCCTCATCAGTAACCCCAGATAAGATTGATCTCTTCATCACAGTGTCATCATTCAGACCAACAGCAGCTTCTCTCAGCCTGCTCACACAGGCGGCATCTTGTTTCCTAGCTTTAAACAATCACACGTTCACAACCATCAATAATGTCATTCAACCAATCACAGCTACACTTACTGAGCTCGTAGAGATGTACTTCCTCAGCGTGCAGCTCTCTTCTGTCCGCAGCAGGTCTGTGCTTCACTTCAGCTTCCATCAGACAGAGAAGTGATGCTTGTTAGAGCTTCTTATCTTTTATCAGAGAGGGTGTGTCCTCAAGCCAACATCAAAGCAGTCTGACTGGTCGACTGAGTCTCAGTCTGAGCTGTGTTCACGGTGTCAAAGGTCCTCGTGAACAGAATCCTCCTCACTGCTCAAACAAGAGTCCTTCAGGATCAAAACCAGCATCTGTGGAACAATCATTTCACCTTGAGAGTTGCTATGACAACAGAGTGGATGCTGTAGTTGGGACCAGATAGTTAGGACCCGTGCACGCCCCCCTTTGTCACTTGGTCTTCTACATGTAGACTAGCAGTGAACACGTAATGAAGCAGAAACCATTGGAACGAATGCTGTGACGAGTTTATATTGAATAAAAACATTCACTAGGGTCTGACCTGAGTGTTTTTGTTCTTCACCCCACTTTGAAGATCTGGTTGAACCTGCATGCTGCAGGCGGGACAACTTACTCACATATCAGCCTCAAGCTGCGTGTTAAATCATTTACCTTTATGACAAACTGCCGCTTCTCACAAAGCAAAGACAGTCTTCTACTTCATCACATGACAGCTTGAACCCACTGGCTCATATTTCTGCTGTGCAAAGGATTGTGGGTAAGAACAGCCGGTAAAGAAGCCTGCTTGCAAACCACAAAATTCTAATTTCTGCACCTCAAAATGCTTCTCAATATCTTGTGTGCTGGTAAGCTCCTAATGAGACGTGTCTGTGTGTGTGCGCGTCTTTGTGTTCACCTTTTCGGTGTTTTTTTAGGCCTAAAGGCCACTAAAACAATATTTTTAAACTATATAAAACAATATACTATATTCACCCTTTGAACCCCCATATTTCACTCTTGACATACAGAACAGTATTAGTATTTTGATTGAATGGAATGACTTCCTTTGCCACTATTGGAAATGTGAGACACCGTTCCTGTTCCCATGGCGATTAAGAGGGTTGTGGATGAGCGCCACGTGAACCCAATAGTATTTTTAACTCTCAATCTTTGATCTATTTATACGTCGTGGTTGAACACATCAATGTGCACAGACAGACAGACTACGGCTTTGATTGTTAAATTCTGAATGGAAGTGAATTGAAAAATAGTCTCACTGATTTAAGACACAAGACCATAAAACGTGTATGAACCAGAGCAAAATAAAAATAAAAAAGACCAGAGGGGTGAAATACAACTGTTTTAATTGCAAAAGGATACCGGTTAATACACTGAATGAACCACTGAAACGAGCCACTGTGACATTGCAAAATACCACTAAAAAGGACATTATTAATTTCCAAGAAAAAAGAAAGTCATTCATTCGATCAGAAAGGCTTACAAATGATAGAGAACAGGAAGGGAGCGTATTTACACCACAATAAAGTGTCCTGTAGCTCTACAAAACAAAGTTTGTTGAGGCCTAAATCATTCAAGACGTTTAAAAATGTTTTACAAACAGCCGTTAACAAAGATCAAGCTTTCGATGTCCTATTTTAATAATTTATCAAAAAGACAGTAATCCTAAAAAACAAAAAAAAGGCACCACTGTAGGTGATGAAGTCACACCATCCGTCTGGCGTGGTGGAGGCAGGTGAACACGAGACAACCAACATTTGTTTTATATCGCGGTAATAAGCTGGAGAAAAAAAATCAAGGAAACTAACATCGTTAGCATGTGAGGTTATACAGAACGGTGGGACAACAACTGGGGCTTTTTGTACAAAATGGGTGAGGCGTCCCCGCGGTTGGACGAGGCGATGTCATTGGCCGTTGTGACAGCGCTCCCTGCAGGAGGGACGTGCAGCTTTCAGCAGCGGATCGTTTGGTTAGCATTAAATGGCTAAACGCCTTTTTAAAAGCGCCCCATCACTCCTACAACTCTCTCGCATCATCACAATAGATTTACCTGAATGGTCATTTCCCCCCCCCTTGGTTTATTTATCATTACGCTATTGGGTATAAAAAGGTCATGTCTACCGAAAAGGAAAAAAAATATGTCAACTATTCGAGTCCGAATGCATAGATGTTAATTTAAAAAGGATGCTACATGGGCAGCATTTTTATTTTAATAAAAGAAAAAAAAAGAATTGTCACGCATTTAAATGCTGGCAAGTAGACCGTAAAGTGTCTGTTGCTGCGATAAACAAGTTGCTCCCTGCTTTGTGCTTCAGTGTCCAATTTAGCGATTGGATGGCGATATATTTAATCGATAGGAAATATGGCCGTAGAAAGTCGCACACAGGCTTGATCAAAGCGCTAGTGTGAAGAGCTCATGTGAGCAACTAGAAAGAAAGAGTACCCTTGATATAAATTAATAAAACTTTATAAAAATTTTAAAACCCACACAAATTTAGACAAACATTATGTTCTGTATCAGAGAACATGCAAACTAGGAGAAACCCAACTAGGCCCTGATACAACAATCATTTCCCCAGATGAGCATGACTTATTTAATCTCTACGTTCATGTTTGATGCATTAAAAAGTAACATGCATAACTCTCCAGGTGTGCTTCCTTCAGCATATTTACTAATAAACTTACATATTTTCCCTTTTCTATAGTAATTGGTCAGAAAATCCTCATCATACGTAAAACATCGTACTTTGGCTTTGACACCTCAATTATTTCAATTTCGCATATTGTCTTATAAAACGTCTCCAGCTGGCATAAAGGGAATGATTTAGACTGCACTGAATGGGTGTATTTATTTTATTAAGGGCCCAGTACGTTTTCCTTTGGTTGTTTTTATGCACCATCATGTCCTTCAAATCAGCTTAGTCTTAAGTTTAAAAACCAGTTAATACGCACTGCTGTTGATGAAAAATCTAAAAACACAGATGTGTACCATGTATAGTTTACTCTCTATGCAGAGGGTCAAAATAGAGGAAACGGCAACACAAAGGCATCGCGGAGGGCTACGTGGGAAAAAGTGATCTCATGTCCCCGATTAGACAGGACGCTTGCAAATTATTGCCACGGGAAGGATTTTGAGGCCTCCGCTGTGTCATTTTATTCATGGTTGTATAATCTTCCCGTTTATATAATTCAGTGGAGAACATGACTGGAGGAGGCTCCGGCTTCCCATAATCCTCCTCAGTCGGGGGGGGCAGCGTCCCACTCGCCGTGGCGGGGCTTTTGTTGGCGCCTCTTTTACTTTGACCGGACCGTCATGTCGAGCTAACGTTAAGACGGACATGGTGGTGGCGTGATGGGAGCAGAGCGGCGGGCAGAGACGTCATGATGGGATAGCTGTACACAGTATTTACAGCGGGTAAGAAAGACCGTCGGGCTTAGCAGATCTCTTCTGACGAGGAACCATTTACCTTTCACACCTTAGACTGTAGGACAGGAGGACACGGAGGAAACGTCACGAACACAAGTGATTAGAAAAAGTTAGGTCAGCTCTGACTAACACCCCTAGAAATTATCCATTTGCTGCTTGGAATTCTGTGACACAAATATTAAAGTAAGTGAACCCGTCAACCAAATGTTTGAGACCGAAAAAGGGAAATTTCCCACACTGTGTAATCAGCTGGTTAGTGAACCATGTGCACCTTTTTTTTTTTTTTTTTTAAATGGTGTCTGGACATTATTGAACTCATTGTTTCAACGTGGGTGAAACTGATTTAAAAAAAAAGAAAAAAAAAAGAAACAAACCCAAAAAAAACTGTTCTTCTCAAGCAGCAAATGGTGTCATAGCCCCGGAGGCGAAGGCCTTAAAAAGACAGAATGGTTCTCCTAGACAACAGGTGGCACTGGGAGTGTAGGTGGGAAGCAGCAGAGGTATAAAAACTTCTGTGTTTCAGGCCAAAAAAGGAGGCGGGTCTACATCGATTCGCCGAGGGAGTCGTCATCATCCAGAGATAAGGGCAAGTAGAGATCCTGCAAAAAGTCACATGTGGAAATTCACCGTTAAGAACAAAAAAAGCATTTGGAAAAAAAAAGGGGGGGGGGGGGGGGGGCAGGTACCTTCTGCTTGTTGTTGAGGCCTGGACTGTTGGGGGTGGAGAGCTGGCTGCTGGAGCCCGTCCCGTTGGCTGAGAGAGAGAGAGACCACAAAAGGAGGAGAGGGATGAAGGGAGGAGAGAAGGTAAACAGTGTGGATGAAGAGAGACCCACATTTAGGTTTTTTTTTGGCTCTGGAGGAGAGTCACTCCTGAGCCGTGGCCTCACTTGGCTCCTGCGTAGGGGGACGCTGGCGCGCCAGGTCGAGGGGTTTGCTAGACGACGTTTTATTCAGTCACTCGGCGCCCTGCCGCGTTGCTAGGAGTCCGTCTGTGTGCAACATTGTGTTTATAACTACAGCAGAGAGTTGCTTTTAAAAAAAAAAAAAAAAAAAAGTTTTGCCAGTTTTCTCTTTTAACAGATGAAGAGAATTCTGAAGACTATGAGCCAGATGGCCAATGTAAATTCGAGCCAATGAGTGTTGAAAACACTTTGTTCACTCAACCCTACGGGTAGATTTACAAATGTGGACTTCACAAGCCTTTACAAACACTTAAAAAAAAAAAAAAAAAAGAAGGACAGACCCTAATTCACAATTCCTATTAGCTTGGAATCTTTAAATCGCTATCTAAACAATCGCTCTCCCACACAATCCTGAACAGAGTGCAGCCGCTTCATTTATCAACGTTCAGCTGCAGCAATGAGTGTAACCGGTTCTCTAATTACAGCAAAGTCGTCCACATTGTCCCGGTTTGGGCTCCAGATTTCTCCATCTATTAGACGTCGGAGGCTGAAGAAAGTACAAGTAAGGAGGCCAGCTGTTAGTCGTGGACAGATTTAGTTTTCAGATAAACTGGGACAACGAGAGACTGCGGGGTTGAAGTCGCTTCTATTGTTGAGCTGTTGCCCAATCAGAAGCAGTCACTATTAAAAGAGGGAGGAGTTTCAGTCGATGACACCATTTCCACTTTAACTGAAATAATACAAATGTTTCATGTTGTTCGGGTTTGGCGGATGTGATGCTTTAACGGTTTAGTCAGAAAAAGCTTGAATCTGAAACATGCAATAAAGGGACAAACATATTTGTCTTTACAGGATTATTGTTCTATTTTAATAGCTTACAATTTATATATCGTAAATGGCTCGAAAAGCCATAAAAGGTTTATTTCACCCTCATACAGACTCGTGGGAGAAGTTTTGGCGACGGAGAGTTATGACGCACTAAAAATAACCTTCAACACCCGGTGAAAAGAAAAAGAAAAATCCTTTTTCCAGAACTCGGGTTAACAAATGCAACGTCACAAACGTTTCAGCTGCCGCCCCAATTCTCCCCCCGCTGACCTCTCAGGTATCAAGGAGGTGATTAATGCTCAACAGTTTACTGCCTCCCCAGCATGTTGGCCAACCATCTGCCGTTTTAAAGGCCTTCAGCTCCATTAGTGATCGATGAAATATTCAAGACCGCTGAAGGACCGAGGAGCCCCGCCGTGCTGGAGACGACAACAACCCCCCCCCCCCCAAACACATAAATAGTGATGTAAAACCCAAAGAGTGGACTAATCGGCTGCGATCAACTCTCAGCTTTCATCCTCCGGAGGACTCAGTAACTCACCTGCTCTCCCCGGGTCGTGCAGCCTCTGTGGGAGAGCCAACGTGGTGTAAAGCAGCAACAACTGGGACAACTAACGCCGTTTTAAAAGTATACAGTCCCGCACATGCAGAACGTGAACCAGTCAGGTGAAATATCACCTCGCTCTTCTCCATAGTTTAGGGCAAAGCCTTCAGAGAAAACCCTTTTCCCTCCCTCGCGTCTGAACCCGATCAGATTTCTTGGCAGCAAGCAGCTAAAAAGGCGCAGCTACATAAACTCAGACGGCATCGCAACAAAGAGATGTAGCACGCGTTCCCGAGTTAAAAGCTGCTGTTTGCATAAAAGATTAAAGCCGGAACCATGCGTCTCTATTGTGTTCTACTGCCTCCTGGATATTATTAAATGTTAAAATGGCTAATTGTCAAACAAACAGCTGAAGGCTGTTTACACGGCCTTTGTTTACTTTTCATGTTTTATTCATGCTTTTTTTCTAAACTGCAACATTATTCTTAATCTAATCAGATTGGCCTCCGTGTATAAAGGCCTGGTTTTCACTTTCCCGGTGTTACAGGTTTTGTTGTAGTAAGATTAAGATGCTGTTGTTTGGACCCCCCAGTTAAAACAGTCTGACTGCAGAAAATTCTTTTTTTCCCCCATTTGTTTGTACACCACACAATAAAATTATTACAGGTTGACCAAAAAAAGAAGAAATATTTCTTTCATTTGCATCTGAGCAGTGAGCAAATGATTTTTTTCATATTCTATCATGCATTAATGATCCTGAAGGAGAACTCCCATCTTCTGTTAACCACTCCCAACAGAATAAGGTCAAAAGGTCACAGTCAGCTACATCCTGCCTCAAAGGAGCTCATTTTTATGCGCGTACGAATCATTTCCATAGCAACGGAAAAGGCCTGATTTATTTTCCACCCGCTCTCTGTGGTGGTTCATAGAAGGAGGTGAGGTCACTATCTGCTGTACTTTAACAGGGGGAGGAGGGGGCTCAGGCTCACTTGATTCAGCAGGAGACTTGATGCGCCTGATTGGACCAGGACTCTTGATTGAACCACGTTGAGCTTTGGATCCTTTCATCACTCTGCATTCTGTGGAACACAAGCACGATGGAAGTTAGAAAGAAATGGAAATCACAAGTTTTGGTTGCTCTTGGGCACTGAGCAAAAGTAAAGTACAGCAAAGGGACATTGTGGTGAATTTACATCATAATTGTACCAAAAATAAACTGGCTTTTTTTATTATTTAAGTTTATGTTTCTCTTAAAAATGATGCACATTACAGCGAGCACACAAATCATTCAGAAATGCATGCAGTGCATTCTGGGTCACTGTATAAAATCAGGGAAGACAGACTCCAGACACTGCTGCTGCTGCTCCTCCTCCGATTGTACTGTCAGGCACTTCCACTCTTGATGCTAATTATACTCTGTCCTCCCTCCGTCTCCTGGGATCGCACCACGTCTGTCTACTTTCTCGTAACCGTCGCACACTGGCGGACACAGACGTTACATTTATGTGCCGTTTTTTCTTCGCGGAGCGCGTTGACGATGCGTCAGACTGGCAGCTTGTCTGGTCCACTCAGGGGTCTCCAAACATCCCAGAGTCCACCTGAGCAGGTTCCCCTCTCTGCTTCAACCGATGTCGTCGCTATAAATGGTACTTATGGCCTCCCGCCTGTCTGCGAGCCCATCAGTCTTTGATTTAACGCGAGCGTGATAAATAACCACCAGGGATTTAAATCCATTTAGGTAATTCTGCCAAAACAAACTTAAAAGGCAGTCTCAGTAGAATAAAAAAAAAAAAAGAAGTGATTGCAAATGTTATCTCCTTGGTAACACATCAGTCATCTTTGGGGGGGGGGCTTATAAAATTTTAACCATAAATCATCGTCAGAGTGACCAGTGGGTCCTAATGCAATGCATCGGACAGGACTCTCCTCATCTAATCAGTGATGCCTGGATGCTGCAGACTCTCTGCGTCTGTACTTATTGCCCCCGAGGTCATTACAGGCTGAATGAAACTATACAGCTTTGGTTCCATCGGAAAGTAAAGGGTCTCAATCATTATAAACGCAGCGGCATCTCCACCCAGAGACTGGATGAAGAAAGCGTAATGACCAATCAGTCCTGTATCAGCGCTCTAAAGAATAAAAGCCATTCAGAAGGAAGTTGAACAATTCAAGGAGGGCACATTAGGTAGAAGTGGGTTGATAAAAATAGGATTTTTTTCCCCCAGGCCTGTTGGGAGCAGAGAGGCTCTGTGAGGGGATGAGTTTTACATTTTCTCTCCCAGAATTCTCAGCAGTATCAGCACCAAAAGATCCGCTGGCCTAAACCAGTCAGCGGACAGATTAATGTCTCTTCTTCCACCTTTTTTCCTAAACCTTCTGCAGGCTGCAGATAACAGACTCCTCTCCGGCTTCCCCCTCACATACATCACGTCTCCTCACTTTAAAAAAAGCTTTTTTTTTAAACAGAAAAAAAATTAAATTAAAACCCATTATGATAAGTCAAGTCATTGAAAGTACACCGATACATAATTGGCTCTCATGTGAATATTTTGACTTTACACAATGCTTTAAGGGCTCAAATGTGAATTTACAGTTAAGTTGTAGTTTTCTACGGTCTTTTAGTCAATATCGCCATGTAATCATCCTAAGGCTCATACCGCGTGTTTGTCATGGTTTTTACAATCATGTTGCAAAGCTGGTAAATGTCCAAGAAGGTGCAAGATGTAAAATATCGACTAATGACGCCGCGTTCACCGTTCTGATCCAGGGAGAAGTCGTCCTGGGCGTAGCGGAATTTCTCTGGTCCACACGCGATGAAGACGTCGTCCTCGCCAAAGAAATCTTGAAGGCAGGTGACCTGCGGAGCCAGGGGAGTGTAGACCAATTAATCTGGCATCATGAAGGAATCACAACAGGATTTCTACAAAAATGGTCTCAACGCAATCAAGCCAATGGATTTAGAGATATTGCAGCATGGCACAAAGGTGAACATGCTGGTAGAAAATAAGTTTAAAATACTAATCAATGCCTTTAATGCATTTTCGGATATACAGAACATAAGACTAAATGTAAAGACGATAAATATTTGTTAAGGAATTCATGCAGCATGAACAAAAACTAATTAAACTAATGAACACATCCCTGGTAAACAAGGTTTAAAATTGTGCCTTTCTGTGATTCTTTATGGAAAATTTTACACATCTGCCCTTTCCATCGTATTATGTTAATGTCGTAATTTAAGAAAGTGCATTTGAAAAGACTCCGGAGCAATGAAAGAACTAATCCTTAAAAAGGTATTGCAGGCATAATGAAGCGTTGCGAATAGCTGCAGGGGAGAAGCCCCACGGATGATGCGCTCAGACTCGATGACAGAAACGAAAATGTTAAATGCCGATTACGCGGAATTAATTAAAGGAAAACCACCCAAAACGATGAACTCTAGAACACAGGGCCGTATGTGGATTAATTCACAGAGGAAAGTCCTCAGTGTCTGCCAGCCAAGGGGTTTAGTCAGCGAGCCCACCTTTGTCATGTTAACACGCCTCTAGCTACAGTAGCTGCATGTAACAAAGACAGTACACCGTTACACCTTTGCTAGTGTTCTCAAATGATCCAAACTTCCTTCCCCGGGGTCTTTTCCACTCCGGAGCAGCTGTTGACACAATATGGGCCGAGAGGACAGATGTCTTTGGGCCACACCTTCCCCTCTCCATTATACGGCCGCCGTTACCAGTTCATGCACGCCTATTAAAGCCATTCAAGCTGAAAAGCTGCGCTTCCGCTTGTTTATCTTTTTTCTTTCCTGTTTTAGATGAGATTTGTTACAAAAGATCTCCGCCTCATTCAGTTTATCTTTCAACGTCACTCTCCATTTCTTACTGGATTTATTAGATCATTGACCAATTCAATGACACGACTCGCCGTCTTTATTCACAGGGATGATTCTCAAAACACAAGACTGCTGGTCATGGACTTCTTCAGGGAGACCAGCAGAGAGTCCAGTGCCCCAGTGATGGGCCGGTTGCCAGGACGGCCAAGATGCCTCATGGCTTCCTTTGTGATACACGTGGCAAACTATGAGCTGCAGATAAATTGGGAACACCCCACCCCAGCAGCTGCCATGTTGATTCTCCGTCCTGCTAGACAAGCTAAAAAAGTGTGTGGTGGTGACTCCGTGGCGAGGCATCCAACAGCTGTAGCCCTCTCGCTCTCTGCCTGTCCTACAACATTCCCTGGATACAGGCCTGAAAGATTCCTGCTGCAGGGCGGAGATGCTGCTTTGACTCCAGGGATCACAATCTAATTGGTTTTCAAGCCTAATTTTAAAGACGGCTGCAAATGTGAGTTTTCCTCTGTGCTCATTATCAAGAAATGAGATACATGCTACTTTCGTTAGGTTAAACGATTTTACGGCATGATTGGATCCCACAGTTGACGCACAAGCATGCAGGAAGGAAGTGCCCCCCCTGGACAAGGCAGCGGGTGGAGAGGAGATGGAACCGGGTGGGAGGGGCGAGGCCAGTCCACGTTTCAGTAGCTTTAGCAACGGAGCTGATTAAAGGGATAAAATGTTTATCCAACAGACCGCTGTCTTAATCTCCTTTAACATAATCTCCATTCAAAACTAGGACCGTCTTCTCTTGGGGTCTCCGACTGGCAGAACCACCTGAGGGGAGATTCAATACCAACAAAACAAAAGACGCGGCGTGTTGTTTTTCTGCGCGTATAAACGATGAGCAGGGCGCAAACACAGCAGCACACGAGTTAAACCCCATGTATCAGAAAGCTTTAAGACTCCTTATCGAAAACATTGAATCCTGCTAAGCAAGCTCACTAATCCGATTCCCTACAGCGATCACTTAAGATGCACATCCTCTGAACAGTTCAAGAGCAGATCTTTGACCGGTGCACCTTGATTCCACAACGACCACAAACAATTTGTGTACGGTGTGTATCCAACGTTCCTCAGACACTCCAAACATCACCAAAACATGTTCTGCATGTGAGAAACAGACTGAGCGATAACGTCATCATCATCATGAGGAGTTTGTCTCCTCACACATAATCGTGGGTTAGTTGTCATAGCGATTTCCGGCCCGACAGATCAGCCTAGTCGACAGAAATGTTGTGGGGAAAACGGATCTGCGATCTGATCAAATGTGAAATGCCAGGCTCCCTTTGAAAAGGTGGCTGCGGTGAAGGAAAGGGCAGGCCATCTCGGGAACATTGGGATATGGGTTAAGGAGCATCTGCTCTCAATTTTGAAAGGTCAGTCGACTGCGTCAAGAGACCCACCTGCCAGCAGAACCAAGAAAATAAAAAAAAGGACCCAATAAAGAGAAGAAATGATGCCATCAGATCCTCAAAGCCACCTTATTGCACATGCAACCCACACATCAGTCGCATTGTGTACGTTTCAACGCATATTAGCATTTGTTTGCTTAGCGCAGCAAGGCGGGTGGGCCCGTGTTTCTGTGAAAACGGGCTCCTTCCAGACTGCAGGTGCCCCTCACCCTCAATCCCACCAAGTCCATTCTTAATCTCTGCCTCACCAGCTGTCCAGACCACATGACCCCCTGCCCCCACCCCCCCACAGCACCAGCAGTCATCCCACCAACTACAAGAACTGAATTATTCAGTTTCTTTGGCCGATCGGACGCACGCCGCAGACCTTTCATGAGGTCATGGCGGACCTGTAGTGTTTAACCCCGGTTGGGAGAGAGAGATGGACCTGGTCCTTCTCTGCAAGGAGGCAATATTTCACCATAGATGGGGAAACGTTGGGGGCGATATGAGTCCAAACTGAGCAGAGACTTAGTTTACATAAAAACTATATGATCAGACGTAGATCTTCCATTATGGCCGACACGCCACTCACAATAAACCCAAATCAACGACTGATGAACAATTTGTCCTGCACAACAAATGAAATCTCAGGTCAGCTCCTTGCTACAGCTCGTGTGTGAAGCGGCAGGAAACCTCCTCGAACAAAGCTCGGGCTTCCTTTGTCTCAGACAAGCAGCTGCTTGTCATTGACTTCATTCAGTCATTATGGCTCCGACTGCGCCGCTTGAAAGGAGGAACTAAACGACAGATCCCGGCCCAGGAGAGTCCTCCGACTCCACAGCGCCGTGTCAATTAATCTCGGTCTGTTTTGACTCTGCCGTGACTCATCTGATCAGCGCATATACAATGAACATAAGGCCCCCCCCCCCCCCCCACCGGGGCCAAAGGGGTCAGTCGGCAGAATCAAACCCTGAAAACTGATTATACTAATCGGTCGTGCCCTGACAGACGGGAGGAGTCATATCAGATCAGTTCATGAGTGTCTCCCTCGGCGTCCATACAAGTCAGCTGGAAATACAGACACCGGCTCAGCAAGGCTGCATCCCTGTGTGTTCGGTGAGGTTACGGCTGTGGGGTGTAAGGTCGAGAGGGCACAGCGTGTACCAACAACAACAAAAATAATGACAAATACAAGTCTACCATGAGCAAAAGAGCTTGGGAGGTTTTATAGCCATCCAGAAGGAGGAGCAAAAGAGACAAAAGGCTGAAAAAGAGGCGGTGAGACCTTCGCTTTGCAAACCCATGGGTAAACTCCCACACCGATTCTTCACTGTAGGCACAGACCGATCAATATCAGCACCAAGTGGAAGCCGCGTCTCCATTTTGTCCATTTCAGCTTTCACATGTCTGCTTTTGCAGCAACAGCTCAGTGATAGATATATATTATATAGTTTAAAGAAAAGAAAAAGAAAAAATTAAAGCGAGACCTCATCCGAGCAGCGCTTTGTCCCGCCTCCAACGATGATCGTTGGCTGCCTCTCTGACCCGTCTGTGACCCGCGTGCTGCTGTAGGTGCTCCGGATGCATTTTGAGCACAGATGCGCCAGTTAGGCAGCGCTATCTGCACCGTCATGGGGGGGGTGGGGGGGAGCAGCTGGTGCACGATGTTGTTTCAACCCCACTCCTCCCCAACCCCCAAGGAAGCAGGCTTTCCATTTGGCTGACTGATGTGGCCGTAGCCAGCGTTATTAAATTGGGCTTCCTTTTTCTTACCCGCGGGTCATGCTCACTTGTTGATGCGGTCCTCTGACAGGAAGACGGGGGGTGGGGGGCATTACAGGCGCAGAGGACACGTACAGACTACAGAGCCAGCTCAGCATGCTTCATGATGGGGACAACGCCCCTCTGTCAACCTGATTATCTGCCTCTGTTTAACACTGTGTGTGTGTGTGTGTGTGTGCGCGCTCACACATTAGTGAGTGAGATGTGACTGCAGTGAGCGGTGGTGACGGGCAAGCAGGTAAAGACCCGATGTAAAGAGCACACTCAGCGTATTACACCCATTGTCACAAACCGAATCCATCACAACGGAGCTTATTGCCATGACAACTGCTTCTGCAGCGTGGCAAAGAGCAGGCAGACTGCAGGAGCACTGATAACCGAGGAAGAGCAGGCTTTTCTTCCACATTACTGGATTTATTAAGCCCTGAAACCCATTCAAGCATATATCCTAATGTGAATTTACCTCGAGTTGTCAACTTTTAATGAAAATTGGAATCTTTTGTTCTTCGACAAGAACAGTGTGACCTTGTGCCTGAAGCATCCATCGCAGCAGCAAGTCTGAACCGTCCACATATTTCTCAGATGACATTGGGATTTGTAATTTATGCACATAACCCTACTGTGCAATTCAGATGAACAAGCAGTGGCTCTTAAATGCAAATCAGAAGTATTCTCCTGTACAGACACCTCGGTCAAAAAAGAATGAATACAAAATGGCTGCCAGCAATTAAATAAACCCTCTGATTTAATGGAGCCTGTAGAAGCAACGAGGGTAAAATCAAGGAGCACTTTTTCTTTTTATGCACCGGGAATTACTATCAGCCATCAGTGAAAATAAAACGATTCTAATTTGCTTTGAGAATGGAAAATGACTGCTGAATCCAACGGCCCCACCCTTCCTGATTGAAGTGAAAAGCGCCGGCTTTTGAGGGGAAAATGGGAGTCATTTTATTCACAACACCGACAAAGAGGGGAGGGCAGGCTGTCTTTATTAGAGTCTACGCAAGACTAAGGGGAGTAAAAGTAGGCATTTAAAACGCTCTAAAATCCTGAATCCTTTGAAACCCAAAATGCAAACACGATAAAGTCACTTGTGCTTCCAATTCAATCCCCATGATGGAACCAATACAGGTCTTAAAAAATGAAAACTACAAAAACATGACACGTGAGGCTCGCATTGATGGCAGACTCCTCACACCCACTACAGGACGTGGTATCTGACAGACCAGTCCACACCAGCTGGGCTCTCTTTGTGCCTGGGATGTGGTCTCCTAGCAACCGGTCCCAGCAGCTATCGCAATGGAATGGGAAGAAGAGGATCGGCGCAGACTCAGGGAGGGGCGGCCACTGCATCAATATTGCTTCTACCATATCACCTCCACCACAGAGCAGCTGCAGTGTGCCTCTGCACACAAAGACGCCGCAATAATGTGCGCACGCGTTTCTCACATCGCTGTGCACTGCCACGAAACTGGGCACGGGGCCAAAACCAGTGGACACTAATCGCAGAGCAATTCATCTTTATCCACAGCTTGGAGAAATACATTTAAAAATATATATATATATATATATATATATATCGATCCAATCTGATTGGAACAACCACCATGGGGAGGCTATTACACGCATTTTGTGGGAACATATTAAAAATGCATGAATAAAGAAATTTATGCCAGACATGAGGTGGTTAAAAGATTCATACATCTAAGCAAGTGTGCATGTGAGAAAACCTGCAAGGAGACCTGAGGCAGCCAGACTGCACCCTAAGGGGAGGGCACTGGAAGTCAAACTCCCCCATCTATCATTGCAGCGCACCTCCCCTCCTCCAAGACGCATGCGATACCAGCCTTATTAAGACAAAAAGCACGAGGAAATGTACAACACCTAAAAGGACCTCAGCGGGGCACGATCCCCCATCCATCTGGAATGAATAATACAGGAAAAGACCCCCACCGGAGAATTAGCCAACATTTAACCATATCAAAGGCAGGACTGAGGAACAGATGTCCACGTTTGTGCGCGCACACACACGCACGCGCACACACGTCAGGAAAGCAAAGGTATTTGAGCAGTGTCAGTCAGTAACTGGCGAGACTTTAGCGATCATTAAGAGATTTTTATCACAGTAGCAGAAGGTTCTCCTGTCAAAAGGTCCCTCCCCAACACACCAAAAAAAAAAAAAAATCTACAGCCACATTTTGACGCTGCACCTCATTTACTAGACCAAACCGACGGGACTTTATAAAGCAGGACACAAAGATGATTCTTGCTAGACCTTTCCAGAGCCTTACAGGTGGCTGATCCTGCTCCTATGAATAAAACATCACCGTCCTTTTTAGCTGAGCCAGTGTTGAGAAAACAAAAAGTTTCCCCCCTGGGAGCGACTTTTAGGTAAAGTTAAGGCGCATTGTGCGTCTCGTACGGATCACGGGATTAGGCTTTCATTTCAGCTGCGCACCAATGCATACGATGTTCTAATCCATCCGAATGGCAAAACCTTTACGGGAGGTACTAGCCTCAAGAAATGAATACACTTCATTCTAACAGAACAGAATTTCAAGCAGTGTAAATGTGACCGTTGCCAAGCCAACCATGCAAATTCTCATGTTCATGAAAACATTTGTTCAAGCAAAAGGCAGCGAAGATACTAAAAACTAGTTTTCTAGTGAACAACATCAAGCATTTATTCCAGATCATTCTCATTCAGGAAACAATGCATTAGCTTTAATATGGTCGGATTCAGTGCCAGTTTGATCTTTTTGGCCAAATGATCCGTTCGATATTCTGTGGCCTCTTTTATAAAACAAAGGATTTATCGGCATTGTGATCCTCCTCTTTTCAAGAAGGGAACTCGGGCCAAGTAGCTTAACAGTCTTTGCGCTCTGATGACACACGGTCAAATCAGGTGGGCCTCAACAGGAGCCATAATCCAGCTGACGTGTCACACAGGATTCTGGGCTGTATGGGATCCAGTTAAGTGGAAGGGACTTGAGTAAGGAGAAAGTTTTAAATGCTCAGCGTACAAGTCGACATTATACACGGAGTAGAAAAGGTTTTTCCAGGAGGCGCGTTCTCACCACTTCACTAGAATACCAGCGGGCTCCATCCTAAAGAGAGTGACAATGGGGGCAAGGCGATCAAACGTGACAACGCAGGGGCTCGGCCCTTTGTACACGACTACGGCGGCTGGAAGACACAACTTCCCAGGACCGATGACAAAAGCCAGAACAAAGGCCGCAGACAACGGCGGCCATTGTGTGAGAAGTTTGTTCTCGGGGACCTGTTTACCGAAGGCAGGGGCGGACATTTTGAAAGTAGACCACTTTAAATGAATTAAATTGTCTTTTAGGTTTTTTTCCCCCCGATAAACAAAGCATTTTGTTTCCTGCTTTCCTTCGAGCCAGATACCCGGCTGGGTGTGGGTGGATATATGAATGATCGACTGTTCTCATCCTCACCACACATTTTCCTTTTATCTCACGGAGATCTGCGCTTACATACTGAAGCACTTTTGTTGAGTGTTATAATGAACCGAGAGCCTCATCCTGCACTATTCAAATGCAGATTCAAAGAGAAAGAAAAAGCCTTTTTGTGGTTCGGTACATTTGAATTTTAGCGAGTTGGCTTTTTAAACTTTCGGGGAGTTTGCAGGAGCTCATACGAGGTCCGATGCCTTTCGCCCGGAAGCGCGTTGTGAGCGGATCAGTGAGACCACGTAAAAAAGAAAAGGTCGGCCATACCTGCTTCCCATCCAGCGTGTAGATCCTCTTCACCACGCCGCTTTCCAGTTTGATGGCCTCCGTGATGTCGGTGAGCACCTGCTCGAAAGAGTGCGCCGTTTTCTTGTTGAGCAGGATGCGCACGGCCTTGCGCGGCTTCACGCCGCTGCGCATCACCGTCACCAGCTTGGGCCGGACAAAGTCCTTCCCCTCGCTGGAGGAGTCGGCGGCGGCGGCGGCCCTGGCGGCGAAGGCTTGCATGTGCTTCTGACTCGCCGAGGCCTTCACGTTCACGGACCAGTTGGGGTTGACGTTCTTCGTGTAGTCGACCTTCTTGTAGATGTTCTCCGATGCACAGACGTAGCTTTCCCCTGGGACGGCAGGGGAGAAATTGGGTTAGTGGGTCGGGACCCCTCGGCTATTGGACTCCCGAGACTCCTAGAGGGCGTTCGCTCAGAAACATTTCAACCTGCAGGTACTTGATTTAGCAGAAACAGCAGGACCAATGGGGAGAAAGGGGGGGGGGGGAAATCAGCAAGTATATACAACGAGCATCCAATTACTCCATTGTAATCAATGTAATTTACTGTAAGATTATGAATTATGCTGCAGCTCACGCCTGTGTGTCTTTGTCTGGTATTAAAGAAAGGAGGAAAGTAAACTTTAAGGTTCTCCCATGAGACCACAAACCGTAACTGCAATTCAGCAAATATTCACCGTTTCATGCAGCTCTCAGTCAGACTTAACATATATTCACATAATGGCCCTTCCATATGAAACCTATTATAAGAATGGCCACCTTCTTTTTGACATTACTCATAAAAAAGGTTAAAAAAAACACAAAAAAAACACTATATATATATATAATATAAATATGTTTTATAGAATATTCAAATCAAACACAAATCTTTTTCCTAAATCTGATGATTTAGTCCTATTGCCTTTATTTTCATCTGCATTTATTGACCTCCAGTCTTCACAGCAGATTGTGTCTTTCTGGCTCAGACAGGGGGGGGGGGGGATGTCAATGTAGAGACAAAATGGGGAGAGACTGAAATTTGGAAAAAAGCAGAACCCAGAAGGCAACAATTAAGCCCAATGTGGAGAAATTAGACAAAAAAGCCCGGATCTGGATTAAACAGTGCAGAGGAGATTGGGCAACTAATTATATCCCACAAGAGGAAGCACAATGAAATGCCCCACCACCACCCACAGTGCCGTCTCTACTGCGCGCGCACACACACACACACACACACGCACGGCTATCTTTCCTAAGCAGCTCAAGGAGCAGAGATGTTGATCTCATTTTGAACAAAACCTCCAACTCCTTTGTCCACCTCGTCCCACTTCCTTAGAACAATCCCACGAAGTGGACCAGGACTTAAGCTTATTCTTGAGAAACTTCATCTGATTGATGGTTTTTAATGTAAAAGTGTATGGTGAGACATACATTTTCACTGAAATAGGACCTTTCCACAGGCAGATGCGTAAATCATCACGTCTGATGCCAAGCAAAGACTTTAAAATCATCAAGATCAAAAACTCACAAAAGTGCAGTTTTAATTGGACACGGTTCCCACAGAGACGCTAAATAGTGAAAACTATGACTGGAGGTTTCTTTTAAAAATCGATGTGGTGGCGAGGTCGTCTGTTAATGACCCATTTGCCCCACGCTGAGACGTACAGAGCTGGCTTTACAGCTCAGTATGAACCCTGCCGGGTTCTAAAGCTAAAAGGCTCAAAGACAGAGTCCAATGGAGGCCGAGATGGAGGAGCCGCTTTCAGCTTAAACACGTCACAAGCTGTGACACTTTGGTTCAAACATCATCATGTGTGTACATTTCCTCCTAATAGCCCCAAAAAACAAAATATATGTGCAAAAAGCAAAAGCGGCACAGACTGTGCTGACCCAAAGCGACCACTCAGATTAGAAGTCGGTACATCATGTGAAGAGATTACAGGAGTCTAGACCGAAAAGATAAGACTCCTAATCTTCCAAACGGAATAGTTATGCTTCAAAATCGCACACATTGCCGACTGCTGATCCAAAATGTCCCGTCACCAGATCAGATACGTGTCCATGGTGCCCCCCCGCCGCCACCTACCTTCCTCCAGCTCGTCCATTGAGCAGATCTTGCGCGCGCCGTCGATGGTGAAGATGAAGCGGACGCCCTGCGGCAGGTTGATGTGGTCGGAGAGCGAGCGCGTGAGGTCGGCCAGCAGCGCGTCGAAGGTGCGGAATCGGTCGTTGGCCACGGCGTACACGATGCCCTTGAAGTAGCGGTCTCCGTTGCGGTAGAAGCGCACCTTTTTGGCCTTCTTCTCGTTGGTGAGGGCCTGCAGGGTGCGCGTGCGGTAGAAGCTGCAGTGGGCGCTGTGGGTCGGGCTGGGGAGGCCGTTCAGGCGCCCGCCGCGCGGGTTGCGGGACGCCTTGTCCCGCTCGTCGAAATGGCCAAAGTCTAGCTCCATGATGACTCAAGTTGAGATGGGTGGGACGGATGTGTGGTGGTGATCAGCGGCGGAGGGTCTGGAGGGGGAAGGAGAACAATCCATTTTAAGTAAATGTAAAATGCTGCAACCAACTGTGTTGTTTGTTTGAGCCGTGCTGTTGGAACAAGGTACGGATAAGACCGAACAAATAACCACAGCAAGATTAGCTCAATACCATCAAGAAGATTAGGATCATTTCAGCTGTCAGCTGCTAAAAATAAAAAAAAATAAAAAAGTGAATTTAAGTCTTTACGGCTGTACCCGTATTCATTCAATATTGGCGATTTATGTCACTTTAAATCTGGTGTTTAGAAAACAGATTAGAGACGAGGTCATGCAGTTTGAAAGAAAAACATGGAGACTTAATTAAATAAATGTTGAATTAATTAAGAACCTAAATGACTGAAATGGTGACTAAACCGAACAATAAGCTTCAAGTGCAAACACCGAGATACTTTATTTAACGTCAAACATGGAGTTCTATAAGCGTGCATCGATCGCTTTAATGTGATGCATACAGACGGCCAATGGATTAAACCACTGGTATTTTAACTGAGATTAAAGGACTGCTTCTACACACTGGTACTACAGGCTGCGCACAACGTGTTGACACAGCCAGACCACTTCAAAGAACACGCTATGTGGCTTTGTTATTTAGCTTGTGAAACATGGACTGTCAAATAAGAAGAAAAAAAAAAAAGTTAAGAGTCCTTGAACTACTGCTGTGCTGAATATTAGGGCACCTCGATCCTTCACATGTTCAAATTAAAATAATCTTTACAGATGATCCAGTACTGCTCAGTTGATACCCGGTGGCACAAAGCTGTGGTGAATCTGATGTAAATCAAAATTAATCCCCTCATCAGGTTTGAAATTGGTTTTCAGGATTTAATAATGTATATTTTTTCCCCAGGTAGGAAAATGGGATTACACACAGATGGAGATCAAGATGGCGGACCAACGTCATGGCACACATCAACCAGGTTATCCAAACGGCAAATATTTGATAAATCAATGTAAAACTTGACAAATGTATTTTTAGAAAAGTGGATTTACACATTCATGACTCGCGTGTTTTCTGGAGAGCGAGATCACAATCCAACATCCACGTTGGCCCACACGTGCACACGCCTCATCCAACAGATGGACAATATTGTCTCTTCACAGCGTTGCTCTTCTCACGTCACTCACATCCTGATGAGTTTGTCACATAACGAGGAATTGGCCCATTCCGTTGTTGCTGTCAATTCTCATGTGTAGCATGACAAAGCAAAGTCTTGGGATAGTGTACATCAGTGAAAACCATGAAGCAGTGTTCAACATTTAAGTGGGTTTTATACAGTGAGTCATTAATTGCGTCAACGCAAATTCATTCGCCACATGAGACAGAAATCTTTCTTCATCTGAGGGAAGATGTTAACCGTTTTGTCCCAAAATAGTTGGGATTTGAATGCTACATGAGATCCAGCTCTTCCTGATGCCACAGAAATTATGCAAACGATGCATCTGTGCAGCCGCCAAAACAATAAATCACTTGTACTATGAGAGGGGCCGACCAAAGGCCTGAAAAGCTTTTCCATTTAAAATAAAACAACTGCCCTCTTCCTGCACCTCATGACCGCAACGCAGTCCTTAAAAAGCCCCTAAACCAGAACTTTGATAGTGATCACGGACACTTAAAAACACTCCCACCCACATGAGACGGTAAGTTATGGGAGACAATCTCGTTTTTATATAAACCTCCTGCAAGAGTGAGGACAGCTTTATCTTTTATGAATCTCCATCCAAGTAATAAAAACTTTGATCCCAAGCCAGAGGCTGGTCGGCCTACAGGACTCTACTGTATTGAATGAGAGGTCACTGGTCTTTAAACTCACGGCCTCTCTAAGTGGCTTGTTAGCAACACACACACACACACGCTGCGAGTCTTTGGGGAAGATTTAAGAATCGTTTTGCTGCTTGATGACAGTCGAGAACTGACATTGCATTTTTTTTGGCACCACTTCAATGGCTTTCAGCGCTGGCACATTTTGCACTATACTCGTTGAATGGATTGGATTTTAATAATGAGAATAGGGGCATTGCAGTTTTACAAACTTGTGAAACTGAAAGTTTTCATTTTCGTGTCTGAATTGTTTTGTCTGAACTGAAATGACCAGCAGCTTGAGAAATTAGCGGATGAGATTATCCGGTGGTCTTAATTGACAGCTTTGATCTGCAATCGATAGTTTGTCATTTGTACAGCAGAAGTGGGAACCGCCCATCGATTGCAGCTTTACTAAACAGAAAATGCATTACTTTTATCGGTTTTGTGTCGATCTTTAGGTTTTGACAGGTGCTCAGACGAAGACATTTCTGATACAGGGTCAGCTGCAGCCTCAACTTTGAATGACACACTATCATCTTATTATAAAGTGTATCTTAAAACACGGCTCTACCTCTAAAAGAACAGTAAACATAAAAAAAAGTGAAACATCTTTCCCCATTTTCCTTCCAATGAAGGAAACCAACAACGCTCATTTGTTCCATTTCTAGTCCTTCATTGTCCTCCGAGGTTTAATGCCCTGCGTGGTGCACATGGTTGACAAACAGCAGCCATTAAAATAGTAGGAAACACGCTGCCGCCACCCATCCGTCCATCCGGCCATGCGGCCATGCGGCGGGGCCCTCCGGTCCCCTGCTAAAGCCCAGGGCTGTGCTGCGGACTGGGGCTTTATGACAGGCACGCTGACAGGGTGTGGGGGGGGCTCCTCAGCTGACAAAGGCCAGGTTTCAAGCCCATCTGGTGCACTAATGGGCTGAGCTAACAGTGCCCCTTCCCCAGTGGAGCATCAACTAGGAAAGTCCATTGTCTCAAACAGGGGGGGCCTTTCCTTTGGAGTGACATCACCATCACCGCTGCTGCAGGAGGAGCAGCGACCGGCTTTTTTCCCCCCTTTTCCTTTCTTACCTCCACCGGGAGTCCAAACTGGAAGCAATAATGGTACTTCCACTACCTTCACCGCTTTGCGTTACAGCGCATAACCTCTAGCTTTACATCCACCCTTCAAATAGCTTAATAAAAAAAAAAATGAATCACCACCACAGCGAAATGAAATGAATCCTCCCACAAGCTAAAGGCTCCTCGGAGCATTACAAATAGCATTGCAGCAACATTTTGAGGAATCACTGGTATTTTTGGCTGAGCCACCCACACACCCACACACACACACACACACACACACCGGTGACTACACACTGCTGATGAAACCAGCCACCCACATTGTGACTTCACCCAGAGCTCATCCACACACTCGCCAAAGGAAGAAGGAAGAAAAAAAGAGAACAAAAATGAGAAACTTTTCATTTATGATGCGGCCACATGTCTCGAGAGCGGCGGCAGAAATCGCAAGTTCGTCCTTTAGGGGGGAAAAAAGGGAGGAGGGGGCGCGCACACCTACTTACGATCCACCTGCACACAATCTGAAAAAAAAAAACAACGAGCGTTTATCGCGCACACAAAACACATGCGATGTCATGTCAGGTCGCGCCCACATCAGATGAAACAAACAAAAACAAAAAAACAATTGCATGCCATTTGAATTTGTGCCCCAACAAGCCGATCATCAGCGCAGCGGCGGACTCACCTGCGTCGCTGCTTGCGGAGAGAAGGGAGCGCGTGTGCTGAGGGTGAACGTGGTAGGGGGGGGGGGGTGAGTGGGTGGGTGTGTGTGAGTGAATGTGTGAGTCGATGCTGCTGCAGGATAGCGGCACGCCGTCTCTCCCCTCGCCTTTGTCTGCTTCAGTCTGAGAGCCTCGCTGCAGGAGCCACTGGGTCCTAAAGCCAACGGGCCCTGGCCACGCCCACCGCGGTAATGCTGGAGGTACCAGCCAGAGCGAGGCTGGGGTGGAGCTCACATCAACCCCCACCCCCCCAAAATAAAAAAATAAAAGTCTTATGGACATGCTGTGAATGCAAAGTAATAATGGAAATAAAGGTAATGTATTAGAGCTTTCCCAATATCCGGGTTTGGGGCGGATGCGCAGTTTCTTCTTCCTGAATCGAGCTCCTGATTTGGAGGATGTGGCTTTTCTGTGTGTGTCCAGCTCAATCAGCTGAGTCCCTTTGACAAAAACCACAGTTTGATGCTTTCGGTCCGGTGGAGCTCTTTGTCAGTGGAAGATAAAAGCGTGAACGTTGCTTTGTATCCGCTTTCTGACTTTTTTATTATAAGTTTTTTGACTAAAGACAAACAACTATTTGTAGAGATAAAGTAGATACATTTCTACCCTGCAGGGAATAAAATTGTTTTTTTTAATCCAAAGATTTCCTTAGTGCATGTTTGGGAACACGGGAGAAGTTTAAACTTATGTTACGGCATTCCTTTGTATTATTACAAGATTTCTCAAATTGTATGTCTAAATAGGCAAATGAGGCCATTTCCTATTAAAAACACAGATACATTTTCACAAACGTGTGAAATGTGAACATTGGACCACACCAGGTCGGTTTGTATCATTCCGTATAAAAGAAAATACTGTAAACAGCCAAGTAAGACAAAGCAGTTTCACCGTGTTTTAGGAATATAACGCTCTATAAATCAGGCTGTGCATATGAGCAATCCCCTTTGCTAAGATTGTCATAATATTGAGAAATCAAATATCTAACGTAGAAACCAAGTTAAGAAAACAAAAAAAGGGCCAAAATCCCCAAATTGAACAGTGCATGGAAAACAATGTTTTTGGCTCTATGTCCTTAACTCAACGATGACGAAACATTACGACAAAGCACCTGCATGTAGGAAATGTTCTCACAGCCTCGAAAGAAATGCACATCAAAGGGGATCAAAGTCATTGTATTCTAGTTTTTATGAAGTCATCTTCTTTAAAAGGTTTGCACTTATTTATGACCTCAATAATAAAGTGCTTAATAATGGGAAAGGCCGATTCCTGGGGGCCAACAGAAAAAGTGTGCGTGCTTCATTGTGAGTATTATAGATGCATATGTTACTGTACGGATACGTCTGTGTTTCCTTTGAAGATATCATGCCGGCCTTGACACTGGACCACAATACAAATGTATGAATGATCCATAATGTTGCTTTGGTGTAATGTGTGCACCCTGACTTTAGGCCGAAAAGCAGTTGAGGTGCACGTCGAGTAAATTAGTCCCAACAAGCGGGACATAATCAATGAGTTTTACACAAATTTAATCATTTTGGGCAATAAATGTGCATCGACTCTTGGAGAATTATTGCTTGATGGATTGGCCACAGTGTACCAACAAGACAATCTCTTTTCTATCCATTATTGACATAGTTGCACATGATCATTAACCGTCTGTGGGTGTGAGGTTATTCACAAAGGCTGATTGATGCCATGTTCAATGGTTGCTCTGCTTTGAAGTCCAAAACATCACCGAGCGGCTCACCGCTGTGAACGGGAGGACCAGCAGATAACAGGTCTCTGTTTTTAGAAAGCCAACAAAGGGAGTCGACTCTTTTCACAGCGGGCCGCGCTGTCTTTGTCGTCCGTTCCTCTTCACTTCACTTTAAAACTCAGCTGTTGTCACATTCTGGAGCCTCTCCTTAGCGTGTCACGCATAACTGTGATTCAGTCCGATCACTGTGCCGCTCCGCTGCCCGTCCGCTGCCTGCTCAGGAGAGTCGAGAAAGTGTCAATGCAGGAGGTAGTTTATCAGGTTGGAGGCGCAGGAGGGAGCAGATTTTCCAAATCTTGTTACGTAATTCCTTGTTTGGCTTTAAGACTCTTTGTGTGACGCGTCAGAAGCGTTTCTCTGACTTTGACTTGGTTTTGATTTAAAGAAAAGGAAGATTCCCTGTCACAAATGTTGAGTATCCTTTACCATGTTTCCCATGTGAAACAGTTGATAACTTAAATATATCACTGATGTTTTGCCTGAATAACCCAATAAAACATTACACTGTACACATCATACTTCATCACGGTGCTAACATGCGTTCCGTACATTTTTAACCAATCAGAAGCATAGTACGCACACCGTACACATGTTACTTATTCCTGCCGAATGGTAAACGTTCCTTCTGGCACTTTAAAGACGAATAAATAAAAGATCTAAAGTGCTGTTATGATTCATGTTAATAAAAATCTTAATGACCTCACCCTGCTTTTATGCCGCATTCCTGGGAAATGAAGAGCCAGAACAGATTTCAATTCTGAAATGTAACAACCTGATGCATTGTGATCTAGCAGCTTCTCTTCCCTGTTAGCAGTGACTCTTTGGATTGAATGTACTGAATCTATCCACAGATTCTCAAACCCTGTAGCTCACCTCACGAAGGTCAGGTCAGCCGCAGTTTCCAGTGCAACAGGCACACAACGAATAACGGGCTGGAAGTCAACTACTTGTAGTTTCTCAATGTTACAAGTTACTGTTTTGTCGGCCTGGAGGCCATTTCCTGCCGTGTAGTAAACAGAGACAATGCATGCATCTGTCCTTCGACCTAATTTGTTTTTTGCATCTGAATAAGGTGTTTGTGCGTCAGAGCGAGCAGCAAAGGATAGAAAGAGCAGTGTGCTGCCCGTCGACATGACGAGGCGGAATGAGGTGGGCTGCAGGACGAGCATGAGTGCTTCACAGCTGGTGTCTGGGGGGGGGGGGGGGGACACGAGGGAGGGGCAGAGGGGAAGGGAGGGTCCTGTGGCGATAGCGGGCAGAGGGGGGTGGCAGCCATGACGACTGATGGAGGAGGAAGTAAACAGATGTCCGCAAGCTGGCAGGCTGGCCTGGAGGGGTCCAACCACCGAGAGACAGGTGGACGTCCAGCGACACAGTGGGACCACAGAGAGAAGCCAAGCAGAGCGCGGACAACTTGCCCGGTTTGATAGCTGACACGTAGACTATTGTGTTTGTACTAGAAGTTGTTTTTGAAATGGTATCTTTAAATATGTAAATGAGGCATTGCACATGTGCACAATTCCAGAACAGAAATCTGAGCTTTGGTTGCACGTTCAAAGTAGATTTGGTTGACATAATCGAGAGAAAGGTTTTGCTCTACTGTCAACATCCATTAAAAAAAAAGCACAAAACTCATATGAGACAAATGAAACCCACAACTGTAATTCTGTATCTTAGTTAGAGCTGTAGGTCCCTGCAGAATGCCTTTGTTCTCTGTTGTTCTGACATACAATGTGACCCCATCTGTTGTTGTCCACAATATCAAAGTATTGAGATGGTCTCACTTCAAAAATGTAATCAATAATGCAAAAACAGCTTTTTAATTGTATTCACAACCCTAAATAAAGGATGATGTCTGTGATGAGGATGATGACGACGCCATGAGGAAGCTGCCCTCCTTGTGACCCGCCTCAGCATTTTGCAGACCCACAGCAGCCGCAGTATTCTCGGGGAAGGACCGGAAACTGGAAAGCTATCCTTTTAAATCCCCTGGCAAGCAGCTAAATCACAGCGCAGGAAATGGAGGAGACCCGCTGTCGCCTCCTTTAACCCTATCAGTCAACATGACCTTGAGCAAGGCACTTCAAACACAGCTGCTCTGAGACGCACTGCAGTGCTGGACAAACTTAAAATACTGACCGAAGGGGCAAAATTGTAATTGTCGTGACAAAAGTATTGAACTGGTTGAGGGTTTGCAGGTGACTCTTGAGCAAACTCCGTGTGCTCTGGTTACTGAGACGATCAGCAGACACTGATTCATTAGTGATGAGGCATCAGGTTGGACAAGGACAGACAGTGATCAGCTTGACAAGCAGTCCAGAGAAAAGCAATGCTTATTATTTTTTATATTTATTTATTTATATATATTTTCTTTTGTGACACACCGGTCATCTGCACACAAAATGTTTCCTTGGATTATTTCTGGTAGATGTGTAAAGACAAGTTTCATTTGTCATTTTTTGGGAAATACATCTTTGTTTTCTTTTGTTTTTTACATAATCTTTTTTATGTATATTTTATTTGTGACATTGACATTATTGCAGAAAATGAGATAAGTGGCAAGCACAAGTTTGTGCCTTCGCTTATTTAATTTCCTTATTGTTTTGATTCGATATTATTGTTTTGATTTACTTTCTCGTAGTCTTTTATTGAGCCACAACAGGGGAATAAATAGTCCAATAATTGGTCACTTTAAATACAAATTAACGGTTGTATAAAACTTGCACTTATAAGTGAAGCCATGAGGTCCGTCTGACAAAGTTAGAATTTTTCCCAAATAAACTTTTGACATTGGATGCGTCTCTTCGCCCGGTGTGATCACTGCATGACTCGATGTTCTTGTAACGGTAAAGAGGGAACGACGGACCTGTTACATTGAACGGCTCCATTAAACGGGGCCTCGTCGGTTACCATGGCAGCTTACTCACCGCCAGAAAAGCCTCGAGAGGCTTATTCCGAGCCTAATCATCTGCAGCGACTCCGGGAAGACCGCGATGAGCAATAGAGGATGACGTCACCCGATGAGTAGTGCGAAAAGAAGCCATGAAGGATGCTAAATCGGAGGTGTTGGCTTTTGTGTACTTTCGTCTGCCGTGTCCTTCTCCTTACCTCTTTGGGACTTTCTTTTCCTCTTTATCAAAGAGGAAAAGCGAGTCTCAGTGTTGGCACGTTGGAGTCTGAGGAACATCACCTGAATGTCAAAAAGACAGATGAAACATCTGGAGGCTCAGTGGATAATTCAGAATTGGGGAGAGCAGATAAAAAGAAAGGTAAAACGTTACCCGGATTCCCTTTTTATGTTCTTTCGGATCACCATGTGGGGAGTCACCATTGTGTCTGTCTGCTCGGCAGATTTTCTAATGAGGGGCTTTTGGAGGGGGATGACAGAGCGCTGTGACTGTTCCGACGTGGAGGAGAGGTATTTAGAGTAAATGAGCAACGCTCTGTCCGTTGATACGCCTAATACCAGAGCCTCAGATGGCCTGCTGGCAGCTCGGCAGCACCACGAGGACTGAGAGGGGCGGCATTAGTCTGAAACTCTCATCATGTCAGACACACTGAAAACCTCTAATCTGCCAGAAGGGTAGAATTAAAAAAAAAAAAACGGGCAAGAAGGCAGCAGTGGTGCGGTTGAAAGGACTCGCATTGGCTTCGCTTGTGCTTTACACTTGATAACTTTATTTGGAGAGCAAATGCTTAGAAGAAAATAGCTTTGAGTGTTCATATAACTGAATTAACTTCTTATTGCCAGACAAATCTACAGAAACGTAAACTTTCAACAGAACAATGATCTGAACAAGCAAAAAGGGTAAATAAGCTAAACATAAAAATGATAACCAAGTAACCATGTAATACACATTGTCAATTCTTAATAAGGAAGGAAACAGATGTATATTTAGCAAAAAATAGCAGACGTACAGTAAGCTGGTTGCTCCTCGTTAGCGTGTAAACATCATGTGGCAGACGCATGGCAGCTGGTCAATAAATCACTCAACCAAAAATGTGTGAAGACATCTTAGAAAAGATGCTGCTTGTCTCTTCTTGTGCTGATAAATGCTCCCTTAATCTTGAGAAACGTTACTGGATTTGGGTAAAGAAGTTCCATCATTGTGGAGGAGAGGATTAGTAACGGGCTGCAACTACATTAAAACCCAGTAGATAAGCTCACCATGTCTTTTATATGAAGATATATATGATATGTTTTCGCCCTTATAGGTAATTATAGCTATACGATTCGGATTGTCTGACTCTGATTTTTCTGAACTTTGCTTGTGTTATGAATAACATTATGAATCAAAGCCATTTCATTTTGGGGCTGTAGGTGTTTATGAATTCTGTTTGTGAGAGATATCAAACTCATCATAATACGCCTGAGCTCGGATCAAAGGGTTGTTTGTCAAAAGAAAAGAAAAATATCAGTGGGCTCAGCCCACACACTGCCTGTGCAATGAAGCAGAAACAGGGTAAAAAAAACAACAAGAAAAATCCAGCAAGATGGCAGACGGCTCTATTCTTATTGTGTTACTGCAATTTTCAGCGAGTTGGGGATTATTCATGTCTTTTGTGGTCAATATAAATATATATAATATAACTGCTGCAGCTGCTACTGCGCATAAAATGCCATGTGCTACTAGGAATCCTACAAGGTGTGGCGCATTAGTGGTGAGGAGTAGAAACAGCAGTAATAATGTGCGTTTTAACGTCAAGAATGTCGCACGCCTGCCACCTGCTGGACCATTAGCACAGAACAACATTGACTCTTAACTTCTCATACTCATATGAATGCATGTTTCCCCCAGTTATTGCAATATGTGCCCCCAGAAAATGGGTATAAAATATCATGCAACCAAAATTGTTGGGGAAAAAACACTGATTTATTTGATAAAGATTCATATTCACCTATCAGTTCAGAGAATGACGTATATGGTATTTAAGGGCCAGTACATATTTGATATAATATTGAAAGCTCACATTAGCTTAGTTCTCTGTGGAGAAAGAATACTTCGTACTAGCTGGTGTTAGAAAAACTAAACTATGCCTTTATTATTATTGTCTAAAAAAAGGGAATGTCCTTATTCTTAATTATTCTATATTCTTGCTGGAGCGGCGCTTTTGTTTACTTATATCTTTCCTCTCTGCTTTTAAATCCTTCCACATTCTAACAAACCTGCGTGTTTGTGTGGACAGCTTTGTGAAATTCAAACACTTTCTTGTAACAGCCTCAATCATCCTGAACAGATGCGCTTGCCTCCAAAAGGTGAGAAAGAGACTAGTTTCCTTAACGTGGCCTTCAAAACAAAAGCACAGCAATTGCGGTGTGGTACAGCAGGACTGCTATTCAGGAATCAGGAAACATTTATTGCCAAAATATGTCAAACATACAAGGAATTTGTCTTGGCGATTGGTGCGTGACAGTAGACAGTGTAGCAATAGACAACAAGACAGCAGTGCACAAGTAATACAATAAAATAAAATGAAATGCTAATGCAATGGGTTAGTAGAATAATTCTCTACTGATTCAGTAACTGTTCCTAAAATGTCACATAAGTTATATACATTTTGAAGCCAAAATATTTTGCGATAAATAGGAGAATTTTTCAGTATAATTTTGAATGTTTTTTATGTTTTGGGAGGTCAGATAAAATCAATAAAATAACACAGAATAAAAGACAAATAGCATAACAGCAGCAATAATAACGTAACATTCAATCAAATTGATTGGTCCAACACTGGCACCTAAAAACAGAAAAAGAAAATACATCTTCACGTGCCACGACAACTATTTTGAAAACCCAATCCAACCGGAAGTCTCCCTTAAACTTTTCCCAGCTCGTTCGTGCGCACCCAGATGAGCGCGGGAGCCATGGTGGGTTGACGACCAGCGGCCAGCGACCTTGTTCCCAGTTTAAGTGAGCGACCCCACCGCCGGCGGTGCGCCCCCACCCCCCCACCACCATCATCATCCCCTCCATCCCCGTGTCCCGCGCGAGAAAAGGATGTCTGTGAACGAGGTGTACGTGTTCCGGCCCTTCAAGCTGATCGCCCTGCTGTGCGTCTTCCTGGCGCTGGGTCTGGACGTGGTGGCCCTGCTGAGCCCCGCCTGGGTCACCGCGGAGCGCTTCTCCCTGTCCCTGTGGGAGTCCTGCTCCCAGTCCGAGGCTGCGTGGAGCTGCTTCTCCACCCTCTCATCTGGTAAGGAGTCCGCACCCTTATTCTTTTGTTTGGGGGGGTTGTATTTTGTCCTTGGAGTTGGGATGTTGTGACTGTTCTTTTTGTTGGGTTCTGTGATTTGCATAGTAACTTGGTGTCAGTGGGCTTTTTATTTTATCGAGGTCTGTTACTGGCGCACGAAGACTGCGCATCCGATGCCTGACACAAAAACACACACACACACACAAGAGGAATGCAAGTTGAGCTGCAGCCGAAGCAGCGATAGTTTCTCATAGTTGGCTTGTTGTTCCCTCGGAAGCAGCTGATCCTCGTGCTCCTGCTGCTTTTCCTCTCCTCATACCGGAGCTGTGACGTGGTGCCAAACGCAAAGTGATGCTCGGCTCCAGCCGCGAGGTTTCATTGGTGCTTTAGTGCTAATTCATTTCTAAGTTAATTCAATTTCTGTTTCCTCGTTAGAAATAACAGAAAACTAATCACATCATCTTTAAGGCAAACAAAGGGTCATTACCCACCATTTGAAGGGGCTTTGAAGAGACACATTCAGCATCTTCCCCATCATCCACCGACCCGACCCAACCCGACCCGGGACCCACCGGGTTGCCTTTTGTCAAACACAGAAGCCGCATGACAGAAACCCCACATCACCACGGAGGGAAACAATCATTAAACTCACTGCTACATTAGGCTGTAAATCATTCAGCCTCTGGGCCATCAGTGGTATGGAAAGACTAAAATGTTTGTCATTGAAGATAAATTCTGATTTTATTCGAAGAGGCCCGACCACCATACGTGCCCAGCGAGGAGGGGGGCCGGCCTCGGGGTGACTGACCGCGCTGTGATGCTGTGGAATGCGTTGGGGTGAATAGGAGGCGGATTGGGGCCTTGAGTGTCCGCAGAGCTTGTTCAAAGCAACAGTGGAGGAGGCGGGTGGAGGTTAAAGGGGCAGTTCACCTAAAAGCAAAGCTTGTGTATTGTGCACACACTCTCGTGCCTGATCTTGACTATATAATGACTGAAATAGTGCGGATAAAAACACTGTTTCTAACGTCCAGCCTCTTAAACCTTGTGATGTGTGTCCACTGTTCCTGAAAAAGAAAGTGTTTTTGTTGTTGACAACCAGAATTCGAACTACTTAATGCGGGGAAAAGTAAATTGTATCAGGAGCTGTGAGAACGAGAGGATTGTTCCTCAGATGTAAATTCTCCTTCTGAGTCGAGCGTCAACCTTCTTGTGACATCAAAGAGGGAACGCACAATGCAGGCGTGAGTGGAAAGACGACGTCTGAATACATTTCCTGGTTACTGATTAGAAGCTCAGTTCAGAAAGGCTTTCAAAATGTGCCGTTTTAACAACAAGTGTTGTGTAGGTCCTTCCGAGGATTAATCATTTGACGAGGAGGAAGTGATGGGTTTAACTTTTCCACCGGGGAGGGACCGGACGTCGTTCGGGAGCAAAAAAATATGTGGTGTTGAGAAGCCGCCGTGGCCGACGGCATCTGGAAAAAGAACCTTCAAGGAGACGTCACAGTATCTGACGCCGCTGGTGAAGAAAAGTACATTTTCAGAATTAAAGCAGCAAAGAATGCCGCACAACAAAACATCAATTCAAACAAAACCAAAGCTGTAAAGGTTTAATACAAGTAAATGGCAAAACGAAAACTGTAAAATACAGTAAAATCCGATTGAAAATCTGCTACAAATTACTGTGTGGGAATCAGTTGAACTTGCATGTGAAGATGTACTTTTGGACTTCTTTCCTTTATTATTGACCGCACTCCAAAGGAAGCAGCTGTGCTTTCAATATCTTCCTCTGCACGCCATCAGCTGTTCTTGTGTGTCGCTCATCACGTTTCCATCCCACGGGCCCGAGCCCCCCCTCTCGTTTCGTGTTTGTCAACACAGCGGCGAGTCGAGCTTCCGTTTGCCTCTTTCTAACCGGCTAGTGTCTCGTTCCCGCAGACTGGCAGATCGCCACCCTGGTGCTGCTGGGGGCCGGCGCCGCGGCGACCCTCTTGGCCTTCCTGGTGGCCCTGATTTCCCTCTGCAGGGGGACGCAGAGGCGCCACTACCGCACCGTGGCCGTGTTGCTCTTCACCGCAGGTACGTCTTTGGCTCCCTTTCTGTTACTCTGCTTCCAAAAGTTGTAAAAAAATAAAAAAATAAAAAACATTTGCACGTGTCCAGCCCGGTGTGGACGCTTATCCGATGTGCATGATGCGCACATGCAAAGGGAAAACCGGGCGGGCATACGCATATAACAACAGTTTCCATAGAGGTTTCTTGGCGTTGAGCAGAGGGCTGCAGGAAAGGAAAGCAGCAGCTGAAGGAGGTCTGTTGGTTGAGCTCATTCTTTTTGCGGTGTGGAGTCTGGGAAGCTGCCCGGATCATGAGCCGAAAAAGGGGAGGGGGGCAGCCACAGAATTTGCAGATTTACCAAAGAAGTGAAGTCACTGAGGGTTAAAAAAAAAAGAAGCCACCACAGACTGCACATCTCCTCCGTGCACTGTGAGATGGATCTATTTACGGCACATGTAATTAAAACTAAATCAGTCAGGACGCATTGTTCCATACACCGTCCAGGCGCTGCAATAACTGACTCATATCCTGTGCCTACTTTACTTTAACAGCAGTAATGAAACGCTTGAAACTGCACAGTTCCAGATATGAGAAGAAAAAAATTAGATTACAAAAGAAATGGACGTACTGTCATGCATCATGAATAACGTCCTTCCAGCTGCATTTTTACTTCATGCCTGTGGACCAAACGGACAGATTTAACATTTCGGAGATGCCACACTTATTTGCATTCTTGGTGTGAGGCCACGAGGAGATATTTCATGTCCTTTGGAAAGGAAGCCACATCCAGCAGCTGGATAACTTGGCTCATCATAAGGACTAGAGGCTGCTGGTTTTCTGTCGATGTAATTCAACTGTAACTTGTTTATTGGTGAGCTTTGGAGATGCTAAATGTGAAGTCCGTTACATTCGGACGGAGCCAAGCTAGCTGTGTCCCACATTATACCCATGTCTTTAAGCTAAGCTAAGCTAATCTTCTTAGCGTTTGTGTTTTTTCCCCACCTAATTGTTTTAAAAATCCACATAAGATCCCGCGGTTTATCTTCCGATCTAGTATTTTCCATCTGATTTGGCCCATTTGAAAGGTTAACAGCGCTGCCCCGTCTTAGTTTGATTAGCAGACTAATTAGTCATTTTGCTCTTGTATAAGATTTCTTTCTTCAGCCTCAGAACGATAATACAAAGTTTCTCAAGCGCTCTAGAAAAACATTTGAGGGGGAATACAATGGCTTCTTTTCTAGTCCTCCATCAGCCACAAAGGACCAGTGTGCGCACAACGGCTGTTAGCCTTCGACTGTCCGCCATTTACTGAGCGGCGTGGGAAGTGGCTGTTTTCCTTTCCTGTGTGTAATCGCTTTTAACGAGTCTTTTGAGAGCGAGCTCTCCCCACAGGCCCGAGGGCCGGCAGAGCAGCGGCCACGGAGCGCCGTGGCTGCGTGGCGTTTATTTTTGCGTCCAGAAATGTGACCCCCACCGGGCCGCCAGCTCCGCCTGGGCCTCCCGTCAACACCGCGCCACATTCTTCAGCTCCTGTGCGCCCCTCGGCCCCGCCCTGCAGGAAGGGGAGGCCGAGTTGCGCTTCACACAGAAGTCAGTTTCTCGAGAGCCGCCGCGAGAGCGCTACACACACACGCACACACACACGCACACGCGATGCAGCACTTGCACGGGCCCGTCATAATGAGGCGTTTACGACCGGTAGCCCACGGCCCTGTGTGAGTTGGAGGGAAGATGATTCAACGTGATGAAGGAATCAAAGTCATTTTTCCTTTCAGGGATGTCAAGGTCCGGGATTTTTTTTAGGAAATGGTTCCACTCTATGGCAGAGGACAGGAAATGCACATTTACTGATTTTGAGTGCATGTTCTGTTTGAGTGAGTATTAAGGAGCAGAAAAAGACGAGAAGAGTGAGAAACCTTCAAGTAGGAGGGTCATAGAAAGATTCTTTATTGAGATGTCAGACTGGACGAGAAACAGAAATATTATTATTAATATTATATTATATTTTTTTACAAATGTACTGTCCTGTAGATGACTATTTTATTTTCATCACAGGAATCAAGTGTAACTAATGAGAAGATATATTCCTCAACTCTCTTACACACTGTTTTTTTTATGAAGTTAAATCCTTCTGCTTGGTGTTTCAAACCATTTGATTAGATTTGAATTACAGCATTGAAGGTTTCGTACGTTATGAAATTGCTCGCTCCCTAAAACCTTCAAACCTTTCATTGTTATTTTCAACGAAAATCGGCTCATTTTACGAGATCACCTGAAGCAGAGAAGATAATCGCTTTACAAAACCTTTCTCTGGTTCATTTCTGTGACTGCCGGTTCCCTTTGCAGACACCGAAAACCCGTCTCTCCTTTATCCTTTAGCCTCATTTTAAAACCAGACCGCCCCCTTTCTGCCTTCTCAGAAGCGCATCCGCTTTCATTGCGTGCGTTTTTGCAGGCGCTACGCCGCCGACGTCCTGTGTTCTACACCTGAGCACTGCATTCTTATGGGCTTAAAGCACGAGGAGAGCGAGAAAGAATTCATTGAACGGTTCAAACGAATGATTCCGCTCGAAGAAAGAACGATCGGAGGCAGAGTTGGACAAAGGACGCGTAGGAGGTGGAAAGAAGAATAAGACGCACGCGATAAATCGTCAGCTAGGGGTGAATCTTTCCTTGTGTTTTTCCGGAGTGATGTCATAACAAAGGTGTGTGTCCGGTAGTGCTGCTTCACGGTGTGTGTGTGTGTGTGTTTGACTCTTCTGCTTCCAGTCGTTCTGCAGTCCTGCGCTCTGGTCCTCTACCCGATCAAGTTTATCGACGGGACCGTCCTGCAGACCTACCACGAGTTCAACTGGGGCTACGGGCTCGGCTGGGGGGCCACCATCTTCATGCTGGGCGGAGGGATCCTCTTCTGCCTGCGCACGGACACCTACGAGGACGCCATGTACTGAGTCCTCTCTCAAACACACACACACACACACACACACACACACACTCAGTCCCACACAGGAGGGGTGCTACTTGTGCTCCCTCCCTCCCCCCCCCCCCTCTCTCTCTCTCTTGCTCCTGCTCTCTTTGTTATTTTTAGACTGGTTGTGAAGGCCCAATTTAGGCCGGGCTGTTACGAACAGGAAGCCCACAGCCCTCGCCGCCCCCCTCCCCCCGTCCCATGCAGCCAGCGGGTCCCTCGCCCCGGGCCGCTGTCGGGGGCCGAAGCGCAGAGAGCTTTCTGGAGGCGCACGGGCCGCCCCATGCTGGACGTTTCCAGCGCCGGGCAGCCTGGATGTCTATTGTTAGAGAAGCGGGACAGCAGATCCGGAGCACGGACCTGAAATGCAGCGGCTGAACATTTAACGGGATCGGCCGATCCACCGCGTTTTGCATTTTGATTCTTTTGGAGGCCTTTCATGAGGACGAGCTTGTTGTTGGCGTATTTATGGAACACACTTCATACATATTGAGGAAGCTGAACTTGTGTGTTCTAGCTGAAACGTATCTAGTAATGATTTTTTCTTTCTGATATTAGAATTGTAGGTTTCTATATATGCTAGAGATCCTAGAGTGTTTATAGTTTGTCTGCAAACTAAAATAAAAATGTAAATGTGTACAAAGAATTTCTACATGAAGGAGAATCCAGAATAAACGGTTGTCGTTTTGAGTGAATTAAACCAGGGGCAGCATTACGGCTGCCACCTTTTTTTTGTTTTTGTTCTGTGGGACCAAACGCCAATGAGATAGAAATACAAAACACGTTTTATTATTCAGAGTACACATTCCTCAGAGGAAACCACCCCCAGGCTATTTAAAGAGACCCCCCCAGTTGTTAGCTTGCAGCTCGTCGAAGTGTGAAAATACGACACTGGTTGTAACGTAATGAGCAACAGAGCCACAAAGGTTTTATTGCAAACTTTATCTTTCTCAGTTAAGCTTTACAACTTCCCCTGAGACGATATAATGACATCACAGATTTATCTGGGACGTTATCTTTATTTGCTTGTGAGATGTGCTCACAATAGATAACCCAAATAACACCTACTATTTATTCTGATGCATCCTTTTTAGTTTGCAGATCAAAGGTAGCTGCAGGTAGTTTATTCATGGTTTGGTCCTAGTGTGCTAATGGAACGCAAATTTAAAATAAAGAAATAATAACCCGGTGAAGTTTCCCTGTAGACACACTTTACTTTACACCTACAGAGCAGCTGGTTGAATATTCTCTGGAAGGGGAACTACTGCACGTTAACAACATCCCCTGCTGCTGCAGTGTGAATGCTGGGCGCATCCTTTACGCCTCAATCAGAGACAGGAAGTACACACTTGGCTCCTGTGAATACTTGTATGTGATTGGTTGAGGGTGTGAGCTGCCTGGTCGCTGGTTGTCTTATTATAGCGGTGACCTCTTGGGAATCTTTCGAGTGTGACTCGCAGGTTAAAGGTGACGACGTAACGGATTGGAGGGAGAACTTTGTACGGTATCTTCAACATTAACCTTGATGCTTGTTTAACTTTTGTAACGTTGATTCAGGGCATTTAAAACCTGGATTATACTGTAGAAGAACATTATTTCTCTTGTAAAGGACACACAACACCAATAGTACACCAGGTGATACACATAATGTGCACATGTATTTCCCAGAACTGCTTTTATTTGCAAGTAGGTATGTTGTAGAGTTAGACTCACTTATTTGTGGTTTGAATATGTGAAACTGTCCGTAGGTCTTCAGCCACACAGTTTCTGCTCTTCTTGCATTACTTGCCAATGCACAGGACATCAATGTGCACAAAATGTTCAAACCCAAAATAGACAGTTTTTAATTCCGCTAAGTTATTATCCATTTAGGGAAGGATTTAGTAGCTCCTAATATGTTGAGTGGCAACATAGTAAAAAAAGTAGTTGATTCTTGAACGCAGGCTTGCTTTTGCCTCCACCATGAGCACCGTGGTCGACCCAGTCACACGGTTCAGTCTAACGGCTTCCTCCACCCAATGGGCGAAGCTGAGAATACCTTCCAGGCTACTCAAGCAAGAGGAAAATAGTGGTGATTCGGGGTCTCAACTGAAGGGTGATTTGTAGCATGTTGATCTAACAATGTTGATTTAGAGTCTTTTCTGTATTCTCTATAAAACTGCAAAGGTACAAAAAATACATACAGAATGTATCTTATAAATCATGTCCCAAATCTTTTTTTTATTTTTTATTAAGTTGATGAAGGTCAAACTTAAGGGTGAAGTGCAAGACCTGAGCCAGACTGATCTAAAAACAGCAACTCAATAAACTTCTTATCAATAAACATTTTACAAGCAGAGTACGTTTTACAACAACGAAACCTGTTGAGCAACATGCACTCACTGTGAATGCTTTGGAAATGACCACAGTCTTTCCTTCTACTGCAGAGGATTAGCACAACTCCTACCGGAAGCCAGCAGAGAAAACGAGACCCCGGCGTGGCGAATCCTTCTCTTCAGCTGTCTGGACACACTCAGTCCGGCAATTGAGAAATCGTGAAGCAGTGAAGAGTAGTTGTGCAGTGAAGATAACGTGTCTCTTGGAGAGAAGCTTGGCCCCCAGGTGCAGTAACCAGACGGGCCCTGCGATTTTACACTCTGCAGGGACAGATTCCAGTTACTGAGCCTGGGGGACAGAGACAAAAACGCACTCTGTCGTCTTGCTGCCTGAGAAGGGAAATTATTGTCACGGCGATACAGCTTTTGCAGGGATCCAATATTAATGAAGGATATCCAATGACGGATGCAAGCCCGAAGTCGCCCGGCTCCTCCTGCGAACCTCAGCAGTGGACGTCCTCTGCAGACTAGTGAAGCAGATACGTGCAATGAAAGGACACACCTGGGCTATACATTACCCTCCGACCAATCCTCTTTCAAGCTTGGCTCCACCAAAATTACATATTAACCCGAAAAAAGTTGCTACTTTCTCCTCCAATGTCGGGCGTTTGCTGCCCTGCCGCCCTCTGGGTCCCGTTCAACCCACGTGCTTCCACAGTTTATGCGGCAATACAGTCAAATCCCTTGCATGAAACATTCTCAGCTCGTCTTCGTTTAGTCTTATCATGCGTACAGGAAGCAGCGGGCGGTGGTAGGGATCAAGTAATCTGTGCAGTTCACCCGTTTTATAAAAAATGAGGAGTATTAGTGTGTGTGTAAATGCTTCATTCATGTTTCTGATATTTGTTATCTTCTGATTAATCACGCAAGAACAAGAACACACAAGCAAGTTGTCTCCATCGAGCCACATGGAGTTACCAAGGGGCACACAGCTACACGTAGACATGCATGTGGACATGGACAGTCGGGTGCGAAGGAGGCGACCTGCTGTGGGAAGCTGTCAGCTGCATAACTGACCTTGTGGATGTCAATGAGTGTTGGATCAACACTGAAAAAAAGGACATCAGCCAGTGGCCAGATGGTTGCTTTCCCATCATGAGAGAAAATAGATTAATGAGATCTAAGTCGCTGAAACAGAGTAGACAAACTAATATGCAAACTTTGGTTATCCTCAGGAAAATCCCCAAACATAAAGGTAATAGGAGAGCCTGTATAAGACTAGTGGGATCATGGCCATGCCAATACATTTACATGTGCCATTGTTCATCAAATCAATCACATTTTAAATGGAAAACATTCATCTAGACAGCTGCAGACAGGACATTCAAATATAATGAGCAATAATTTGTAGATCACAAGAAAACATGCTGAAGAAATATTGATTTGTGGACGTGTCGGGTGCTATAAAGGTTCTGAACACTAGAGGGCAACACGCGCTATAACAACATTAAAGTCCTTCTATACACACGCCTTCTAAAAGCAGGAGCTTCAATAAATTTCATTGCAAAAGATCTATTTGCAGCATACAAATAGGTTAAAATAAATCCTTATTACTACCATACATGCTATTCCTGTGTGTCACAATATAATTCTTTTATTTTTTTTGTATTTGAAACATCTGACAAGTATGTATCTCTTCACTGTTTTAAATGAAAGAACACTGCACGTTTGAATGAAAGCCACCACTGTCCTGAGAAATTTGAAGATGCTTTCTGATTTTAATTTCATACAAATTAAGCTATGAAATTGAGATTGATGTTGCTCCATAGCTGGCAATGAGGTTCACCCATGAGAAACTGTGAAAATATTTGAATTCTGTGAAAACACAACTAGACCACTACAGAGACATTGTGACATTAGTATCCGTTAATAAACAGTAATAAAGTAATTCACAAAACAACATCTCAACAGTACGCTTTATTTGATTTAGGCAATACAATCTAGAAAAAACATTTTTACTGGCTTGGCAGACATTTGGTTAATACAAAACATAACAAAGTTATATTTCCAATTCTTCAAAATTCAAAACAAAACTGGCAAGGAGTGTTGGCAATAAAAGCACCTAGCACATTGACTTCTTCTGTATCGACTTAGAAAAGAATCCCAGTTGTGTTCTAAATTCTGTGGGTGAAGTGTGCGATTAAGTACAAAAACCACTTCAACCACTACAATGTTATAATACACGTATCTGAACTATTTGGCAAGATGTGATGCAAAAAACATTTAACAAAAACAACCTTTAAAATACAATTCCGTAATATATCCCGTAATGTCATCTCTTCTGACTAAATCTGTTAAGTAAAAAAATAAAGAGTAAAATAAACAACCGACATTCAATTGCAGTTGGCATGATATATCCTGTAAATTCAACCATTTGGTAAATAAAAGGCAAGATCAGCGCATTTTGTTGGATTGATAGAATACTGTTTGTATCCAATGAAGTAACCTTCTGTTACCTTCACGCAATCTCAGGTAATGGCTGTGTGGCATTCTTCAAAGCGTCACTGTGTGATTCTCCATCAGAGACACCGACAAACAAGAGAGCTTCAATTCTACACTTAAACATTCGACAGAGGTTGTGTTTGGGAGTCCTGAAGGTTTTTGGGTCTCTTTAGGCCTTCAGAGGTGAACTGAAGCGCTGAAGGTCTGGCAAAGAGAAGAGTGAGCAGAGAGTCCGGCTTCTTCTCTCGTCTAGAGATCCTCCTAAAATGGAAACACGGTTCGTGGTGAGCAAAAGTGTCTGGGGTATCTGACAGGGGAAAATAAACAATGAATATAATAATGAAATATACAGTATGCATACTGCATGTTTACTTACACTGCCCACACACACAGCGACAGCACCATTATGGCGATGATGGCGACAGCGATGCATACAGAGATCGCTACCACGTCCCATCCTGGCTCAGGTGCCGCTTCTTTCTTTTCTAAAACGAAGCAAACAAACACAAAGTCAAGTTTATTTAAAAATCCCTTCAATAAAAGCAGACACAACAATATATTACCAACCCAATGTCCAAACCAAATGTCCAAGTAGAAGATCCTCAATTCTACATATTATAAAACCACAAGCAGTTTACACCCGCTTGTATTATGTCAGCTTTATAACAGCATTTTATGTTAGAACTTTTATTCTTTATTTAAATTGAGGTTTGGATTTTTTAACGAATAACTGGCAAAGAACAGACAACAGTAATCTCACACACACAAATATTAGCTATATCAGCGTGAAGAATAATAAGTCCCTTAGAGGAATTTGCAGTTCATTCTAGTGGTCCGAGGTGCAGAGTACTTTATATCTGCAGCTGATGTATTTAATAGCAACACCTCGGCCTTCTTGGCGCGCAATTTGCTGCCTTTCTTCTAACTGAGACACTCATTAGGTTTCAGGTTTGTCTTTTAATCCCTTGTCCACAGTGTAATGGTTTGTATAATGGTCTGTTTGGAATGGAGAACCGAGCTCTGTGTATATATATGTATACACATTTACAGTACGTAGCATGCCTTTATGTAAACCACCGGGGACCTCACACTGAGCCTTGTGGGACACCACAATCCGCTGGTGCAATGACTGAGACTCACGCCAGCAGTTTGATCAAACACTATTTTTTTAAAGACATGGTGATGCTTTGATGCAGAATGACAATATATTTAATATATCAAGCTGAACCTACAGATGGTTTTGGTCCATTCCCTCAGTTTTGGTTTGAATGTGAGTTCAAACAGGTTGTACATTTGGCAAGAAAGCAAAATTAAATTCCAAAAAACACCATATATGTTTTACATTGGTGCCAATACGAGGTCCAAACAAGAATTGCGAAACAAAACGTTGACGTCAGTACAGTGCAATATATCGTTTTAATGAGCTCAGAGCTCCAGAAATCACTCATGCACTCGGATTAGATACATTATCAAAAATAGCTATACTTGTTGGCTATTAGCTTCAAAAATACAGTTTTACACCTCCAGTGACCAAAACCTCATGTTAACAATAAAAACTAAGTTAATATGTGAATTTCATTACTTTTACAATTCTCTGTTTACCTGTTTCAGAAGCTATTAGTGTAATGAAGCCATACTTGTGTTCTGTACTCCAAAGATACATTATTAACATAAACATCAACATAAAACTAGATTTACAAATGGAGACCAATGGAGAACCTTAAGGTTCTTTAAGTGATACGTATTTCCATACTAATTGGAAATGATTAAAATTGCTTGAAATAAATTAACACAAATATTAATGAAGAGCACTGGATGTCTCGTGTTTGAAGCACAAAAACAGATTTCTAGTGCTGTTGCACTTATCAAGTTTAAACATTTAACAGTGAGTGCAGCATGCGGCCAATCCTCTCTGAAGCCTGTATATAGAAGATGATCCTTCATCCTGCCTGGTCAGTCGCTGTAAAATAGATAAGGACAAATTAGAAAGTTTGCAAATTATCTTCATCTGTATCCTTGTTTTGTAAAAGATGCTTTGATGCTGTTTGATGCTCTCTTGTAGCCTCAGCCGACATTGTTATTCTGACACATCACAGTAACATAAATTAAATATCGGTTTTTCAAGCAGATAATTAATTCCCCAAAATGTCAATAAATTGACGAATCTCACAACTTCTAAAAAGACTTTTGTCTTATCCGTCAAACAAAATCCTAATAAGCAAAGCAAAATAAATCCAAATTTCCCAGAAAGCATAAAAATAATTATCTATTTGAAATATAACTTTGCCAGTACCACAGAATGCAAGTCATGATTGCAATATTTGAAAGAAAAAAGATAATTTAAAATAATACATGTTGAAACTCACTGTTTTATTATTCCAGGAGGGACTCCAAAGAAGTGTGCAGCTCATGAGGACTCGTCGGTGTACTTTTCTTTCTTTTCCTTTTTTTTAAATGCCGGTCTGTGGGACTTTACTACTTATATCACAAAGAACGTCTTAGCGAGTTTCACAACAAACCTGTTTATCACATTCAGAGCTGATTTCATGCTGGAATTGACATTTTCAGGTTTTCTTTGTGATGACAAAAAACACATATATTGGTCTTGCTGCAGTGTTATTAGGAAATTGAAAGATGGTTACCTGGGTGGCACGTCGGGCGACTCCACTCGCTCCACAGGCTCTTGTTTGCACAGTATTTGTGCAGCTTGGACCGAACCCTGAAGCAGTTCCTCCGATCGTCGCGGTCGAAGGTCAGCGTCAGGCTCATCTCCTTGGTTGTAATCTGCTGCTATTAAAGAAGAAATAATACCGCCAATACTCAACAATCGATAATGTTACATGTTTGATCTGCATCGGCACACACTGAGGAGGCGATTAATGGATACACATAGTCGTGAGACTATTGTAGGGAAATAAAGAATAACATCTGGGAGATAAAGAACCGCCTCAGTGTCTCAATTCAAGAAGATGGCCAAATCAGAGCTACACAGCCATCAATTATTGATGGACCACAAACACATGGATGCTCCATGCATATTTAGGAATTTAAAAATCCAAAAGGAACCGTCTGAAAGGGCAGTAAAAGTTTATGTATGCAAAAGAAAACTGCACAGCAAAAATGCGCGTTTATCAGCGTCATCCCGTTCTTGGTATTCGCCTCTTTAATGACGGCGGTGTTGAGGCTCTTTGTTGTCACTGCTCTGCGTCTTTGCGTGACAAGAAGGTCAACGGAAGCAAAAGGTCTTCATGGGGAGGAACGTTCTGGTCTTGGGTTTTTTGTTGTAGTCTGTTTGATCCTCGTGTGCACGTTTGGTTTTACTGCTCACCTGATCTAACGGCCCTTTGTTGGTAAGTCCCCATTCGTTTCACCTCAACTTTTCCTTTACTCTCGACAAGTCCAACCGCCTGCACCGCGGTTTTGGGAATGCATCGACTCGTGTGCTTACATGCAGGGCACGCAACACTATACGTACCGTAGCAATCTTCCCATCGGGTCCGTCTTGTTCGTGCTCCACTTCCCATTCTAAACAGTGTACAGGAATGTTTCCAGCTGGACTTTCCCACTGTATTTCTAGCCGTTTGCCAGGACCTGTTTGCAGATTCACTTTCGTTGTAGTTTCAGGCTTCACTGCATAAACATTAAACAAATGAAACACAGATTACAGACGGTGACAGAAGACTGAGCGGACAACCAACGAAAATATTTAGTTGAGATCTCAGTGGAGCAAGTAGACCGTTCGTTGGCTCTCCTCGTTAAGGCAAACCTTCATGTACCGTGATTTAGGATCTGCAGGGAGATGAAGGTAGTCATCAGGGGGCCTTCGGGAGAGGAGCCATTTACACAGAAGTTGATTTCACTGAACTCCGGAAGGGCTTTTCCGGTGAAGTCGCAGCCGCTCCTGACTCCGTTGGAGATGAGGTATTTCGGGCATTCATCCGCCTTTTCCAGCCCTTTGTGCCTTGGGAAGAGGGTTTACAGAACACGCTGCTTAGATGGGGGCTTTCCATTCATCCAGACAGTTCTTTTGGAACATAAACAAATCAGGCGATTGCCAACATTGTCCAAGTTCAGGGGATCGTTGAGTACTCCAGATGTAATAGTGATAAAAAAAAATCCCTGAACTTGGTAGGATTAAACTTCTCAGGACCGTCTTCACAAGACAATTCCCCCAATACACATATTTTGACTTGAACCAAGGAGTGTGCCACTGACTTCCGATGAAATGGCTCAAATGTCTTTGATGGGTCCACAACTTACCAGAAATAAAGGTTCTGCCGTGACTTGGCAGACATCTTTGGGTTTTCTCCCCACTTGCACTTCAGGTGCTGCCTGTTATAATAGACACAGACAAAATCCCGGACTGCTGTCCCCTTAACACCTTGAGGGAGAAAGGCATTAAAACCATTACAACCAATTTATTCTTTTTCCAAAAGTATTTACCACCAATTGTACACCTGGAGCCCTGACCTGTGCTGGAAGGTTTCTGGACCAGTGCAGCGTAGTCTCTGCTCTTGATCATTGTGCCATTGGTGCAGGGTCCATTCAGCACGGTGTACACTCGCACGCTCACATCTTTCATCAGATCGAACTGGGCACTGTACTCCGTCCTAGGCGTCCTGATAGCCTGCAACCCATAAACGCAATCCTGCCGTTCACGCCACACTTGGTTTATAGCTGCTCGCTTAGTTACAAGTTTTCTTCCGAATCCCCAACATCAAGGGGAGATATTGTTCAGGGTAATTTCCAGTCAGTCCATTGGCACTGTGTGAGGTTGCAAAAGAGCTCGTTATGCATCATCATCCCATCGTCACCCCGTATCCCTGATCCGACAGCCCGGCCGTGACAAAGCACAGATGTGATGATTGTCTTAGACATTCCATATTAGTCAAGCATTCACCAGAAACATTAAGGCTAATGAAGCCCCCCCACACACACACACCACTGATAACAGCCCCACTACACACACACACGCACACGCACACACACACAATGACCTGTGACTGAACGCTGCTGACTCAGCTCATGTCATCAATTCTTGTATTTAAGCTATGTGAAAGGAGGGCATGGCAAAATAACAATTCCATTGTACAGAGTAACCTGTTAAACTGTGCACATGACAATAAATATCTCGAGTCTTGAAGAGGGGACACGACCAATATTCATTTTTGAAATTTAGAATTATGCCAAAACCGACTGAATAACAAAACGAACATGTTTTAAGTAACGACTTTTACTAGAAAATACTCAGTCAAGTGAAGCGGCTCCGACGGAGACATCATGTCTGACAGGTTAAGAGTCTCTGTGTCAGACTGGAATGAAAAGGAGAGCACTTACATCCCAGCTGTTCGTGTTTGTGTCGAAGTACTCCAGCTGATACAGCTTGGAGCACTCTGTATTATTCATCAAGCTGGCTGGGGGGCTCCATCTAATCTGGAGGTGTCCGAGATGACCGGGGTCCGATATCACAAGGTGCTCAGGAGGATCCACTGAATGAGAAAAGGATTCACAGATACTGTGTTTTAGTGCCAATATGGCTTAAACAGACACTCCTTTCCACAAAGTTGCTCACTGACAATAACTCCCTCCCTCTGAAGAACTGTTCATTTACTGTCCACCATATTAAATGCATATAATTTTCTTTTCTTTTATACCAGTGATTAACAAGTCAAGGGTGTCATACGATTGAAACATAATAGACGTATGAACCTGGACCAACCTGTAATTCCCAAGCAACGCGTGCTCCCGTACCAGGTTACTAAAAGCAGCATTAGAGTCACTTGATGAGTTATCCTCATTCTGTTGTGTTAACACTCCCACAGTCACTGTGCAAAAAACATAGATTTTAAAAGGTTGTGCAGAAATGAAGTCTACTTTGTGATTTGTTAGTAAATGATATATTGAATGGCATAATGTTACACAAGACATTGCTGAAGCGGTCAGACTTAATAATGTACTCACCGAGGCAGGTTCAGGTCGGGCTTTGAGAAAAGGTGCCAGTGGTCTCAGGTGTTTTTTCTCCTGCAGCTCCCCTCCCTAATGAAGGCAATGGGCGATAATCCCTTGTGATTTATGATGTGCTGACGTGAATACAAAAATAATGTGCTGGAGGAGTGGGAGGTTAGAGAGGGTGGAGACACAGAGAGAGAGAGAGAGAGAGACAGAGAGAGAGAGAGAGAGAGAGAGAGAAGCCTCTGGGACATATATATACTCTCACGCAGACGATTACGTATTGTCTCAACTTCCAACTGTGACCTGATAACTCAAAATAAATTGCTTCTTCTCCGTCTTAAAGTAATTTGGTAAGTCCAGTGCTTCAGTACCGTGGTCCATACCGATGTTGTAGGCTATTTGTCACTGTCGCCATGGGAACAGCACACACAAACCCATCCTTCAGACCCGTCAAAACCTGCCAAGCGAGGACTTAGTTAACACGTGGAAGACTATGTGAAACAAGTAATACGCAACTAAAGAACTGTACAGTTAAAGCACGTATAGTCCTCTCAGAATGTGAATCCCCTACGCGGCTGCACACATTGGATCTCTCCTCCCTGCCACTGCACAGAGTATGATATCAGCTGCATTTATCTGTGGGTGAGGCCGCGTGCTTTTCCTGAATAGAGCAACAGATTCCTGGGCAGAAGTCCTTTGTTAAGTTACGGGAAATAGTCATCCATAAAACAATGGCAAACAGATGTGTTGTGGTCCAAGCAAAGGCGAGATTGAGGAGTGGATTGTGGTTCGCGCCGCCACTCTACACATGGCCTGATTTGGGTACGATGGTCTCTGGGGACGTCTCGGCTTCCGTCTCAGGCGACTTCTTGTTTTGCATTTAGATGGTTGATTCCCATCCATTATGTGATGCCACTGTCTAATTCTAACACATTTTTATCACACTTTGTTTTGTCCCAGTTCAGCTTATTAGCAACAACTGGAACCCAGTGCCCACAAGGACATTCCCTAATAAATCAGGCAGAGCCGGACTGCAAAGACTTTGACTTTATTTTATTTGGACCACCTTTCTTTTGTTTTTTTGTAAGAAATCCGTGGACTTTATAAAGAGAATATGTACACAGGTTTAGCTTCAGCAACTCAGAATTCCTACATGCATTTGACTTTTTTTAAATACAAATGAATTTCTTGGCAGTGACTCAGCGATTCACTGTTTTCTTTAGATGAGATTAGATGACATGTACAGATGTAATCGGTCGACACACAATTGAAGTGGGTTTGTAAACAAAACACATTGGCAAACAACAGAAAGTACTGGATCTCTGGTAGATATTTCTTGCCAACTTTTCCATGTTACAGGCTATAAAGTGAGTGCCACTTAGAAGCAAAATGAGGAACATTCAGTCTCTCTCTTTTCAGGAACATGCTGCCAGGAACCTTTTTCATCTGTACAATTAAATGGGTCAAGGGATAACACACACGTTCTGGTTTCAAATTGTTTCCACTGAATCTATTCCTGCAGTTCACTACGCCCCGAAAGAAGTCTGCTTTGAGCAATTCCAGCGTAAAAGAAAGCAGAAAGAATCCACGGTCCTTATTCTGTGGAAAAATACCTTCTCGTATTAGTGTCTTCTAAATTGAGTTCAGTGCAAAATCCTTGATCCCATTAAACCGACTGGACCGCAGGAAGACACTCACTTTGATTTGTTGATATTTCATGTTAAGTTTGCTCAACCATCTGGAATCCTCCCTCCGCCCCAATGCTGTGAGACCTATTACCTTTCAAGGAGACCGTGACAATTTAGAGTAAAACAAGAGTAAGACAGGGCAGCTCGACAGGTGATGCGCTAAGGTGGAAAAAAAAAGATCAAGGCATCGGTGTGACTTTTGAAACCACAAGAGGTTTGGCTCACCTTTATCTCCACTGAATCATGGCGTGGTCTACAGTGCAAACCCAAACACTCAATCACAGGGAGGAGGGTGAGGCTCTGAGCTTTCACATTTGAGTTTTGCTCACCCCGGGCGTGCGTGCGCATTGTGTTAGTGAACGCTCAACACAATGCAACTCAAAGGCAACTCTAAAACAGAAGAGAAAAAAAATGTACAGAATGACACATAAAGCTGCACGGCATTCATTGGAAATCTATGTAAGGAGATATACCGTGTCACGCCCGGGCAGGTGTATGTTGGTTACCACGGAAATTAAAAAAAAACGCCAAGCAGAGGGTCGAGTCACAGTCAAATCCAGTTGTCACTTGCAACAGTTTGAAAGACACAGCGTTACCTGCGTTCTTTGGAGCATCTTGTGTTTCATTCTTGAGTGATCTGGGATGACACATGTTAAACCTCAGGTACACAAATTGATACGGGCTTCCTGCATGAGGAAAAGAAGTGCCATGAGACATTACATGAGTATTTCAGACCGTAGGCTGGTATGAACTTGAAAGCTCTGCGTTGTTTTGCACAGGTGGGTCGCCTCTTCCTTGCAGAATGACAGCACGGCGTCAATGCAGCCATTTCAGAGAAATCAAGAGATTTCTAAGGTAAAGCATTCCAAGGAACCACACAACATTTTGCACAAGCAGGTGTGGGGGACTCGCGCTTGTCAGGCCCGAGGCTGCATATTAACCTCATTTGATCTCTCATAAAATGGATGTCTCTGCACAATAACATCCTTTGAAGTACAGGTGTGACAGCTATAAACTTTTGTGATTGCAGGTAATTAATTGCAGGTGCATTTTATACACCCAATAGTGTGGTCGGCCAAGACTACAGAAGAAAACAAAGAAAACACCCCATTTCGTCATGTTTTTAGATGTTTCAATGCCGTTTAACATGAGATTTGTGAGCTTTCCAGGTGTTGAAGCGACTTTGAGCTCTGTTGTTCACCAAGGTGCTTTGGCTACAAAGCAATGCACTGTTAAAGCAGTTTTAAAATCATTACTGCATACTTTTTAAAACATGGAGTTTTGTGTGAAACTACCGGCCCAGTAGCCGAACTAGCGAAACCCTCGTAATAGCTACGGGTGATTCCATTGAATCACCAACGTGTCTATAATGGAGGTCAAGTCCTTCTCTCCAAAGTTGTACAGTCAAATTTGAATTACCATGGATACAATATACCAGTAAAACATTTGTCCAGAATCATTGACACACTTAATGTGTATTGATTTACAGCTTTACTCCAATTTACATTATAATTGCTTTTTTTTTTTTTACATGTTAGACACCTGAACTTAAAGTGATTTACAGTGTCCGGACAGCAAGATTAATTTTGATTGCTCTGCAGAAATTATAATCCAATTTAATTATGATAAATGATGAGCATCGTCAGGAAGTACTTATTACGCTGTCAGTTCTACTGAAAAACAGGAACATCACGCACATCCAACACGGAGGCATTGTTATGTTTGGAGTTACGTGTTGACAGATGATACACCGGCCAGAGGTGCAGCTTCCCCTTCCAGCTGCTTTCAGTCATTTTCACACTTCTCGCCGCAGACTGATCGAGTTGAGATGTAAATGCTCAGATGCTCCACACCTGACCCGGCAGTCGGGATTAAGACACACAGAGCAGCAAACACATCAATATTAAACCAAATGAATAAATACTTAAATAATTGCATTTCCCTGAAACAATGAACTGTATCAGAAACCACACAGAGAGATAAGAGCGTGCCATGTGTCTGAAGGGTTGCAGGAGTTGAATGTTCCCGTTGGCCTCCACATTCAGTGTGAACATGTTGCTGCTTTATTCTGACATGCTCACATGCCGACATGGGATCGGAAAGAAACTATAAAAGCTTTAGAAAAAGTTATACAGAATCATTTTTTTTAAAAACGCCAACCTTGCATTTACAATGAAAAAGAACCCTGCTACAGAACAGGAGCGCCGTGCTTCTGGCCGCAGCCCGGCACGTGTTCTCACAGTGGTCAAACGTCATGGCATGCAGGTTTGTAACGGTTTGTACAGTAGTTTAAATGTTACACAACTACACCAGAGTTTCAGGGCTTTGAGGGCAGATACAGCAGATGACCTGACCTTAAATACAAAATGAAATACCGCAAAACAAAGAGTGTAGGAACCCCTGGAGGTCAGTCGGGGGGGAGGGGGGGGTTGCGGTGTTCAGATTTTGTCTCCTCACTGAAAGAGTCCCACAGGTCTGTCACCTCCTCGCCGCCTGAGCACTTTGAGAGGGATGAACAGGTCTTCCCAAAGACCCGTCTTTACCTTCTCTCCTCAGCAAGTCCAAGCAGTGCCGCTGAGGAAACACACAGTCATGTAGCTACACACACACCCACACACACACACACACACGGGCGCGCACAAGGAGCCCGGTGGCCAGAAACTGGAAACAAGTGACGATGTGACGCCTGTTGAGGTGCGGAGGCGGCTGACATCATATAAAGAGACTCGGGTGTTTCCTTCCTCGGGTCTCCTTCTTCAGTCAGGCAGAAGCGGACTCCCCGAAGACACCCAGGGTAAGACGACAACCCCCCCCCCGCGCCCGTCTTATCAGACAGCTGACAGCTGCGTGGGCTTCGACGCGGGCAGGTCCAGCAGAGCCTGGACGGTGGCGCTCACCTTCACCAGGCCGCGCTCCTCCAGGATGTGATGGGGCAGACACAGCTGGTCCTGAGCGAGCAGAGGTTTTGAGATATTTTTTTTTTATAGTTGAGCTTATACATCATGAAAATGATTAGTAGGACGTCCCGTGTATAAATAAATCATAATATTACCTGAGTTACACCCAGCTTCTTACAGGCATCCAAGAAGTTCTCCACGTTCCTACGACATTTGGCCATGCTCAGCTTTGGCTGGAGGGCACAATTAATACGCGTTAAGAGACACACAAAAGCATTTCATTCGCTTATCGATTGAGTGAGACAGCTAATTTCCTACCACAGCGGGAGACGGCACATGGATACTGGCGACAGACCGAGGACAAATGTGATTGGCTAAATGGCAAAGGACCACCCCATCCATCAGAGCAGCTCCAACGTCATCTGGAAGCAGCACCTTCAGCCTGGATTCAATGTTCTGCAATATAATTAACAATGACTCACATCAGTGTTTTCTTCTGGTGTATTGACTTTAACCTCTGTCTCCCTCCAGCAGCGTGGAGCTTGTCCAGACTTGGGCTGCACTGGGTGAGTCACATTTGGGAGGCTTTCCAAACAATGTTTTGAAGCCCAAATTTAAAGTGAGACACAACTGTAACAACATCCACGGCTGCATGATTGCATAGCAGTGGTCCATCCCCAGCCAATCACTGACACCTGGACAGTGAAGCTAATTCGCTGGGTGGTCCATAAAGACACCTGAGACATTTCTGTGGAAACTGAAAAAAAGCCTCCCTCAGCTTAAGGCTGCCAGATGTGTAAAGTTACCCATTATGTAAATCTTTCAACATGCCTTTCTCTGGCTGAATGATCCCAATCACAGCGGTGACGCTGTTTGGATATGGCCCTTTAGTGGAAACAATTGGCAAATGAATACTTCAGCCAATTGCGTCTCAACATCTTGTGGTGTTGCCAAACAAGGTGTTGCAAGAATAGGGAGATAACGGCCTTATCAATGAATGGAAGATGCAAGAAAACCCCATTTTCAAGCCCGTTCTTGAGTTGACAAAGAAGCGGTTGTCCCGCTCTCGGTCCTTGTTGCCTAATGGTGAATTCTAAAAGTCAGAGGATGCAGAATAGTTTCGGGAATCTGGCCTAAAAGGCAGAGTTTAGAAAGGTCTGCAATCTCTCAGCAGCAATAACAATGATTTCATTGAGATAGAAAGTTCATTCAGTCCAGACTCCGGACCTCAGGGCCAAGGGTCAAGACCTTTTAGCCAACGTTGAAAAGAAGGCCTTGAACTATTAAGAATCAAGAATTAGGGTATTCAGAATGGTCACAAAATGACAAAGTAGACGATGCCTGAACTGCTTCTATGGAAAGAATACAGTGGCAAAGTGCAGGTCTGTTGTCTGCCATTATTCATGTGCATGCCCTGCATTCCGTCTTTTTCCTGTTTTTGCTTCCCTGTTTTGAAACCCGCTGCGGGTTCTTTTTTACGCTTCTCTCGTTGCTACCACACCCTTTCTCTTATCACTTTTCAACCTGTAAAAACACTTTTGGCAACTGTTTAGGAAAGTAGATGTTTGCTTTTCTTCGGGGATATCCGTTCATCTGAAATTGCAAACGTGAATTCCAGAACATCTATCATTGATGTGATACGATCGGGCCGTTAGGAATCACGCAGGTTTAGACGTCGCACACCACGAGGCTCAACGTTCAGTCGGTTTGTTCAGTTTGTGTTCAAGGGATGAGAGGTGGAACATTTAGTGCTACACATGTGAAGGAAAAATGTACCTCTGCATGTTCACACATCTCACAAATCCTCTTTGGGGGAGCCTAATGGTATATAATCAAGAACACTGAGGAGACATGTGGTGCCTGACATGACCTCATGGCTTCTTTCTGCAAGACAATCTACTGCGATGTCTACTAAAAACGTACTTGTCCTACTACTAAAGAGTAAACAAATGTTTACACAGCAGCTTAATACTTGAGCTGCAATAAGCAGCCGCAATTTAGTGATGAATTCATGAGCCAAAATCACACGTTCTGCACAAACATGTGTAACCATCGTCATCCCTCCGCGTGAATAAACACAAATATACTCAGTGTCTTGGCCGGTTGGAAATGCGCCACGTTGGTAACCCGTGGCAACCTCATAAATAAATAAAGATTTGTGAATCTCAACTTATTGATAAAAAAACAGCGTGTAGCAAAGTGGAACATTTGACTTCACTATGATCAGTTGTGAAAGTTAATAAAAATTGAACTTAAAACACAACATATACTCTGCTGCAGGCGCAGCATGCAATGGCGGTCGTGACCATTTTGTAGAATTAAATGGAAACGCTCAGAAAGGAAACTTATTCCGTTACACAACACAAACACTGGAACAAAAGCAGGATCTGACTTTGGCCCGGCAAGTGGCTCGATGATTTGCGCCGACTGCACAAAGAAGCCGGGAAGCTCCTGACCTGCCGCAGGAGTCCGATCTGTTCAATTTCCTCCCTCAAGTGCTCCATCTTCCTCCTCATGGTGAAGCTGGGGTCTGTCGAGCTCAACTCCTGACGACTTCCTTTGGCGAAGGCTGAAATATGAGTTCCAGATAACACACAGTGAAATACGAAAGAAGGCAGGTCAAGCGAGGGGCCCAGGCAGAGATGTCACGGCGTCTTTACTTCTGTTCTAGGGAACGGATGAGATACAATTGCGACATCCTGCTCCACCTTTTAGCAAGTGCATTCCTCAAAACTCCTCGTGAGAAACAAGCATCCCACTCCATTTATTTTTCTCTGGAAAATCTCACAAAAGATAGATAGATAATATATATAGTATAATCATATGAAATATTTTTATCAGGCACTCATATAATTGTTATCTTTCCAAATATTTTACAGATAAACGGGTCCTAACTTATGCAACTATTTGTTTTGGTTGATTAATATATTTTTTACAATCCTAATATAGAAATATTTTCAGACGTACAGTACATTCCTACAGATGTAATTTACCGTTAGGATTAGATTAAATATCATTGATTAAACTACTGTAAAGTAATTCTTCAACAGTCCATCCTAAAAAGTGTGTGTCCATGAACTGCACGTGCCGCAGAAGGAATCAGGAAGACGTATCAATCTGCCAGCACACTTCTTCACTGTTATTGCACTTAAACAGAGCAGATCAACACTTCCTCAGAAACCTTCCCCACTTCCAGAGAAAGGACGCTGATAAAAAACTTGGCTCCAAATTTCCACCTTGGCTTCACACGAAGCACTGCCTCCAAGCTAAAAGCTAAATGCACACGATATGAGTATTTTAGCTAGGCCCTTTAATGAAGGATTCCCGTGTCTATGTTTGAATTATCCTCCTAAAATAAATATTTTCACCAGAATAAATACAAAAGGACCATGAACTTGCGTACCTGATCTTGGCTTTAGTCCAAACACAGTCAGTGTGGTGCTGAAATCAGCGTTGCGTGAACCTTCCTGGAGACAAGACGCAATTAAGATTTAAAAGGACAATTAAAAATCTAAAAATTGTCTGAGATGATGCAATTTTTTTATTCTCACACCTACCTCACTGTCATCGTTCCCACTGGAGTTTTTCCGAGCACTCTGACACTTGTACTGACAGGAAAGGATCGGTAGATTTTATGTAGGAATTTACGACCACTGATAGAGGTGCATGAGAAATACACGGGTAATGTTCCCGGGGTGTGAACATATGCTCATGCAACTGATGAGTGCACGCCCGTACCTTCAGGTAATCTTTTCTCAGGTACTTGTTCCTCCTGCGTTCTTCATTCTGATTGAGGACCGGTGGGATCTCGGGCCACTTTGGATCCGAATCAGATGGATCGGACTTCAGGCCGCCGTCGAACGAGCAGGAGGAAGAAGGCTGCAAGAGCAGACGGACACACTTCAAATCCTCCGCGTGGAGAAAACATCGCTCGAGGAATGGGAGACACTACTGAGCACCAAGTAACAGAAGTACTCGTGGTATGTTTGAAGGAGAAGAGTTTGTACCTGTCCACTAAGCACCGATGCCCCACTACTTCCTTCGTCCAGAGAAGCGCTGTAATAAAGAAGAGTATCAGACGTCTGTGTCTGATCATTAGAGACATAATCGGCTGTTTCTTTGTGTGTGATTACACAAGACGGACATTCTGTTGTTATTCAGCTTGACTATTGGATGGATGAAATGTTTTAAAGTTCAACACTTTGAGCTTTTATATATTTTGTCTAAACTAGAATCCCACTGAAATTCAAAAACATCTTTGGAGACATGAGAGAGACTTGAGCAGACGTATGGATGTGTTTCTGGTCCCTCTACACGGGCCCCACTGTACATTAGTACCTGCGAGCCGTCTGAGGAGGAGGCCTCGGCTTGCTGCCCGAGCTGCCAGAGTAACTAAGGAATCTGCATACAGAAAACCGAAAGTTATTCACCACAACCAGCCAACTGTCAACAGAACAGACTGATGGTCCACGATACACGGGGAATGCGATGCGTCATGGAAAGTGATATTTTGACAGATATACAAACTCAACGGAAACTTTGTTGTGCCGCCATGGGTAAGTCATCCACATAATGACCCACATCCTATGTGATGAAACAGTGCTTTACAAAGCTCCCTTTTCAACCGGTTCACGGGAAAAGACCACTTGTACTGTATTTCCTCATACTGTGTCAGAGTTCGCCGCCCAGCGTGAGGTACAAATAATCTGAAACTTGCACCTGTGCGCGCGGCCGGTCACCCGCCGCCGGTGAATGAGACTCTCCGCCCTGCAGATCAAGGACCGGCGCCTGGAAGCCGAGGGAGAGGACCAGGGTCAAGTCGCAGCGATCACAATTCGATCGCGTTACAGCAGAGGGGAAAGAGGTGAAAGGGCGAGGAAGGGAGCGATGTTTCGGTACGTGCAGGAAAAACAATCTGATAAGGTTAAGGCGCCACAGCGAGCGGAGATCCAAGCTAATGACCGAATGCTTTATTGGGGACGTCTGCCAGGAGAAAAGTGAGGACCACGCACCTGTTCTGCTGCTCCTGCTGCAAAAGCTGAACTGCAATCTTCCTCAGATCTAGCACTTCCTTCAGCTCATCATCCTCTTCCTCAACTAGCTGCTCCTTATCGGAGCTGGAAACAATTAAAAGATCACAGTTATCAAAAACGCTAGAAACATACATGTGTACAGTACATAAACCTGTGATTTTGACACTGAACATTTGGCAACAACATCATCTCGCCATGAATCCTCAGAAGTTCAGCGGGGTGGGGGAGGATGGGGGGGGGCACTGCAACAACAAACAAGCTCGCACAGCTGTGCAAGCACCAGAGCCTCTTTGACATGTTGAATGTGAACTAAGTCAATAACAAAAACATTTCCAGATCTTTTAAACCTGCATTAGGAGCATTGACATTTGAGCTGAATTTTTGGCGTTCCGGTAGAGTGCCGACCTGTCTATTTGCAGAGCTCTGCTGATGAAAGAAGAACCGCGAGTGACTCATCGCGCTGCTGTCACTACGAGTCAGCGCTTGTGGTTGAATTCAAAGCTTAATATGTGGAAATCCTTTGCTCATACACACATAATCGCAAATTATGTTGAATTTAAACATCTTAAAGAGGGCGCACATTCACCGTACGTGAAAATCAGACTGCGAGGCGCCAGCAGCTGCAGGCAGCCTCCGTGCACCTTCTTTGTCTCTACTGTGAATCTATCCAGACGTAAGCCGGGATTAGAAAACGCCTTCCTTCAACAGAACTCCTTTTACGCTGTGGGCATACAGAGGAACTCCTTGCAGTGTAAGTGATTAGTTGTGTAACGTCTCATGAACTCACCCTGATTCCTCTTTCCAACCTTCTTTATCTTTGATTTGGTGAGACATGTTTAGAACTTTCTCCAGTTCCTGAAAAACACAGACACACCCGGTCTCATTGAGAATAATTGGTTAGCAGCTTCAGTCACTGAACCGACGGATTGATACCTTGATACACGACACATGACCGCTGTGCTGCCCGTCACACTCTGACAGAGCAGGATCCTCTTCCGGGTTGGGCTCTATAAAGTCATAGAGATCCTGATCTGATAGAGGGAGGAAGCATCCGCGTTCATCAAATAAACTGTCACACGTTAGGCACTTCACTCAACAACCCCCCCGGTGTCTCTCTTATTGCTGCCAACGGGGGAATATTGTGATACTCATTTTCGGTGACCTTTGCAAGAATCCATTTTAGAGAGGAGAGAGAGCGCGTCAGCGCGGGCTGTCTCTGAGACCTGAGAGTGCAGGCTGACAGTGTCATCGTCCGAAGGCTGCGGAAGAAGGAAAATACCCATCGTCAACTGGTGATTACACGGGAAAATGACACACTTTGGCGCCTCAAGCAGTGGTTGTTTGTGTCTGAGGTGGATTCCCACAACAACCTCTGCTATCATGTCGTAGTTATTCCCCATCTGCAGTGGGCAGATGCTCAGAGGCTTTCCCACCTCAGCCAACCGAGCCACCTTATCTGACAATCTCATCAATCAATCAATCAATCAATCTCCAGTCTGGCCCCGACCCTGAATCCAACAGTTTTTCTATTTTTTTAAATGAAATAAACTCCAGCTGGCAGCAGGTTATCCATCTTTGACTTTAGCGTATCTCTAACTGGTGCATCAGTTAATATTGAGCGTTTGAACTCTGACCTCAGTTGCAGACAGCCTCTTGTCGCCATTGTCACTTCCAATTCCAGAGTCCGGCCCGTGGTTCTTATTGGGATAAAAATCTTCCATGCTGAAAATATGCAACATTGGAGTTGGGGCTTTATTGGCTAACGATTCAAATGGGGTATACGAGCACAGAATAACCAATGATTATCACACATATCGTCTGTGTAGAACAGACACAACACAAAACCTGAGAGTCAGTACCTATCTGTAAGTGGCTGCGGAAGGCACCGTTTGCTGAGGGAGGGCAGGTCCAGGGTGTCCGGTTTCTTGTCCGTCCTACACGCCTGGATGTTTAGGTACTTGAATATGTGCACTTTGCCCTTGAGACAGATCTGAAATGTCCAGAAGCACAGGAGGTGTGTGAGATGTACCAGGTTCATGAGGACGTGAGGGACGTGACGACACAATGTGTCATCTTGGTGTCCACGGAGCGCAACAAACGCACATACCTGTGCTGGTGGAGACTGCATAGGGTTGTTATCTAGGATGATGTGTTGCAGCTGCCTGAGTTTCCTGTACGCTGGAGGAATCTCTGTGATCTTATTACAGGAGAAGTCAAGTTGGATGAGGGGCAAGTCAGCCAACTCTGCAAGTACAGGCCGGAGAATGTAATGCACTGCTTTAATTAATTCAATTAGTCATAGCCTTTGTTCTGCTACGGTTCCTAATCCTCAAGTACAGCCTCACCCAAAAGGCGTAGCCAAGTCGGCCAAGTCGTTTCTGGCCTGATGGGATCTTAAAGGAGTACTTCAGCTATTTGCTGTCGTGCTATATCTTTGAGGAACTCGATCCAAATGGGTCGAATTACTTTTTTTTTAAACCAAGACAGAGTAAAATGTTGATTTTCCACTAAAAATAAAAGCTGAAAATGGGCAGGTTACGTCTGTTTCAACCTCAGTGAATTTATACATTAATTCTTTATAAAATATCAACAAAAACAGCCTCCATGGTAACTGAACACCAATCGCTGCATGTCGTTACATGAAACTAAACCCTGTCAGGGAAGGGATTTTAATGCCAAATGTGTGGGATGGACTGACCTTCAGGCAGCATGTGAAGACAATTCTTCCTGATGTTGAGTTCCCGCAAAGCATGAAGCCTCCCCACCTGAGCTGGCAGCACCTGGATCTCATTGCAGCTGACGTCCTGCAGAGGGAGACAAAGTGTAGGATATGGCAGTGGGACAATATACCCAGGTCCATTAAATGTACTGCTGACACACACACACACACACACACACACACACACACACACACTGCTCACCAGTTCCATCAACTCTTTGGCCTTGCCGATGTCCTCTGGGATGGACACTAGTTTGTTGTTGCTCACCAGCAGAACTTTGAGGGGGAGGCTGAACAAGTATTTTGGCAAAACTGACAGGAGGTTTCGGCTGAAGAGAGAGAGAGAGATGAAAACATTGACCTATATTTCAATCCGTATACAGAAGCTGTGTTTGTTCTCTAGGAATTGGGTTTGGGCCAAAGAGGAAATGCTACTCTTTCATTAAAGCCTATTTGGCCCTGTTGAATGCTAAGTGAGGGGAACAAGCACTTGACTGACCTTTTGAGTGCATATAATAAGACATGAAAAACAAACTATGCATAGCTTTAGCAATGACTCACCTGACGTCAAGATAGGTCAGCATCTGCAGGTTGATGATGGCTTCCGGGATGCACTTGATGCAGTTGTGATAGAGGTTGAGCGACTCCAGGGGGGCGAACAGACACACTTCTGGAGGTATTTCTGTCAGGCGATTCTTGGACAGATCTGCAAGTCGCAGAAGGAGGAGCTGATGAATGTCACACACATTAACATCTTTGGAAGATCTGGGCACCATCCCTGATATGTTTGCTCCAGGCATGCGGCCATTGACCGGAGAGGCGGATCAATACGTCTCTGTGACGGAGGGAGCCTCTTCATCGAACACCCGTCTAACATTACAACGGAGTCCTGGGCGTTGAAGGTTGGAGTGCCACTGGCGGTTTAATATTGCAGTATGTTCAATATCAATCTCACTGGGAGTGGCACCGTAATGGATTGTATGAATATGAGAAATGTATTTGGATGCACTTCACATCTTTTCTTAAGATAAGTTGCTAGAAATAACCGCTAAGTGACTGCTTTTGCTGTGCTACTAAATAGTTTGGAATTATTTATATTTGTTAGACTGTGTGTACTTCTGAAACTGAACATTTTTATAGACATTGGAACCTAATATACTGACATAAATGTAACTATTTCATTTTATTTAATACAACAAAATGCTATGTTGCAGAATACACCCATTTTGTTGATCTTGTAGCGAATCACAGTTGGTGCTCAACTGCTCATTAAAAGACAGGCTGTGATTAAAAAGGTGTCGCACACGCTAGCAGACATGACAATAACTTGCTTTATCACTGGAGCCAGTTTGCTGCAAAATCCCAGCTAATGAGCTAAAGAGGGATTGCTGCCACTCGGGGACAACAACACGAGCGCAATCGCTGCTGCAGTCAATGGACGTGAGCACGGCCTCATCTGCATCTTTGCCTCTTATGATTAAATATTTAGATATACAGGCTCTCTCGGAGCAGAGGAGGACAGACTTCACTCGGCGCACCATCTACTAAATCATAGTAAATCCCTCAGGAGTTAAGAAAAAAATGTCCATGAACGAACACACACACATATGCACATTATCTCACTTCCCTTTGGGTCATCTATTCAACAAAGCCAGATGCAAATCTTGAGAACAATACAGACTTCCATCACTTCAGATGCATTGATTTAGTGTGTGTGTGTGCTTTGTGAATTGTCTCTGTGTGACATGATAGTTTACAGAGCAAAATCCACAGGCACTCGGCCACAGATAAAAAACAACTTACTGCTGAAATGAAGCTACATGGGCTCTACTGAAAGGCAGTCTGTGTAAACCACGTCCGTCTCCATCCCTTTCTCCCTCCCTCCCTCCTCCAACCCAGACCGTGCACCATCTGCAGCCCACGTGGGGCCTTTTCTCCACCTGCCGGTTGCCCGGTGCCCCCCCCGCGCAGGACGAGGGCCACCAGCCAGACGCGCCCCCCTCCACCAAGGCTCCACCTTCGCTGCACCCCTCCCATCCAAACCATGGATTTCCGTTGGTGGTGCAGACGTGGTCTGGCTAGGCCTTCCCGTGTCACAGCAGACTCTCAGTCTCTCTGTACGTCGCAGAGGCCATATTTGCACAGAAAAGATTAATTGCAATTAAAAAAGTTTCACCTGTGATGGAAGAATTCCCAACATCAAAAGGCAAAAGCTGCAGATTAAAACTACACAACGCGGTTAAATTGAAAGGAAACGGAAAAGGCGTGTTGACAGAAACATGATTAATTGGGGTTAATTATTTGCGCCCTGCAGCAGATGCGACCGCTGCGCCCGGCTGTCATAAAGTGGGCGTGGTCCTGAGTGAACAGGGTAACTAGGAGCCTTTCCTGATGCTCCGGGACCTTTACACTCACTCACACTCACTCAGGCACCAAGTCGTGCATTACAGTCACAACACCGGCTTCCCCGACCAGACACGTTGCTCCAGACGCTTCATCGGCTCAGCGTGCTGACAGATTCAATCATACACAATAAAAACATACACAGAAACATTGTCATAAGCACTTTAGATATAAAATATTCATGTTCACATAATGCTTTTCTTCCATTCGCTCTCTCTCACACACACACACACACACACACACACATATTCCATCATTTATGTTTAACCTTCTCTCCAACATTCACTAAATAACAAAGTACAAACGATGACGGACAATAACATGTTAAGAGAAGAATAAGCATGTTATGGTGGCATCATTGAATGTGCTATTCCTTCCAAAAGGTATATGTTTTTGTCCTCTTGTCTAAACATGCATATAAACATCTAAAAAGGGAAAGAAGCACCATGGATGTGAACATTATTTTCTCCCAGGCTACACTTCCATTACCACGCAAAGTAAAGCCAACCATCTATTTTTGAGTAGCCTCCCGGCAGTCCGCGCTGTAAAGGAAGACACGCAGGATATTAGATTTCACTGCACAGTCTTTTGTTATTTCCAAGTCTCTGGAAGCCTTTTTAATGACTTGGCTTGAATTGTCGTCGCTTGTGCTTTTGCGCGCATGTTATTTACACTGGTTAATTATTAAATCCAAAAATGCCAGCTCGGCAGAACGTAACAATTAAGAAGCATTTGAACCGTGCAAAGCTCACTGTGTGCTAATGTGCCACGTGAAATGTGGGATGTTTTTCCACATGTTTCAGCCAACTCTTGATAGCACACAAGAGACCCGTTGCCACGATACGCAATTAAAACAAAAAAAAGCACCTGACCTTCCATTCCTTTCATTTGGAGCTTCTTTCAGCTTTTTGTATATTATACCAAACTCCCCACAGAAGACACAAGAAGGTTTAGGTGCTACAACAGATTCACTTTGCCGCGACTCACACAGCAAGAAAAACACACCCAAACAAATCCTTTTTTTCACACAAAATCGTGTGTTTAAAAACATACAACGCGTCAACAACGCGCTGCACGGCGCTGTGGCTATACTGTGTAGGTACCATCGGCGCCGGGTAATGGCTGGCAGGAGCCTGCTGGGATATGATGCACTGTCCCCCCCCCCACCCCCCACCACCTCTCCAAGGACGGAGGCCGTGCACTTTCCCACGGGACAACAAACTGACTGGAGACAAACTGCCAGGAGTTCAGTGCAAACAGACACCCTCGTGTGAGCCCGCCTCTCTTTTCTGTGTCTACACACACTGGGACCGTCTGCTGCTCATTAGTCCGATGGGGGCCACTCAGTTGGACCCTGGTCTGTGTAAAAAAAAAACAAAAAAAACATTTGACTTCTAAAACCAACAATGAGTTGGATTGAAATTGTAAAAGCAAACCTGATAAATGGTGGCATACAATGCCGAAAAACAACGTACATATTTCACGCACATTCTGACTTGTATGTATGTGTACATGGAAGAAAGGGCAAATAAACATACAGAATAGATTTCACAGGAATATGTTATTTATTTATTTCTTCAATTTAAAAATGAGCCTGTGATGTGATCGATCGAGTGACATTTAAAGGCCGTGAAGCTCTTTCCTTTTACGGCAGAGGTGTGAGCCGATGCCGACGACGGCGCTGTGAGGTGTTCATCCGTCTCGGCACATTTCAAAGTGAGACTTCCTCCCAGCACCCCTTTCATCGAAGGCCTCGCGATGAAGATGCGAATACAAGTGAAAAGACAGCAGTAATCGCGCTGACGGGGTCGGTCGCAGCGGAGGCGCCAGATCAGAACTGTGACAGAAATACACTCTCATATCGCTTTTGATTTCTTTCACTGCCATATAAATATAAATACGAATCCTCTCTGCAACATTATTGATACATTTGGATATTCTTGCCTCAGGAAGAGACAGGTTTGTCATTATCACCACAGCTTGTCCTGAGCTGCACATGACAGAGTAACACCATATGGTAGGTGGACATGTCAGAGGAGGAAATCACCATTATGACAATCAGCACGATCCATATGTCCAAGATGATGACATGGAATGATTAATTTGCTTTGTAGTACAAAAAGTGCATCTAAAAAAAAGCATTCTCCTAAACGGGGCTCATTGGAATATATGATACTATAACATTATGTCATTATCTGTGGTCTGAAGACCTTTAGGAGTAAAAGTTAGAGACGCACATTCCCGAACCACAATGTCTAACACAGTATGAATGGCCTGACACCGACACCACGACTGCACTCTAATTCTCTCCTACAACACCGTTTAGAGAACGAGCCAGCAGCAGATACACATCTGTCCGCCCACATGTGAAAACCAAAAGCAGACCATGTGTCTTCCTCTTCTCTGACAGACTGGGGCCTGTATCACATGTGCAAGGGGGCGGGCGGTGGGGTTGCAACTACACTGCATCTTTTGTCTGGTTGTGCAGCAGATGAAGAAGAACAAACGTGTACGTGTATCACATGCTCCCCGAAAAAAAAAAAAAAAAAGGACAATGAGTGAGCAAGAATTTCCGGTTCATTCATATTCTGCCCCAGACGGTCCCGTGCCCGATCAACCGCAGATCGGCGTGCAAACCACTGCACATCGCCTGGCTCGGGTGGGTGCGCCTGCCGCCTCATTGGAGAGGTGGGGGGGCGGCGCCGTTGCGTCGATCAAAACAACCACACAACAGCAGCCGCGGTGCAACAAAGTGGTGTGATTAACTACCACCAGGATTCCTGTGTGCATTCACGGAGCCTATTCCCCTTTAAATATTGTCACCTGCACGTTCACGCGCCCCCCACCCGCCCCGTCCAGAGAACCGCACAGAAATCCGCGCACAATGCGGGACACGCTGCTGCATCCAAAATACGCGTATAGGAGTGAGCGCGTTTAAAAAGAGATTTCTATCCATATTTACGAGGCGCGTTGGGTCGCGCTCACCTGCTTGTGTCGTATCGGTAAGGTCGTAGCTCATCCCCGGGTACTCCCTCAGCCTCCTGCCGCTCAGGTTCAGTATCCCCGAGCAGCCGGCATCCTCCAGAGCCCGGTCCAGGCTGCGGGCCGTGTGGTACTGCTGCTGCTGCTGCTGCTGCTGGTACTGGCTGACGCCGGGGGTCCAGGGTGGTCCGCTGGAGTAGTGGTGGCTTTGTAGGGACGTGACAGCTCCCACACCTCCTTGACTGGACGCCATTTTCGTAGAAAAACAAAAAATAATAAAAAAACAGAAAAGAAGAAATGACTCCTGGGGTAATAACGGCGCACAGCGGCAGTTTCCCCCCCGCGCATGCGCAGACGGGGTAGATTCCCTGGACGGGGATGGGCTTCTGAGGAGGAGGAGGAGGAGGTGGTGGTGCTGCTGCTGCTGCTGCTGCTGCTGCTGCTGCTGCTGGTGGTGATGGTGACGGTGAGCTGTGTATGGTGGCCATTTTAAGCTTTTTACCATCCTCCACCTGCTAATACCAAATTCCCTGCAGCCCCTGCCAATGTGTGCAGCTTTGGGGGGCCCTCAATTAATCCAGGAATGGACATTTTCTGTCATTTTTGTACTCCCGATGCCTGGAGGGGTGGTTATTAAAAAGATATATGATGAATGACTGCGATAGGAACACTATTGGATATAACAATTCAAGTGATGTGTGTGCCAGAATGGATCAAATAGTCTAAGGTCTAAGATCAGGAACCATCTGGGGGTCACCCGGCCGAGTAGGGACAGAAAATAATAAAATAACTATCCTTACATGAATCTTATCTTATTATAATATGTAGGTGATATAGAAAGGTGGGTTAATTTGATCTCCTAATGCGCCAACAGAGTAGATCCAAAGTAGCCCAAAGGTCCCTCTGGTCAGGCCTAAGAAGCCCCCGTCGGTCCAATGGTCCTCAGGTGAGCACCTGTCCGAACGGCACCCTCTGGTCATCCCTTTGGTCATTAAAAATAACATATACAATACGGTTTAATTTTATATAGTTTTGTATTAATGTTCTGAGAAGAGATATTTTTCATTTATCTTTGCTTCGTATAAATTATCTTATTGGCATAGAAGACTATCAAACTGTTTTTTTGTCTTGCATATTATCAGATTTTTGTGATTTAGTGTGTGTGTGTGCTTTGTGAATTGTCTCTGTGTGACATGATAGTTTACCCCCACCACCACCACCACCACCACCACCCGCCCTCCGCCGTGAATACGCACCCGCCCTCCGCCGTGAATACGCAGCGATACTCGGCTGCTACCCTGCGGACTGAGCCCACCGAGCAAGCGTCCTCCTCCTTCCGCCGCTGCGCTTCGGATGCTTCTTTGATTTGTTGAAAGCCCCCCCCGCGCCCCCCTTCCACAACCCCCCACCCCCTCCCCCCTCAGAAAATGGTGAAGCAGTAGCATGACACACGTTGTAAGTTGTTGCACCTTTGAGCTAAACGCGGAGTGTTGAGGTTGTGTGTCTCTTTGTCGTGTGGCGTCACGCAGTTGAAACATGTTGAGAGTGTGTTTCTGTTAGCTAGCGTTAGCTCACGGAATCACTGTCTGACATCCACGGCGTAACGTTCGCGGATGTTAGCAGTCAGAGAGGAGATGGAGGTGGTGGTGGGGGTGGTTGTAGTGTTACCGGGGATGGTGGTCGGACGTGTTACCTGTCCACTGTATGCAGCTCGCGTAACTCAACGGTGAAGGCTAATGCTGGGTTAGCTTAGCCACCGCTAGCTTACGCTAAACATTAACGTTAATGCTAGCTGGCGTTAGCCTGGCGTAGAGGTAACGTTAGCTCGCATTTACTCCGGGCCTTTTTACACACCGCTTGTGCTGCAAACTGACCGAGACCAAGTGCGACCAACGTCAAATATCGTGGAGCGAAGCTGCCTTTGACGGTATGTGTTTTCGCAGTTCGGAGTGCAGGATGCGCTGAAACGATGGAAATGTGCAAAAAGTTAAAGCTGTGACTGCGCCTTTCACTTGTTTCCCCTCCCGCATGACTTAATAGTGCACGATCGCAGGTGTGTTACACGACACCGAGGGGCACATTTGGATTCGTGGTTGTTGTTGTTTTTTTGTCTGCTGGGGGCCCTGTCCCTCAGAGGACCAGGGAGGTGTCCCTTGCTCTGTATTGGTGTCTCTTACTCTAGATTGTTCTTCCCTGGACCTGGACGTGTTGCACAGTTTGTGCTCACAACACAACTGATGTCAGACCCCTTTGGGACATGGATGCATGTAACCGGATTAGAGCCATCGGGACACCAATTAGGCTCATTTTGAACTACCACTGGTGGTTTGAGGAAGGGGATTATGTCAGATTTAACCGAGATGTCACTGTTATTCTTCTAACTGTTAATTATTAAGCAGTATAGATGTAGCATCTTTTTCCGTCATTCATTTATTGTTGTGGTTATCTTTGCAGTTCGAGCATGGCAGATAGAAAAGGAAAACCTGTCACTGCGATCAAAACACTCTCAAAGCGAGAACAAGAAGACCACAAAAAAAAGGTATGGAGGTTGGAGATGTTGCACTGGTTTATATGGTTTAGTGCTGTTTAGATTTAGTAAACGCATCAGCAATATTATGAATTAAATTATTAAAATGCATTGTACTTCTGTTTCTCTGTGACTTTCTAGGAGGAAGAAAAAGCAGCTGAGGTTTTTGAAGAATTCCTGGCGTCATTTGAGACCAGCGAGAAAAGCGGAGTGAAAACTTTTGTCCGTGGTGGAATTGTGAATGCAACTAAAGGTCAGCAGCAAACACTTTGCAATCCTGTCTCAATTCTGCTCCACTTCTTCTGCATGAAATGTCTGGACAAAAAGATGAATCGTGAGTTGTCTGTTCCAATAATGAATTACTTTTGGAAGGTAAAGATAGATAAAAATAGTGATTGAAGAGTATCATGCTGACTCAGCAGTGAAATTACCGTCTTATTAGTGGCCATATCTTTTGAACGGCTTAATAAAATGAATGCACTCTGCGGACCTGAAGACAGCAGTCCATTATTGCTTTAATAAGAAAAATTAAATAGAATCCCAGCTAATAACGAGCAGTTCTTACTACATAAGATCCATACGTGTAACATACTGTTACACGTATAGATCTTTCTTGTGCTGCTCGAGATGAGTCTTGGTCTCAAGACCCCCTTTTTAAGGTCTCGTCTAGGACTAATGATTTTAATCGTCATCATTTAATTACTGTGGGGATATCACTCAGTCAGCCGGGGAATTTTCTGATTTTTCTGTCACTTTTGTGACATTCTCTTGCTGAAAATGCCCCTGTGCGATGCCTCTTCGGTTATTTTATCAAGGCTTTCTTATGGTACACTTATACAGTTCTTGCACACGTGTAGTACATGGCAATAAAAGAGCTACATGAAGAGGAATATTTCTTTCATGTGGGTGTTTGAATGTCCTGTCTCTTAACACTCTTGTTAATGTCTTGTCTTGTTAGGTCTTCTTGACTACAATACAGGCTCCAACTTACTCGTAGTTTGCACAACTAAATAATGGATTGGATAGTCACTTTTTGATGATTTGCTTTGATTACTTTTTGCAGAGGAAGAGGCAGCCGAAGTAAAGAAGAATAAGCTGTATCGACCAGCTGGCAAGTTTGTCCCCGTGTCCCAGCATGTCTCGCCGGTATCCTCTGCTGAAAGCAAGAAGTCTGTGAGTTAGTCCTTAGATGTTTGTAGGATTGACACAATACACTGATTTAAGTAGGAACCCAAACTTACTTTTAACTCTAAATGTTGCTTTGTCTGCTTTGATTGATAGACATTTAAAAAAAAGACAGAAGAAAAGAAGAAGAGCAATCTTGAACTCTTCAAAGAAGAACTTAAGCTGTAAGTCCTTTTGCAAATGTGCTTAGTATCGTGTTTCAGTTCAATAAGTTGACATCTTTGGCAAAAATAAGCCTATGTATTGCGTTTTTGAAAAATGCAGAATACAAGAAGAGCGAGAGGAAAGATATAAAAAGAAGAAAAATGATTCTGGTGGCGGAGGAGGAGGATTTGCAGAACTGGACACGCCACTATCAGGACGGTCTGGTAAGAATGCCTCCACAAAATCGTTCTATATGTTGAATTCGTTTTGCCTCTATAAATCGTCCCAACCTCGATCCTGCTTCCCCCCCCGACCCAACAGTGTTATATGATGACCTGACTGTGCCGACCACCACTAACCTCTACATCAGCTGCATTAGCCCAAAGGTAACCGAACGCGCCGACTCTGATTGGGCTTACCACAAGCACACGTACATTTCCCACCCTGTACCTTTTTTATTTTCAGATGAACGAGGAGATCCTCTGCAAAGAGTTTGGTAAGTATGGTCCTCTGGCCAGCGTGAAGATCATGTGGCCTCGAACAGACGAGGAGCGCTGCAGGACGTCCAACAGAGCCTTTGTGGCTTTCATGACGCGGAAGGACGCGGAGAGAGCCTTGTCTTCACTTGACGGTACGGTTGACTCGCTTTTAAAATAAAAATGTTTTATTTAGCAGGTTTATCTAATTCCCATCACCGCATCGACTGTGACCATGTTTTGTAGGCAAGTGATCATGGGGTTTGAAATGAAGCTCGGCTGGGGTAAACCAGCACGGATTCCGCCCCAGCCTCTCTACACGCCGGCGGGGGTGCGGGTCACCCCGCCGCCCCCATCGGGCCTCCCCTTCAACGCTCAGCCGAGGGATCGCTTCCGCAATGACTTCACCAAGCCGCTCGGCATGTCCAAAGGAGAGCTGGACAAGGTAACGCTGTCTCTGTACTCCGGGGCATGACTACACCCCCCCCCCACCCCCCTCCGCCCCCTCCCTCTAATGTGTGTGTGTGTGGCACTACAGTCCCCACAAAAATAGATTTAATAAGACTTCAGAGAAGATTTTACTGTATGATATTTAAATGTAATGCTCCGCGCTTTATGCAAATTGTCTTTTTTTCTTTGCACACCCTGAAAATGTATTATTTGGCTTCAATTATAAATTGAAATACAAAAACTGCAGTGGGTTCTGCAACTGAATCAGAATGAGTTGATCAGTTTATTTATTAGTCGGTCATGATGTAAAAAGTTGTGAATAATGTTACAATGCTTGTCATCATTCCTCTAATTGATCACCGTGTCCGTGCAGTGCCATATCGCAGGGTAACAAAATGCATGAATTCAAAGTAACATAACAGTTTGACTTGTGTATAGAATGTTTATGTTGGATCGGTTAGCTCGGCTAACACATCTGGTTTAGCATTTTTGCATTAGTTAACTGAAGCTGTGTCTCCCTCCCCTCATTTCACTGACTGAATGCTGTCGTCGTTTTCTATGCTGTATGTATCCTGCAGTGTTTCATCTGTACAAGTACTCACGTTTTAATACTTTCACTATTTGATTTGACTTCACAAACAGACTCTGTCCGAAGCCGTAGTCAAAGTGGTTATCCCGACCGAAAGGTACACACACTCTTCCTGCTACGACTGACCAGCTGTAATAACACAGTGTTACAGGACCTGTAAGGATTCAGGCTGTTAATGCATCCGACATAAAGGACATGATAAACAATCCTGTGGACATTTGGACATCTGCAACGTAAGACTGAGGGTTCTTACAGTAGATGTCAAAGGTCCCGATCTCCTCAGATTCACATACAGTGAATGCAGTTAGTAGTTTCTTTATGGACACTGGTGTTTACCCCCTTCTGGTTTGCCCAAATATGTCCGATGATTCATGTTCCTCCCGTCTTATTAATACGTGTTATTGTGAAAAGCAGTAGACTTGGTAACTGGGCTGTAAGAACGTCTTTGGGCTCTGGGTTTCTCGTGGGCAGGCTGAGACACTGCAGACGGATACAGCTAGAAGGCAGCTAGATCTGATATTAACCCGAGTCAGACGATGTGGATTCATGCTGGTGCTATAAGACAAACCGAGTGCTGCTTCGGGGGTGAGAGTAGTGAGCGTTATGAAGGGGTAACTGCAGCGGTAGACATCAGGTGACACTGCATGAACACACTGTACATTGAGGCTCCGGTTCAGGCCTGACGCCACAATCCACAATAACTTCTCTATAGCACCCTGATGCTGATTTATTATGTGTCCAGTGTGTTTTTTCCCCAGTTATTTTTAGAGCATAATTTGTATTGCATTCAAACTGGCCTGTAAAGTCATTGACTCTGTGTGATTTATTTTACGCCTTCCATGGACACAGTGCCCCGGGAACATTTAAAGTACGCTGAGGCACCCTCTGCACAGAGGACAGTACACCAAGCAGTTTTGCAAAGCGGCGCGTCCCAGGGGCTGTCGCCTTTTTTTTTATTCATTACGGTCAATAAATGCACGCACGGGCCACTAGTGCAGCATGAGGAGGCGTCAGAGCCGTTAGCGCTGGATGGTGTTGCGAAGCCCCGCTCTGACCCCGCTCTCCTCTTCCCACAGGAACCTATTATTCCTCATCCACAGGATGATAGAGTTTGTGGTGCGTGAAGGCCCCGTGTTCGAAGCGGTAATCATGAACAAGGAGAAAAGCAATCCTGATTACAGGTAAGTGCTGCTGCCGCTGTCCGTGTGTTTGATCATGGACATGTTTGGTCAGCTTGCTTCTTTTGTTGTTTTCAGGTTCCTTTTTGACAACAAAAGCCAAGATCATGTGTACTATCGCTGGAAACTCTTCTCCATCCTGCAGGTACGTTTTCCCTCCCAAAGCTTTCGGGATTTTAGTTAAAAAAGTAAAAGCCGTGTTAATGAAGCTGTTCATCTCTATGTGAGGTTTTTTTTTGTGTGTATCATGTATCAACCTTGTCGTCCCCACCACAGGGCCAGTCCCCGACAGAGTGGCGGACCACCGACTTTCGTTTGTTCCGGGGGGGCTCCATGTGGAGACCCCCGATCCTGAACAACTACTCTCAGAGAGACGAAGACCGAGCCGATGCGGAGGAGGACGTTCCCCCCGAGGAAGAGGTGAAGAAAGGGCAGCTCAGAGCGGAGTAAGTGTGTCCAGCGGCGACACTCGCCTTTTCACCTCTCGCTTCAGTTGAGTTACACGAGAACCCGTCGTCCTCTCTGCCACCCAGGCACAAAGTGAGGCTGGAGACGCTGCTGAAGGAGCTCACTCCCAGCCGAGAGGATGTCGCCAGCGCCATGCTGTTCTGTCTCGAGCGAGCGGACGCAGCAGAGGAAGTAGTGGGACACATCACGGAGTCTTTTTCCTTACTCCAGACGCCCCTTCAGAAGAAGGTCAGTGTATGACGCACGCTGCACAGAGCGTCTATATAAAATGTAGTTGCGTCTTACTCGCCCTTTTACTTTCTCCTCTTTCCCACAGATTGCCAGGTTATATCTCGTGTCCGACATCTTACACAATTCATGTGCCAAAGTAGCCGGCGCGTCATATTATCGTAAATAGTAAGAGACTTTCCTTCAACTCCGCCTCAACACTTTTGTCCTGTTGTGTTTCTTCTTCATGGGACAGTCTTAACGTGTCTTTACAGTTTTGAAACGAAGCTAACGCAGATATTCGGAGACCTTAACGCAGCGCATAAAAACATACAAGCCAGGCTGCAGGCAGAACAGTTTAAGGTAGTAATGTCTTTTTTAATGCCCAGTGGCATTTACCACAATGGCCAACAATTAAAAAAGAAAAAAAAGCTAATTTATTCCCCTTTCTCCACAGCAAAAGGTCACGAGTTGCTTTAGAGCATGGGAAGACTGGGCCATCTACCCGGAGCCTTATTTAATCCACCTTCAAAACATCTTCCTGGGCTTCGCCAAAGCAGTGGAGGAGTTGAAGGAGACCGCAGAGGTGATTTGCATATTTATGTTTTTCTTCTTCTTCCATTGGCGTCAAAAAATCCCGTCCAAACGCCTTTGCTCGCGGGACGGTACAAACGCGGGTGCACCTGTCCGTCTCCTCGCAGGAAGTGTCCGTCTTCATCGACGGCGCGCCGATGGACAGCGCGCCCATAGACGGGCTACCTCTGCACAGAGACCCCGTGGATGACCTGGACGGCTGCCCCCTGGGCTGGGACCCTCTGGACGGCGTCCCCGTGGACGACCTAGATGGTGTTCCCTTAGCAGTGGCCATGGATGACATCGACGGAATGCCCCGTGAGTCCGTGTGCACATCAAAAGAGGGGGGTGGGGGGAAACGACTACTACTTTTAACCAGGCTCTGGTGTCACGAGTCGATAACGCGATCAATCCCGCCTCTCAACTTTCTTTCACCCCCCCTCCTTCCCACAGTGGAGGAGAGCAACGTTCCTCTCTCCACAGTGCCTTTGTCCAAGTGGGAGAAGACGGCTGATACCGGGACATTTTCTCAAGGTAGCACGCGTGGCGATTCACTCGCGTGTCATACGAACCTCTCCCCTCCCGCTCACCTTCCCCCCCCACCCCCCTTTTGTCCCTCAGCCAAGGCCGAGTCCAAGTGGGACATGGTGGTGGAGCCCAACAGTGAGGCCGAGGTGAATGTAAGGTAAGGCCCCGTGGTCGGTATCCATGCACCCCCCCCCCCCCCTGAGGGGCACACACCCTTTGCGTAATCAATCCAATGGTATGGAAATGTATGGTTCTTGTCCCCCCCCCCGGTGACAGTGTCAACTCGCAGGACGGAGATGAAGACTCGCAGAGTGACAGCAGCGACGACTCCGGCAGATTGTCCAAGTATGAGAGCGCAGACTTCCAGAGCTCCCTCAAAAGTTTTCAAATGTCTGAAAGCAAAAGGAAACGCTTGAGAGAGCTGGAGGCAAGTCCACATGTTTAATATTAATGTTTGCTTTTACAGAATCAATGTGGTTGTCTTCCTGTTGATTTTGCTGTGGATCCAAACATAGTGAATTTTAAATTTAAAAAGGATGTTGAATTATTGTGAGTTTGCTTGTTGCGTAAAACAGCCGGAACTCTTTTTAGTGTGACTCCCTGTGAGCTGCTTCCCAACAGTCGCGTATTTGGCTTATTGAACCATGCAGCACTGACCAGATGTGTCTCGTCACAGGTAAAAGTCATGAAGACCCAAGACGAGTTAGAATCCGGCAAAAGGACGAGGAAGTCCGGGATGAGCATACAACAACAAGTGGAGCACTACAGGAACAAACTTCTCCAGAAGGTGGGCTGCTTTTAATCTGCTATTGAATGTTTGATTTGGTTAATTATGCTCAAGCTCTTATACACCCAGTGTTTATTCTGCCGTCATGGTCTCCAAAGCAAAAATACACCCATTACAGATGTGTAGTAGAAATATTTCTTTAATCAGGAACCGTGTAGGGCAAAATGTACAGAACATTAAATTACACTTTGAACATGGCACAGTAAAAAAAAAAAGTTAGAGAAGCATGGCAGTCAAAAATCAGACAGGTGATTTGCAGATTGAGAACAACGCGCCACCTACAGGAAATGAAGCTTAAGTCGCTGTTTGTTTACTGCAACACACACACACACACAGTTTAATCTACTGCAACTGTGAGCCACAGAGAAAACGGCATGTAAAAAAAACAAAAAAAAACTTGTGCTTTCTTCTTCTGCAAGTGTCACTGTTGATAAATACTAGTGCAGTAATCGTGATAACGGGGGAAACAGCTGAGGTCTGACATTGACAAAGCAGCAGCAGTAGTGGGGGGGGAAACCAAGCGGGGTCGGCGAGCCTTTGTGTGACGGGATGTTTCACCGTAGGAGTTTGAAAAAGATGAAGACAAGAATGAGAAGAGGTCTAAAGACAAGTCCAAGGATGACAGAAAGGACAAAGACCGGAGCAAACGAAGCGAGGACGGCGTCAGGCGGCGCGGCCGCAGCAGAGATCCCGACGAGCGCCCCCGGAGGTCGAGGAGCAGCTCCCCCTTAAAGCAAGTGCAACGAGACGTCTGTGTGTGTGTTCATCACCAAACGCCATCGGTTAGACCTTCAACACGCTTGTTTCTTTTCCAACAGGACCAAGTCTCCCAAATGGTCCAAGCATTCCCGGTCGCCATCCCCGAACCGGAAGACGGTGAAGTCGAGGTCGCGGTCGCCGCATCGCTCCCACAAGAAGGCAAAGAAGAGCAAACATTGACTCTCGAGCCTCGTCATCCAGCGTCTGTCCTCTTGGTCCCGACTCACAGCACCCATGCAAGATCCAGAACTCTTTTTGTATGATGAAGTTTGAACACTGTAACTAATTATATATATTTTTGTTTTCTTGTTTTGTTTTTAAAATGATAACCGGAAATGTTGTTGCAAAGGTTCTGAAACTGAATAAATCACTGCGGGTAATGAATGTGTTTGTGTGTGTGTGTACGTAGGACACGTTTGGTCGGGCCAGGTATCAAACATTCTTCCAGTTTGTTTGGACTTTTATTGAAGACATTAATAAAGCATTTGGTTCTGTTTACAAAAGGAGCAAGTATGCAATGTTACACATTCAATCTAAAGTACTTTTTTTAAATGAAATGTGCTTTTATTCAACAAAGCAATTTGGAGCCGGTATTTTTGAAAAATTGTAAGATACCCAGCCCTGATAATGATAATAATCAGATTTTCGGCCATCTGCTAAAACGTCTTGATTCATTTTAAAGGAAGGCTTGAGAAGTTGAATTCAGAAAAGCGATCTAGTTTTCATAGGCACAATTAACTCCAAACCAGCTTGCTCTGAAGACAATGGTTACTTTACATAAGACACATTAAAAGTTGAGACTGACGTGGACCGTGTCTTGCACTTTACATCTGAAAGCAAAAAGAAATGGGTTTGGTGGGCGGTGTGCTACAGAATAGCTCGTGGCGAGACTCAACGCTCACCACGCGGCTGTAGATAAACACACGCTCAGTATTTCTGGCTCCTTGGTTTTTTTTCTTAATGCCAAACCGTTCACAGTAGCTTGGTATTAAAGATTTAAAAAAAAAAAAGTGAAATGTGACCGGGAATCCCGCCGTGTCTGTATTAAAGAGTCAATTCCACATCTTCCACTCTGGGGTCCCTGTTCTCCCGAAGGAGCCACAGAAGGATCTTGGTCTCAGAGCGGTAACCTTTAGGTAGTTGTGTTTTTAGAAAGGGCCGAGCGGAGAAACCTCAGTGCTCAGTACTTCTTGACATTGATGAAAACCTTGATGGCTCCGGTGAAGTCGGCAGAGAGTAGAACCTCCGTGTGATCCGTCTTCAGGGCTCCTGCGAACGACAACACCGTTACAGCAGCCACACGGAGGTCACCGAAAACCGCCACCACCCGCCCCACCGGGTGGAGCTCGGAACGTACCTGAGGGTATCGTTTCAGAGTCGGTGGAGTCCAGGCTCTTGCTCTCTGCTTCCGGTTTGTCTGCTCCGGCCTCCTGTGGGACGATGAGGCCTGGGTGCGGCGCGAAAATGGCCGAGGTGACCACCGCGTTGTGTGCTGAAAGAAGAGTTCGGTCTCAGGTATCGGTTCCATCGACACAGTGTTTGCGGTGAACATGAAGTACCTTTAATTCCTTCCCAGAAGTCGTTGCGGTCCCGTCGCACGGAGGTGAATTTGCTCAGGTCGTGGTAAGTGCTCCAGATGTACACGTACTTATCCTCCGAGCCGCTGACTATGAAGGAGTAGTCGTGGCTGCGGGGGGAAAAAAAACGGATGGCATGAAGAAACGCATTTCAAATGGCCTCGGGCACCTCGGACGGTTGCTGCCGTGACCACGCGGCCGCCCTCACCTGAAGCTCGCCTTGATCTGACTGCTGCTGTTCACGTAGCCTTTGTACTTCATGGACAAAGACAAGTCCCTCAGGTCGTAAAGGCGAATGCGGGAATCATTTGAGGTCACCAAAATCTACCGAGGGGGATGGGGGAGGACATTTGTCATTTGTCTAGTGGGGACATGGATCACAGGAGCCATCCTAGTGGGGGAGGCGGGAGGCGGGAGGGTCGGGTGTTACCTTATTCTCCCCAGGCAGGGGTTCAATGCCGGTGATCTTTCTGCCGACTTTGTTCCTGCCTCTGGTGGACCTCACGTGGATTTGAGTGTGGTATTTCAGGCGCTGCGGGACAGACAAACACAACTTTTCACAAATGCTGAACACTGAGACGGCGTCTCCTGCGGGAGAGAGAAGTGACCGCCGCCCGGTACCTCCGTGTCGTAGAAGATGCAGCGGCCGTCGTAGGTGCCGATGACGGCGTACTTCCCGTTTTGGCAGAAGTTGGCCGCCGTGATGAGGCGCGTCTGGCCGTCCACCTCGTTCCACAGCGCCACCTTCTTGTCGGGAATGTTCCAGAGGCGCAGCTTTCCATCCAGAGAGCCACTTAAGAAGTATCTGTCGTCCTGGGCAAACGAGAGGCACGTGTTTACTCTAAATACAAACCCGGGGGTTCTGAAATGAATAGCGGTTGGGGGGGTTACTCACTCTGGGATGGAAAGCAATGGCTGTGACAAAATCAATGTGCTGAAAGCAGCAGAGGCACTCTCGCCTGGATATGTGCCACAGTCGGACCGTTTTGTCCATGGACGAGGAGAGGAGGAAGAAGTTCTGGATTGACACACAAATAAAAACCAGGCACTTACAATGTCTAAACGCGTGGGGAGGGGAGAGGTACCGAGAAGAAAAGAGTCGGCAGTGAGGCGTCACCTTTGACCAGGACAAGTCCAGCAGGTCGGCAGTGTGACCTTTATACTTGCAGAAGGGGACCTGGCGGAAAGGGGCGGTCCTGTCTTCCGTGTCGGGGTCCTCTGGAGCACAACTTGCCTGTGGCGAGGGCACATAAAGCAGAGCGATATTCGTCCTTGAAGCGCCCTACAAGCCACGAATCACAAAGGTTATCGTCGCTCACCCCGTGGTCGTCGGACTTGGAGGAGCACAAGCTTTCCTGAGAAGGAGACGGTGAAACTCGACCTGCAAAAGGAAACGCAAAATCGGAACCGTACTGCAGCAAACAGCAGAGCATCTAAATGGAAATAAACCACTCCACTAAAGTCTGAAGGGTGTTTCTTATTTCTTTTTTTTTTTTTTTTTACCTTCGGTGTTGTACTTCATCCTCATGTTATTGAAGTAGTCGAAGGCGGCCTTCAGGACCCAGATGCGCACCACGTTGTCCTGGCCGGCGGTCGCCAGCAACCTCCCGCAGTGGGAGAACTTCATGGTCCAAACGGCCCCCTGAGGAGAAGGCGTGTGAAGCCGCTCACACATTGACGACGTACCCGTAGAATAAAGACAAACATTTTTAAAAATCCCTCCGGTCCTCTCACCGTGTGCTCGCCGCTCAGGTCTTGCACGACTTTAATCTGGTCGAAGTCGAAGGGACCCTTGAAGCTGTGCGCGGCCTTGAACTTGGCGGGCCTGGTGTAGGGCATGCCCTCGTCATCGCTCGACGACGGGTCGTCCTGATCTGTGTGGAACACTTCAGCCCGCCCCAAAAAAAACTAAATCAGGACTCAGGATGTTTTGGGCGGTGGCAACGGCGAACCCGTTAAAATGCATGCATACCTCAGGAAGCGCCATTCGGCCCGAGAAAGTTAAAAGAAGTGTTCTGTTATACAGATGTAAAGGGCTCGATGACTCGTTACTGCATTTGTTTGACTGTCGTCGTTTATGTTCCTTACAGCAACAAGTGCATAAAGCTACATTGTGTAGAAGTACTTTAGTAAACTGTGTACGAGTTCTATCCTGCAGCCTAACCGAGGGTCCAAATGCTGGAAGTGCTTGTGCTCCTTTACCTTCATCGCGCACACTCTTCACTTTGTTCACTGCCTTCTCTCCATACTCCTCAGCGAGATGCTTGGCCTTCTTAACGGACTTTCCCAGGAACTTTTTAAACTGCGTTCTGGTGGGAAACATGGAAACAGCAGAATACAACATTGGATGCGTTTCATCACGCGGGAAACGACAGACTCCAACCGCCGGGGATTTCCTCACGTTTTCTGTTTCAGTTTCCCTCCGTCCGTGTCTGCCAGAGGAGCCTGAGCCTTGTCGTCGTCGTCGGACTGCGCTGCATCGTTCCTGAGAGGAGAAACGGATCAACTGGAACCATCGCTTTGAACACGATGAGGCTTTCAAAGCTTTTCAGAGGGAAGATATTACATGACGGAGGAGCCTTTTTCTACTCACGTGATGTACTCCTTGGTCCTCCTCATGATGTGCAGAGTGAGCGGGTTGATCGCCGCAGGAAGTTTCTCCTCGGCCTGGATTAAAGGGATCTCTTCCCCAGTGTCCAGATTCTTGATCATCACACTGGCCAGAATTTCCTGTTTTAAGAAAACACACAAATTCACATTTTGTGTGAGAAAAGTGCGAGAGGCCGTGACAAAACAAATGCGGGGTGCGGGGGGGAGGCGCCGGCTCTCACTTCATCCGTCAGCTCTCTGCCAGAGTCGGAACGTGGACGCTGGGGGCCCGGAGTTTGTTCTCCACTCTGGGAGGACGACCGTCCGTCCTCATTTTCCTACAAAAGGACAACAGGAGCTACTAGATTCTTCACTTTTTTGAGCAATTGAAAAAAAAAAAAAAAAAAAAAAGGAGGTCCGGGCCGCGGCCCCACTTACCTGCGCCGTCACCACTTTCTCCCCACTAGTGGCGCTGGCCAGATCCAAGGAATGCTGCAGCTCTTTGGTTAGACTCCTCACTGTGCTGCTGGGGGACACCAGGCCTGAGAGCTCCAGAGCGTCGCCGCTGACCGCAGACACTAAACCACCGTGCGACAGAACAACAGCGGCTTCAGTCGGCGCTGTACGCAAACGCGGGCGGTCGGACGCTGTCGTTTTAGTCTCGCAGAGAAGCTATAAACGGCGTGACCCCGAAAACGCTCGACTCTCGGCTCGTCGCTCGCGTGAGACTTTTTACAACCTGAATCTATGAAGCCGGTACTTCAATGAATTAAATTCAACACAATATTCTGCATCAACGCAACGACCGTCAGCTTTCACGTTTTCCTTTACCTTCCAGTCCACTCGGCCTCAGACACTCCTGAGACTTCTTGGACGGCAGACCCGGCAGAAACGGGGGAGGCGGCCTCGGGGGGGGACCTCCGCCGGGAGGGGGCGGGCGCGAGGGAGGAGGCTTCTTGGTGCTTGCTACAATGTCTGGTTCCACAGTGATTTGCCGCGGGGGCTTGGTGGGCCCGGAGGAGGAGTCCGAGTCGGGCGGCCGGTGGGCGAACGGCACCTGGTCCAAGATGTCCGCGGGCCTCTGCCCCCGCACCCCGTGGTCCGCGACCGCCCCGTCCAGCACAGCGAGTCCTACGGTGCTGGTGAGGTCCGGGGGCTGGACGCCTTCTCGGGACCCGGCCGACGGCTCGCAGGCTGGCGGAGAGCACGCCGCC